TTGTTGTTGTTGTTGTTTTAGTTGTTGCTATTACAGTTGCCGTTGCCGTTGCTGACCAATGGGCCATGTAATTTTTTGGCAAGCAGCCTCATATCAGCGCAACGACCCTTTTTGGACCCCATTAGTTGAGGGGTGAGATAGGTAGGAGTTGGGGACTTTGGCTCAGGGACAGACTGGTTATGAAATATGCGAGCATTTTTGTATGTGCGATTGCTTTTCCGTGTTGAGCTCCCATCCAACTCGCATGTGTGGCAACTACACATTTTATGATGAATATGCGGGCCGCCGCTGGTCAAATAAACTCGGCCAAAATATGCGGGCTTCTGCTGCTGCTCCTGCTCCTGCTACTTCTGCTATGGCAACAGACTGCGTATTTTAAAGCTCAGACACACACACACATACACATACACATGGGCGGCAGATTGACATCATTAGTCGGGGGTCAGTTGGTGCATGGTATACGGTGGGCGCGTCGACGGCACTAAATCAACTCTACACACACATAAAATGTATGAAAGGAATGCACAAAATGAATGGCACACGTGGGAAAAAGTCTGTTGTACAACAAATAAAAAAAAGTGGAAAAAGTTATGAACATAGTTTTGATTTATGCAAATAGCTAGGCACATTTTAAGCTCGAAATAAAAGCTCTTAAAATATATGACATATAAATATCTCAAGCTTATCAGCCATAAAAATTGAGCTGCATTGACCCATAGACAAGCTGATAGCTGCACAATTTCAATGCTTTTGGCCAGCTATCGGATCTCTCAATCTCTAGCTGTATTTCTCTATCTCTGTCTCCATCAATCTATCTCTCTATCTGCTTTCTATCTCTTCTATATATTCTGAGCATTCTAACATTCTTTGCAATCTCTTGCACGTTGGCCAAGTCTCCGTCACTATGCGCTTTGTTTGCATGGCACTATTGATAGCACTTCAATCAGCAGAAATAATAAATAAATGAGGCTAACGTTCATGACTCAATGACAGGCCATCTTAACTGAACTCAACTCAATTGAACTAGAATTCTGTATCCTGGTAAATGCGACACTCACATACAGACAGAGCAACATTTTTTGCTTTGACTATGCGCATTCACATTTTTTGTATCCGGTACAATTCCCATTTGTATTGCATAAAATAACTTTGGCTAGTCAACTATAAAAGTGTGTGTAAGTGCTCTTAAGTATGTTATTATACGTGGAAAAAATATATTCTTCAAAGGAAATCATACAACATTCTGTATAAATACTAAAAAATATAAAAGAAAATATAAAAGAAAATCATATAAAATTATTTATAAATACTTTTTGGAGATGCATGTCACAAATATTTTATATTTTATTATGGAACGTGAATGCAGCAGGAAATTGATTTTAATATTACATTATTTATAAAATTTTCAATGCATAAGTACTATTTGAGATATTGTTGATTTGTTGAGAAGTAGAAGTTGGTTAACAAACTAAAACAATCTCTTTATAGACAAATACAGTAGTATATCTCGTCTTATTCCAATTGTTCATATGTTTCTAACGATACACACAGAAAGTGTATTTCGAGTTCGCCTCTACTTTGTAGCATCGCATTCATTTGTTTCAGCATGTTGTGCGTGACGTATACGTAACGTGCGCCATATTTTTTTTACATGTCCGCCGGGCAGCAGCAGCAACGACAACAACAACTTGGCCGCTGCAGCTGACAGGAAGTCAGAGTGCCGATGACGATGATGATGGCCTCTACCTCAGCCTCAGTCCAGGCCCATCTGGTTGGGATATCAAGGATATCAGTGGGTTTATTTAGCGCGCCATGCAGCAGGCGTTTCATACAGATACCAAGTCGTCCGGCTGAAAATGCTCTCTCCCCGATCCTTCGCCTTCTTTCTACCAACCATCAGCAGTGTATACATTTGGCTTGGCTTACAAAGGGCATGAATAAACAGTTGTTGTTTTCCCATCGGCATAAACATTTTGCTTGTCCTTTGTTGTTGTTACTGCTGCTGCTGCGGTTGATGTTTTTCCTGATATTGTTGTTGTTGTCACTGATATTGTTGTCTGCAGGCTTACAAGTTTCTTATTGCAGTGCACACGCATGCATATGTATATTTATATATATATATATATATGTATATATATATATATAACTTGGAAATTAACATATACACGCCTGGCATAAAATTGCATTAACATTGCGCATACGCCCCCCTTTCTGCTGTCATTAACTTATATTCTGCAGCTGTTTCTGTGGCAGCTGCCGCTACTGCATCCTCTTCTACCTGTAAATTACATTAATCAACTTGTCGGGCAATTTACTCGATGCACAAGTATGCAGAAATTGCAATTGATATGTATATACAGCTTTACAGACTGCATTTCTATATGCCTACATATTTTTACGTGCGTATATAAACTTAAAAAATTAATTATTTATATATGCAATTTACAGCAATTTTAATGCACTGCAGCTTTAACACAAGTTATATACGGTCCAAAAATCGAAGAAAAAAAAATATTTTTACACATACATTTACATATATTGGTTTAATATATACATGGGAATTTCGAACATGCTTATGTAGCTTTTATTGTGTTTAAAGAAAAAAGGGGAAACACGTGGACTGTTTTTAAAAATATGAATTTTAGGCATGTGAATCGATATCATATGCACGCGCTTCACATCCCCCCACCCCTACCCAGGCTGCTGTCGTTTGCTTTTTAAAAAGTTTATGACACTTTCCCATTTTGGCATTTTCATGCAAATATGAATTACAAAACGCATTTCAACTGACAGCCAGTCCCAAAATAATATTAAATGGGTTGTAGGTGATACTCGGTACGACACACTGACGAGGGTAGGTCAAGTTCCTTAGCTGCCAATCACAGCTGTATATCTGAGCGTTGCCATCTAGTCCCCATGTACACATGTATGTGTGTGCGTGTTTCGCCCACATTAGGTGGGATCTGCGTTTATACGCTGCGTCGCATTGCACATAAAACATTTTTATTGCTCATTTAGATATTTATGCGCTGTTTTATTATAATGAAAATTGTGCGTATGCGTGCGGTTTTTATTGTGATTGCAGTGGACCCAAGCGACAGTCAGCTGGCAAACAGTGGGCGAGAGTGTGTGAACGATGGGGACTGCTTGTACTTATATCCTTGTCAGTCATTTGTTTGCTGCTTATCTGCATCTGCAAGCGTGACCAAGTTTTAAGCGAGCGCATGTTTTGATTGCTTTTGCCATCGACACCGCAGCCAAAGTTCAATTTTACGCAGCTTTACGCATTTACTTTTATATTTTACGAGCAAGCAACACACATTTACACTCACACACCGAAACGAACAGAGCATTCGTAATGGCGAATGTGGCACATTAAGTGGCCGCAAAAGTAGGCAAAGCTTTTTTATTCCCATTTTAAGGACGCCATTTTGCGGTTTTTTAATTATGATCGCATTGCGATTGCATTTACAAATGTGTATATAATTAAAATTGTTGGCTTTCAAGTGAAATGTCCAATTGGACTAATGCAAATGTGGCTGCTTAACTTATTCTGATCCATTTCCAAAAACCAATTTCAAGCGTCCTCCATTAAACAATTGCAGTATGTGTGAGTGTGTGTTTGTGTGTGTGTGTGTGTGTGTGTTGGGGTGTATTATTTGTTTTTCAGTTGGTTTGCATGCAATTCGATTATGAGGTTTGGTTATATGTTTAGTGGGAATGCATTTAATACACTAATTATTAAACAAATACCAAAATCGCAGGCACAATGTGCAACAGCACAGAAACAACACAAGAAGGAAAACAACAGCAACGTGAACCGCAACAATAATAATTGCAAACCAATTAAAAACATATTTATAGATTTTCCTTTTCACACACATATTGTGCTGCACAACTATGCATACATTCATATTTATATGTTACATGTTTGCACACGTACATTTATTTATGCTACCCATGTATGATTGTTCGATCTGAGCTGACGCCCTTGTGGATTACAACTGCGCTGGCAAACATTTTGCGGCTTCGACGATGTCTGCCATTGATTGACAGCAGATTGGTAACAACACACATACAAATAAGAAAAGCACGGCTCACCACACCACACACGCAAAATACACACAAGTAATTTTCAGTTAAATTACATTTTTCACGCAGTTGCATTTACATAATTTGCATGAAATTTACAAGAGTATTCCTCAACTAGTTCATTTGAAGCGAAAGCTAAAGAAGCTTGGTGAAAAACATTCAACTAGTTGAAGCTACAGCTGAAGAAGCTCGGGCAGCTGCTTTTACTGGAATATTGTTTGGTTCTACCTTAAATGTTAAATAATATTATATATAATATATAATAATTGTGTTTAGATTTGGCTCAAATAGATTAACCTCTCTTTAAAAGTATTACTTAAGAGTTCACCATATAGTTATTTTGCATAAGTTTCAATTAGAGATACCAATGCGTAAGAATGTTTTTATAAGTGAACCTATAAAAAATAGATTTTCAACTTCGTTAAGAAGAAATTTGAATAAATGGCCCACGCCCACTCCAGCCCCCAAAAACGGTTACCAAACTTGAAAGGTAGATTTCTAGATTCTACTCTAATATTTCTTTTTTGGCCATTCCCGCCCCCTACTAATTCACAAAAGCCTATATCTAATGTCATTTTAAAGACAAACTTAGAGGGTAGATTATTAGGAATCTACTTCAAATATCGGTAAATATCTTGTTTACACAAACCCTGTTCTGTGGCACCTGTTATCAGCTGATATTAGTTATTGGTATCAGAGTATTGCGCAGTCGATTACGCCCGACTTCAACGCTCTCACTTTTTTTATTACGTAGCTTTATTTAATTCAGATATTTTCTGAAAAGATAAGCGGAAATTCTTTGGGCATTTTTTGACAATAAAATATTGTACTAGCTTATCATATCGGCAACAAAATAAGCTCTGACCAGCGACTATATAAAGAGCAATCGCCCACTCACCATTTAGTTAGTTGTACATTTGTTTACTTTTAAACATGTCGTGGAAACAGATTATTGGCTTCGCAATTCTCGGCCTGACTTTGGCCCAACTCCACTCCGTGAACAGCCAAGCTGATGTGACCACCTGTAAAAGTCCCTTCGCTTTGGTGGGCGACAAGTGTCTGTTGTTCTCCAACAAGTGGTTGAACTGGTATGAGGCAGATCGTCAATGTCGTTCCCAGAGCGCCCAGCTGCTCAGCGTGCAGAATGTGAGTCAGCTGCAGGCGATCAACAATTGGATGAATATCACAAACCCATACACTATCGAGTTCTGGACCTCAGGCAACAAATTTGGCAATACACAAAATCTGTATTTCTGGGAGAGCACTGGACAGCAGGCTAAATATCTGCCTTGGGCCAAGGGTCAGCCTCAACCAAAAGAAGGCGACTGCCTAATGCTCTTTAGTCCAACTTACGGCGGAGTAGTATCTAGCGATTATCTACTGTCTGTCAGGGATTGCGCTGCGTGGGCTACGATTGTCTGTGAGCAGGTGCCAACTAACTCTGTGCAACGCGTCTGCCTGATGCCGAACTCCTTTGAAATGGCTCAGGTGCAGCAGAAGTGAATAAAACCTTAACTGATTTTACTGTAATTCAATTGACTTTTTGTATATTGGCGGATGTATAGGACGACACTTTTACTAAGTGCAGTTATTAGTATATTAAAAGGTTTAAGGAAACCCCCTTATTAATAATCTTTAAACATCACTTAAACAACCTGTGAATTTTTAATATCAGAAGAATATGTTCATCGTGCCCACATGGACATATGGGATTCCATTTTGGGGCATAGCTGCAAATCTTGGATAAACCAAATTCAAGTCTTGCAGAACAAGGTGCCCAGAGACATCTCTGGTGCTCCACCATTCGTGAGTAGCAGGGCGCTGCACAACGACTTCGGTCTACCAACAGTCACACAACAAATTAACGGACATACGAGTCGGCATAATGACCGGTTGCACAACCACGTCAAACCTTTAACTTGCACACTTGGGTCAAATACAACGCGCAGGAGGTTGAAGCGCCTTGGGCGTTAAATAAATGTGCTACAAATGTAATATTTAATGTTATTTATTATCTGCTAAAACCAGCTCTATCTTTATGTTATAGATTTTAATTCACTGCTATTATTAATTTATAGCTTTACAAGTCAATGTTTTATAGCCTTTCAATAGGTTGATTAATGTTTAAATATAATTGCTACAAGAAAAAGAATATGTTTTAAAATAATACCTAAAAGTATTTCTTATCATAATGATTATTATATAGTCCAACACCCGGAACATGACAAGGAAATCGACAAACTCAGCCGACTCTTGGCTTAAATGTTGTGTCGACAACTGATTGACTTTTCAGTCAGCCTTCCCAATTTGGTATTGTCAGTTCTACGAGTAGAATTCTTGCGAGGAGTCGAGCTATCTTCCCTGGGCTGCTGGAAGCCCGAAATTTAACGACGGGACGCTTCGATGGAGTTGTGTCCAATTATAGGCTATTGATCAGGTGTTGGAGATTTGGAGTTATGGGTACAGGCTTACTTGTTGAAACACAGTTTTCTTTAAAGGTTATGATTATATATACGTTTTCTTATCCTTTCGTCAAGCGCTGCGCGACCTCCCCTACTTAATGTAATGGAACGACTAAATTACGCTAATCGATGTTATGCGCGTCTTTACAGTGATCTGTTAAGAGACTCGCATACAGAATGTTGTGGTAACTCTATGTACATTGTGCATACAGAACTATGTAAACATTGTTGCTTTAACATATTATTATACTATTCGCGATAATAACAATGTCAGGAATAACTTATCGGAGGCACACTTCAACTGTGAGCAACCCACAAAGCTTTAGTAGCAACTCGAATAATTTATTTACTAATCAATTGAGAAAAAAATCGGGGCTTAAATTCAATTTTGAAGTTTTAGAGGTTAAAACGAAGTTTCTCAAAAGTCTCTTATGACTTTGTATCTATAAAGTACCAAAAGCAAAACAAAAATAGCCGTGTGTTCTTACCTGAACCCATTAAAATATGATAAAACTAACAAATAAAATTGAATTTATCAGCTGTGTTATTCAAAATTGTGAATTTCGTTTTAAAAATGTATGCTCCACAAACAAAGTGTTTTGGCTTATAAGATATAAGCGAAATTGATTATTATGCCCTTATACATTGTAGATAGTGGAAGAAGCACATACATATATTTCAAATCCGTGCCAGTAGACGATAATGCAAGCCTGAAACTTTAATTTCCAAGAATTATTTCTTGTCTGTCTTATTTTGACAAAATTTTAAATTTTAGATTTCTACACTTCTACATACTTATGTTAATTGTATAAAGAGATAACATTTTTAATAATTAATTTTCTAATATTAGCTATCAAAGCACAAAAATGGTTTATCATATCTGCATGGAGATAAACCCAAACCAGAGACTATAAAAGTACAATCACCAACTGACCATTTAGTCAGTTATTATTTTATGGACTTTCAAACATGTTGTGGAAACAGTTTATTGGCTTCGCAATTCTCGGCCTGACTTTGGCCCAACTCCACTCCGTGAACAGCCAAGCTGCTGTCACCACCTGTAAAAGTCCCTTCGCTCTAGTGAGCGACAAGTGTCTATTATGGCACAGCAAGTTTTTGAACTGGTATGAGGCAGATCGTCAATGTCGTTCCCAGGGTGCCCAGCTGGTTAGCGTGCAGAATGTGAGTCAGCTGCAGGCGATCAACAAATGGATGAAGGCCTCAAGTCCAAACACTGTCGAGTTCTGGACCTCAGGCAACAAATTAGGCAACACACAAAATCTGTATTTCTGGGAGAGCACTGGACAGCAGGCTAAATATCTGCCTTGGGCTAAGAGTCAGCCCAAACCCAAAGACGGCGACTGCCTGATGCTTTATAGTGAAATTAAAAACGGAGTGGTTGCCAACGAATATCTTCTGTCTGTCAGGAATTGCACTGCGTGGTCTTCGATTGTCTGTGAGCAGGTGCCAACTAGCTCTGTGCAACGCGTCTGCCTGATGCCGAACTCCTTTGAAACGGTCCAGGTGCAGCAGAATTGAATAAAACCTTGACAGATTTTACTGTAATTCAATTGACTTTTTGTATATTGGCGGATGTATAGGACGACACTTTTACTAAGTGCAGTTATTAGTATATTAAAAGGATTAAGGAAAACCCCTTATTAATAATCTTTAAACATCACTTAAACAACCTGTGAATTTTTAATATCAGAAGAATATGTTCATCGTGCCCACATGGACATATGGGATTCCATTTTGGGGCACATCTGCAAATCTTGGATAAACCAAATTCAAGTCTTGCAGAACAAGGTGCCCAGAGACATCTCTGGTGCTCCACCATTCGTGAGTAGCAGGGCGCTGCACAACGACTTCGGTCTACCAACAGTCACACAACAAATTAACGGACATACGAGTCGGCATAATGACCGGTTGCACAACCACGTCAAACCTTTGGCTTGCACACTTGGGTCAAATACAACGCGCAGGAGGTTGAAGCGCCTTGGGCGTTAAATAAATGTGCTACAAATGTAATATTTAATGTTATTTATTATCTGCTAAAACCAGCTCCATCTTTGTGTTATAGATTTTAATTCACTGCTATTATTAATTTATAGCTTTACAAATCAATGTTTTATAGCCTTTCAATAGGTTGATTAATGTTTAAATATAATTGCTACAAGAAAAAGAATATGTTTTAAAATAATACCTAAAAGTATTTCTTATCATAATGATTATTATATAGTCCAACACCCGTTACATGACAAGGAAATCGACAAACTCAGCCGACTCTTGGCTTAAATGTTGTGTCGACAACTGATTAACTTTTCAGTCAGCCTTCTCAATTTGGTATTGTCAGTTCTACGAGTAGAATTCTTGCGAGGAGTCGAGCTATCTTCCCTGGGCTGCTGGATGCCCAAAATTTAACGACGGGATGCATCGATGGAGTTGTGTCCAATTATAGGCTATTGATCAGGTGTTGGAGATTTGGGGTTATGGGTACAGGCTTACTTGTTGAAACACCGGGCCCATGACCATTAATAACACGAGGCGGGCCCATGACCATTAATAACACGAGGAGTTTTCTTTAGAGGTTATGATTATATATACGTTTTCTTATCCTTTCGTCAAGCGCTGCGCGACCTTCCCTACTTAATGTAATGGAACGACTAAACTACGCTAATCGATGTTATGCGCGTCTTTACAGTGATCTGTTAAGAGACTCGCATACAGAATGTTGTGGTAACTCTATGTACATTGTGCATACAGAACTATGTAAACATTGTTGCTTTAACATATTATTATACTATTCGCGATAATAACAAAGTCAGGAATAACTTATCGGAGGCACACTTCAACTGTGAGCAACCCACAAAGCTTTAGTAGCAACTCGAATAATTTATTTACTAATCAATTGAGAAAAAAATCGGGGCTTAAACTCAATTTTGAAGTTTTAGAGGTTAAAACGAAGTTTCTCAAAAGTCTCTTATGACTTTGTATCTATAAAGTACCAAAAGCAAAACAAAAATAGCCGTGTGTTCTTACCTGAACCCATTAAAATATGATAAAACTAACAAATAAAATTGAATTTATCAACTGTGTTATTCAAAATTGTGAATTTCATTTTAAAAATGTATGCTCCACAAACAAAGTGTTTTGGCTTATAAGATATAAGCGAAATTGATTATTATGCCCTTATACATTGTAGATAGTGGAAGAAGCACATACATATATTTCAAATCCGTGCCAGTAGACGATAATGCAAGCCTGAAACTTTAATTTCCAAGAATTATTTCTTGTCTGTCTTATTGTGACAAAATTTTAAATTTTAGATTTTAACACTTCAACATACTTATGTTAATTGTATAAAGAGATAAAATTTTTAATAATTAATTTTCTAATATTAGCTATCAAAGCACAAAAATGGTTTATCATATCTGCATGGAGATAAACCCAAACCAGAGACTATAAAAGTACAATCACCAACTGACCATTTAGTCAGTTATTATTTTATGGACTTTTAAACATGTTGTGGAAACAGTTTCTTGGCATTGCAATTCTCTGCCTGGCTTTAACCCAGCTGCGCTGTGTTAATAGCCAAGCCACTGACACCATCTGCAACGAAGGATTCACCTTGGTGGGCGACAAGTGCCTGATGATGAAGTTTTTTGCGATAAACTGGTTTGCTGCGGATAGCCAATGTCAATCGCTGGGTGCCGGACTACTTACTTTGCAGAATGAGGAACAGCTTCTTCAGATCAATAAATGGGTCAACATGGATGTGCAAATCTGGACCTCGGGCAACAAACTGAGCAATAATGGTGTTTACTACTGGCAAAACACTGAAGCGGAATATCTACCCTGGGCAGAGAATGAGCCCGACCCGTCAAGTGGAAACTGCCTTATTCTAACCGACATGTCCGGTGGATCGGAGACTATAGATTTCCGTTTAAGAGTCGAAGCTTGCCTCATCATCAATGCCTACATCTGCGAGCAGCTAACACAGAGTGTGGAAACCAACCAAGTTGCTTAATTTCTGGTTAATATTGCTTTTCAGCATTAGTACCCATGTTAGTGCATTTGTTCAGCATTAAACTGCTTTCAGGCAATTTCCTGAAAATAATTTCAGCAAGCGCGAATTCCGAATAATCACAATCGCTTTTAGAGAGCTTTTATCGTTTATTAAGTGTAATGAGTCAAATCTCAATATATTTCGGCAAAATTTTAAATTACCTTTGATACTTCAATAAGCGAAATTTATTTTTCTACTTTTTTTCGACAATCTGAAATTGGCTTATCATATCAGCAACAAGATAATCTCTGACCAGCGTTTATATAAAGAGCAGTCACCAACTCACCACTTAGTTAGTTATTCATTGCTTTTACTTTAAAACATGTCGTGGAAACAGTTTATTGGCTTCGCAATTCTCGGCCTGACTTTGGCCCAACTCCACTCCGTGAACAGCCAAGCTGCTGTCACCACCTGTAAAAGTCCCTTCGCTCTAGTGAGCGACAAGTGTCTATTATGGCACAGCAAGTTTTTGAACTGGTATGAGGCAGATCGTCAATGTCGTTCCCAGGGTGCCCAGCTGGTTAGCGTGCAGAATGTGAGTCAGCTGCAGGCGATCAACAAATGGATGAAGGCCTCAAGTCCAAACACTGTCGAGTTCTGGACCTCAGGCAACAAATTAGGCAATACACAAAATCTGTATTTCTGGGAGAGCACTGGACAGCAGGCTAAATATCTGCCTTGGGCTAAGAGTCAGCCCAAACCCAAAGACGGCGACTGCCTGATGCTTTATAGTGAAATTAAAAACGGAGTGGTTGCCAACGAATATCTTCTGTCTGTCAGGAATTGCACTGCGTGGTCTTCGATTGTCTGTGAGCAGGTGCCAACTAAATCTGTGCAACGCACTTGCCTGATGCCGAACTCCTTTGAAACGGTCCAGGTGCAGCAGAATTGAATAAAACCTTGGAAGTATTTTTTCGAATTCAATTGTGTATTGAAAGATTTTGTGTTAATGACTACGGCAATGACTCATATATTTAAAAGGACACTTAGTAACTGTAGTTATTAGTGTATTCAAGATTGTTACTGATACTAAAATGTAGAAGGGGAAACACCTCATAAAGAGTCGATAATAATTGTAATTACCGACGATTAGATTATAAGTGTTTTAATTAAAAACGAAAAGTTTTTCTTATCAAAATATCATCTTATCGCGAAGTCCAATTCCCGGAACGCAATAATATAGACAAGCCCACTCACCACTTTAATCAAATATTATGTCAACAAATGATTGCATTTTCAGTGCATTGTCAGCTTGTCTTTGGCAAAGCAGAGGGAAAGCTTCTGATGGTTATATTCAGAACTTGACCCTTTTGTTAGTTCTAAAATGTGCAGACTGCTCTCGGATCGCCTCTGGCGCTCAATGGTCTGCAGACAGAAAAACAATTGAGTCGGCTTTTCAATTGGCCCCTCACAGGATCCAGACCCTTGGCTGCTTGATACGCGAAATTGGGCGAGGGCATGTTTCGTCGAATTTGTGTTCAATCTGCGATAACTTATCGGACGCATCAATTCAAAGTTCTTATAGCAACTCAATTAAAATCTTTACTATTTCTTAGGTTAACACCAACTTCTTAATTAGGTTATGTCGAAGTTTCTCAAAAGGTCTGTTATAGGCAAGTATTTAATAAGTACATATAACAAACCCAAAAAAGAAATATACTTCAGCGTGACAAACACAAGCTTATTCTGTGTACATTCAAATTATTTTTGTCACTCAAGCACTATAGCTTATTGTTTTACCCATGATTTAATTCAATTTGTGTGCACACAGTTGCAAAAGAACTTCTTAAACTATTCATTAAGTTGCAAAAACAGTCCTTTAACTCAACAGTAGCCTAAACTAATTGTAAGCATTTGCATTCGAAAGTGCAATGTGCTTGCAAGTTTCGCGCTGAACTATTGCTAACGAGAAGCCAACGAACCAAGTGAAAATTTGCAGCTTGTGCGTCTTTGTAATTACATTAGAGTAGACTGCAACACCAAGTGCAACTGCAACACCAAGTGCAACTGCAACAGTAGTAGCAACATTCGCAACAGATCGCTTCTGAAAGCGTCACAGCATCTTAATCGAAGTAAATGCTATGGCATTTAATTGCAACTGCGTTGAATGTGTCTCTCTGGGCAATGTTGCAACATTTTGCACCTGTTACATGTAGCCCAGCAGCATATTTGCTAACGTCGTCAGCTATTTGTGAGTGCGTGAGTGTGTTGCTGCCCCTTGTGACGCAATCTGCAGCGCGCCAATTAAATACCAATTGCAGCTAGACGCACTATGCTCTAAAGGTAATGACCAGGCGCAAAGGGAGGCCAGCGCATGTGGCACATACACTGGCAAAAATAATGTTTGGCTAATGTTCGACCCTTAAGTCGAGTCCTACGAACAAAATAAAAGATGAGAAATATACTTTCTGGGCTCTAACTTAGAGATTAGAAAATGTGAAGCTGATTTTGTCTAAAGATAAAGACTCTGATTTAGAATTACCAACTTGTTCAAACATTTACTAGGAATATTTGAAATCAACATCTTTGATGATTTTTTGTTTTCAGTGTAGGTGGCAAATGGCAGCAGCAATTGTGGGCAATGCAAATTTCTCTGTGTCCCTTATTCTCTCTGTCTCTATCGCTCTCTCTCTCCCTCTCCCTCTTTTTCTGTCTCTCTCTCACTGTCTCTTGCGTCAGACTGTCTGCTCTATTAGACAGAATCAGTTCAGTTGGCCAGTTGGCATGGCCTCTTTGCGGCCTAATGCGGCCACTGGGCAGTAGCTTCTCTCTCTCCCTCTCTCTCTCTCTCTCTCTCTCTCTCGCTCTCCCTCTCTCTTGTTGTTGCACTCTCTTGCTATGCCTGTGTACATAGTTTTGTTGATTTTGCCCTTTGGCTGACACGCTGTTGACTTTGCATATTAAAACAAAATTAATGCAGACAAACAACAACAATAAGAACAAAAACAGGAGGGAGAAGGCAGCATGAGTGACCTTTGCTCAAGTGTAGCAGTAGGAGGCTGTACTGTACTTGTACGGCTACTTTTAATTTCTAATTTCCCTCCAGCCCCCACTGCTGTGCCAGTTTTCGCTTTGGCTTAACTTTAATTAATTGTGTACGGTTTGTTTGGCAAATTAAAAACTGTTGACTCTGCGCACAAATGAAGGCACAACAAAACGTGGCAACAAACTGCGTGGCAAATGTGACAAAACGCGGCAACTCTTCGCTTTTTCGGCGATTTCAATTAGCGGCACAGCAAATATTTTGAAGCAAGATACACAAACACAAACACATGCACATATTTATGTATAAACAGTGAAGACTTTAATGAGCGGACACATCCTTATTATGCAAGCAGAAATTGTCATTTTGTTGGCAACATACACAAAAATATGTGTAAAGTTAAATGTAAACTAGCTTTAATCAACAATTATTCCGCTGCTGTTCGCCAGAGGCAGTCTTCACTGTCTGTATTTATTGCACAGTTATGTAATCATTCGAGGACTGAGCGACTGACAGTCTCAGCATTTCATGCGATGCTTTTGAGCTGCTTACTGTCCAAATGGAGAGCTGACAAAATGGGAAACTGTTGCCAGGCTGTCGAGTGTGGCATGCAACAAGAATTAGCAACCAACAAAGGCATCAAAAGAATGTAAAAGTTTTCCTGCTGCTGTTATTGTTGCTGATGCTGCTATTGATTGACATGCAATGCAAACACGTTGCCCAAATGGTGTTGCCACACTGCCACTGACATGCTAATTGGAGCACGTACCGGACAGACAGATGGACTGGCAGCTGACTGGAGCCGTGGCAAGGTATCCAAACGAAGAAATGCACTTAATTGGAGCTAGTGAATTACGTTCGTTCGTCGTGCGATTCGTGTTTGTCATATGATTAATTAGTGAAATGCAATTAGGGTGGCAAATAGACACACACAAAGAGAGAGGGTTGGTGAGGGCTGGTGGGGGATGTGCTTGTATATTCTTATGTATTTATATATATATTTATATATATATATATATATATATATATATATTCTTATCAAATTCGGCTCAAGTTGTACATTTAATATGCTTCGTATAAGTAAACAAATATATTGAAAAATACCAATAGATTTTAATTAAAGCATATTCCAGAAAATGCTTGATTTAATTAATTATTGATTTTACATTTTAATTCTTAAAACATTTAAGAATGCTGTAGTCGAGTGAACTCTTTGTGTGAGCAATAATGTATCTGGGAAAATAAAGGATCAATTGACACATAATTGAATTTAAATTGCGGCTTTCATTGCTATCGGAAATCGATATACATCGATATCAGGTAGGCGGAGGCAATTATTGATCAAATAAAATAAACTTGATATGCGCGGGCTAAGCAGAGCTCTATGACTAGATGGACTCTGCTGTTGATCCTGATCAAAAACATATATATACTTTATGGTGTCGAGAGATGCCTCCTACTTTTGCACAAAAGCCCTTTTCCGGGTAATTATAGGGAAAACCATGCTTTATTTGCATTGCCTTAAATTACTTGACTATAATTCTAAAAACTGGCCAAGTGAAATGCTTCGCTTATCCCACAAAAACTGAGACTCGCTGTGAATTGGCGTTTGACACGTTAATGCAGCTTTGCCAGCCACAAATTAACATTTTTGTTGCTCTACTCTCGGTCTAAGCCTCTTACGTGATATGCATAAGTTAATGCCACGTACCAACCGCCACCAACCGCCCACCGACACCCACCTGCCACTAATTAGCCTTGGAAACAGTTATGTTGTTAAGCTGCAGTTAAAAGGCATAAAACTCATACGCGTCGCTTGGCGATATGTTAAGTTTATAATTTCAATTCTTAATTGTTATTATAGTCTGTCACTTGTTAGTTGTAGTCTCAAAAACCCCCCACCCGCACACAACATGGCCCATTTCGTGCTTGGAAATAGCCCTCTTTGGATGCGCCTGATTATTATTGACAGAGATTGCTGTTGTTGTTGTTGCTGTTATGGCCCTCATTTTAGTCTCATAAATATGCAAATTAATCATTTGCGGAAATTTGCATACTTAATAAGTTGCTTTAATTAAATGTTCACGCACGCATGCCTCACAATCTTTCCCCCAGGAATCGCGAATCCTTTGCCGCCCCAAATGCCATTTTGAAGCGTCAACTTGTTAATTGCGCGAAATCCCTTACCCAAACTCCCCTACCCCCTCCCCCGCACACACAGAACTCTAACCAGACAAAAATACAAAAATAAAAAGCATTTGTACAATTCGAGAGATGTCCAATTTCAATGGAAATGTGTATCTTTAAAATTTGGTAGCTAGCTGAATTGGCAGAGAGCTTTTCTCATATTTAGGGGCAGAGTCACGTACCACAGCAGACGCAGCACCCCCAACAAAAAAATAGAAGAATATGAAAAAACTGTTTTTATCTGCATGATGCTGGCAATTTTTATTATATTCGTCTTGTATTTATTTTTTTTTTTTTTTTTTTTTGGTTTATTTTTTATATGTCTGTACAACATTTTCGAAAATGAGCAGCCCAAAAAGAGTATCCACATAATATACACACGCCCATATATCTCTCTTATATATAAATGTACATGTAAATGTGTGTGTGTGTGTGTGTGTGTGTATGCAAAGTGCGAGGCGCAGGCAACATAAATTAACATTTTTATGCGCCGCTCGCTGCAATGGACGCTGGAGAAGGAGCCCGAGTCAGGAGCAGAAGCAGGAGCACGAGCATCAGCAACAGAATCACAGTCAAAGCATAAGCTTCAAAATGGGCGCCTCTCTCTAAGGCTCCGCATTATTTACGATGGGGCTGACACTGCCAAAAGGGGGCGTTTGATGAGTGGGCGTGTGTATGCGTGTGTGTTGTTGTTGTAGCCATTCACATTTCTTCATTACATTTCATTTTATTTCAGTTCACAACATTGCCAGCCACGTTTATTTATTTGCCATTCGGCAGCGTCTTTGCCCTTTGCCTGGCTGGCAAATAATTTTAATTGGTTTTCACCCCTCCCCACCCACCTCCCCTTGTCTCACTCTCTCACACACACACACACAGAGACAAGCAATGCTGGAAGTGATTTCATTTGCAGTATATTTTATTTGTACATTGCTTGTAATATTTGTTCATCTTATTATAAAAGTTGTAGTTCTTCACAAGTTATTCGATATGTTTACATATATATATAAATACATATACTATATATATATATATATATATATATATATAGTTGTGTGTGCGTGTGTGCGCGTGTGTATATTTTAGAGGAAAATCTATTTGTTTGTGTTGCAGGGCTTTTAGCTAATTCTTTATTCTAGATAATAAATCAATTTATAAACATTATTACATTTGGATAATTATAAATAAAGTTTAATGCTAAAAGAGATAAATAAATAAAAATAATTAGTATTTTAAGCAAATATTTACCCGAAATGTATTTAGTTTTTCAATTGGTACGCCAGATGGCGCTTTGTCAACTGGTGATCCTTTTTTGATTTCGTTTGGCTTTTCGATTTGTGTCGTTTCTTCTTCACGTTTTCTGTGCTCTACTTTTGAGCGTCGCTTCTGGCAAGTTTCACTTTCAGCTTGTTGTTGTTTGTTGTTGTTAACACGCCATTGTTTAATATGCGCCGTTCATCATTTAACAACAACAACACGCACACACACGCACACACATTACAAATATTACTGTTGTTGTTGTTGTTGCTGCTGTTGCTTGGCACATTCGCAAAGAGCGAGAGAAATTCATTAGGCATGCGGGAATTTTAATTTCACTTGCTCACACACACGCACATATGTGGCGACATATTTCTCAAACATTTTTGCAGCGTGCGGCGACGGCGACGTTGTCAGCGACTGCGAAATCGAATCGGCGGCGTCAGTTTCTTATACTGTGACTGCGACGCCAACGGCTGCTGCTGCTGCTCGCAGCTGACCCTCTCTCTGCTGGTGCCTCTGCCTCTGCTGCTGCCTCTGCTTCTGCTGCTGTCGTTGGTTTTGCTTTGTTTTTGTTGCTTAGGCGCATTTCAATTTGCATACTGCTGCTGACCTTGCTGTCAAGTGGAAAAAACTATGCCACACACACACGCACACATGTACATGTACACACGTACATGAAGAACTACAAGAGAGGGTGACACAAAGACGCGAGCAACGACCGCACTAGTATAAAAAAAAACTACAACAACAAGAAGAGCAAGCCATGCTGGCAGCTGTCAAAAATGGTTTTTTTGAAACGGTAAACGCAAACAGTTATAAGCTGCGGCGGCGGCCGGTTCAGCAGCAGCAAGGCATACAGAAATAGACTAAAGTAAAACCCGATTATTTCCATGCCGATGGGGAGAAGGGGGAAAGGGAGGGGGTGCTTTACACGTTTGAATGTTCAAGTCAAGTGCGAAGCTTATGCGCCTCGAAGTGTGCGCGTGTATGTATGCGTGTGCGTGTGTTGGTCTGTCTGTGTGTGTGTGCGTGTATCGCCTGCCTCTGTATTGGTATGTTTTTGGATGCTGCCTTGGAACGTTTGCAACGTTTTCTTTTGTTCTACGCGCGCGCGGGGGTTGCCATCTTGATGACAAATTTGTTGTTGCTGCAGAGACTAATACAAACTTCCAGTTTTTTAACTGCCGCTGCTTTTCCTTTTCAGCCTGCACTCTGTAACGTATTTTTATTTCGTTTTTTGGAGATTGGATGTGCTTTAACACGCGCGTCTTATTGCTATTGCTATTGTGCTTTGTCTTTGTTTTGCGTCTCTTTGTTGTCTGGCATTGTGTTTGCCTTTTTTAATAATTGGCAACGCTACTCTTTCTAATTCTTTTTCTGCAGCTCTTCATTGCTACTAATGTTGTTGTTGTTTTTCTTTTGTTGTTGCTTTGTTTGCATAATTTGCAGAGAGCATCTGCTGCGCTTGCTTGCTTCGAATGCCGTTAATCCTTTCACTTTTCGCTTTTACTTTTATTCTTTGCTGTCATTTAACTGACACGCTGACATGCCTTTAGCACGTGGCAATAGTCGTCACAGTTTCGCATCGATTGTCAATGGGGAGAAGAGAAGGAATTTTTGGATTTTTCACATCATATTTGGCGTTTGATTTGGCAAACAGCTGCTCACCGCCGCCAGCTGAAAAGTATGCTTGGTTAAATTTGAACCTTTTGCCTGCTTTGCCGAAATATGCAAATTGAACTCGTCGAATGCCGAATGGCATTTCACATAACTGCTGCCCGCATTTAATTAATACCTGCCGCAGGACCGCAATTTAATGCGACACTTTCATTTATCCGCAAAATGCGCTTTTCTGTTCTCGTTTTGATTTTAATTTAATTTTTTTTGTTTTTTTTTTTTTTTGATTTGAGCTGAAGCAATTTAAACTTTTTTCTCCACGACTGCTTTTACCCAGTCCTCATGCTCACATTTTCGATATTCACATTTCATTTTTTTCATTTCTCATTTTTCATTTCATCTCCGCGCTGTGTTCACACAGGACCGCACAAGCTCCGACTATGGACTGGCCGAGTGCTTGGATGCCTCTGCAATTTAGTACTGAAATTCCTTACAGCATCCACTTCGCTGTACGCTCTTCGTGTAGACTTTCGCAGGATGCTGACTGACTCTCACATGCGCTTTCCAGCCGACACACGGCGAATGTCTACACCAATAACACCGCCATTCAATTTTGTCTGTTAAGCCTGTGGAGCTGTGACTGTTGAACGGCGGAGCCATTCATTATCGTGAGGAGCACTTCGACGTTACCAGCTGATACTGTTTTCGTATCGATATCTGTACACCACTGTCGCAGTGACACTTATCGATAATATCGATTGCGGTTTTTTCTTGCCTCTGGGCACACAGACGTGCAGCGAACGTGAGCCGACGGCAACCATCTTTGTGAAAAATACCTACGAGTCTGGAGAGGAGTTGGTGTAGGAATCAATTATTTCTGCGGCTTATAAAAAGTTAAAAATCAAAAAAAAAAACGATGATTTCTGCTCGCTTGGCGTCGTCGGTCGCTCGCAACTTGCCCAAGGCGGCCGCACAGGTATTATAAAAAAAAGCAGCACTCGCAAAGTAAAAAAAAATTAATAAATCAAAAAGATTACACATAGCCCAAACCCAATTGGCCGAAAATTGCAAGTCCAATACGGTGCAGGATTAGAATAATTGGATGAGCTAAGAACAGTTTGCCAACGCCATCTATGCGGATTCCATTGTAAATGCAATTTTGGCAAAAGTTTCCGTTTTGTGTTACGCAATGCAAACCGCTGTTGGCATGCAAAAAGTTACATAACCAATACTGAAATGTATTTTATGCAAATATTTGGTTATTCTTTAATATTTTGAACAAAATTAAAGTGCATTCAATGTTTTGAAATTGTGTTTTGCACAGGTTACATAATTTGTGAACTGTGGCCAACTCTGAACTTTGAGGTTATGTGCGCGCAATGCTGCAAGTGAAAAATGGCAAAGAATTCAAATTAAAAGAGCAACAAGAATCTCAATTTCCAAAATTTACAGTTAATGCCTGCCAAGTGATATGTATATTTTTTTATTGAGTCTTAAGCAATATTATTAATTGGGCCGGCGCAATTATTGACAGCGCTGCTGTGCGCTAGAGAGAGATGACAGCTGTTCTGCTCATGTGGTTATTCAATTCTTGTGGCACCCCCTTACCGCCCCGGCCCGCCACCGTTCCTTACATAATTGTTAATACAAGAATTGAATCGTTTAGGTTGCCTGCAAGGCTGCGTATCCAGCTACCACTCTTGCTGCCCGTAAATTCCATGTGGCCAGCACACAGCGCAGCGCGGAGATCTCCAACATTCTGGAGGAGAGAATTCTGGGTGTTGCGCCCAAGGCCGATCTGGAGGAGACTGGCCGTGTGCTCAGCATTGGTGATGGTATCGCTCGTGTCTATGGCCTGAACAACATCCAGGCCGATGAGATGGTGGAATTCTCCTCCGGGCTGAAGGGCATGGCCCTCAATTTGGAGCCCGACAACGTTGGTGTTGTCGTCTTCGGTAACGATAAGTTGATCAAGCAGGGCGATATTGTCAAGCGTACGGGCGCCATTGTCGATGTCCCCGTCGGTGATGAGCTGCTTGGACGCGTTGTTGACGCCCTGGGCAATGCCATCGATGGCAAGGGTGCGCTGAAGACCAAGGATCGTTTCCGTGTCGGCATCAAGGCGCCCGGCATCATTCCCCGTGTCTCGGTGCGCGAACCCATGCAGACGGGCATCAAGGCCGTCGATTCGCTGGTGCCCATCGGTCGTGGTCAGCGTGAGCTGATCATCGGCGACAGACAGACTGGGTAAGGAAAAATACTCGATATATGTGCAGATTATGCAGAGTATCTCTTAGTCAGCTCCTCGCATTTTACTTGTGTTAACTAACGGTGTCAAATTGCAGCAAGACCGCTCTGGCCATTGATACCATCATCAATCAGAAGCGTTTCAACGATGCCCAGGATGAGTCGAAAAAACTGTACTGCATCTACGTTGCCATTGGCCAGAAACGTTCCACAGTCGCCCAGATCGTGAAGCGTCTGACCGATTCGGGTGCCATGGACTACTCGGTTATTGTGTCGGCCACCGCCTCTGATGCCGCACCTCTGCAGTATTTGGCTCCCTATTCTGGCTGCGCCATGGGTGAATACTTCCGCGACAAGGGCAAGCACGCCCTGATCATCTACGATGATTTGTCCAAGCAGGCTGTGGCCTATCGTCAAATGTCGCTGCTGCTGCGTCGTCCCCCCGGTCGTGAGGCCTACCCCGGCGATGTGTTCTATCTGCATTCGCGTCTGTTGGAGCGTGCCGCCAAGATGTCCCCGGCTATGGGTGGTGGTTCCTTGACCGCTCTGCCTGTGATTGAGACTCAGGCCGGTGATGTGTCCGCCTACATTCCGACCAACGTCATCTCGATCACTGACGGCCAGATCTTCTTGGAAACCGAGCTGTTCTACAAGGGCATCCGACCAGCCATTAACGTCGGTCTCTCCGTCTCCCGTGTCGGTTCCGCTGCCCAGACCAAGGCCATGAAACAGGTCGCTGGCTCCATGAAGCTGGAGTTGGCCCAGTACCGTGAGGTGGCCGCCTTTGCCCAGTTCGGTTCCGATCTGGATGCTGCCACCCAGCAGCTGCTGAACCGTGGTGTGCGCCTAACCGAGCTCCTCAAGCAGGGCCAGTATGTGCCCATGGCCATTGAGGATCAGGTAAATAATGCACTTCATTTGTAGTGTGGAAGATTTGCTAACTTTTCATGTCTCATCTCGATTTAGGTTGCTGTCATTTACTGCGGTGTGCGCGGTCACTTGGACAAGATGGATCCCGCCAAGATCACCAAGTTCGAGAAGGAGTTCTTGCAGCACATCAAGACCTCCGAGCAGGGTCTGCTCGACTCCATTGCCAAGGAGGGACAAATCTCGCCGGCAGTCGATGCCAAGCTGAAGGACATTGTCACCAAATTCATGTCCACCTTCCAGGGTTAAACAGCAGAAGCACATCAGTTAAAGTCGCGTGCAGTTTTATCGTCGATATCCAAGGCAGATAACTTATCTTGCAAGCAAATAAATAATTTTATGTCTAAGCCGAAATTCACGTTATTCAAACTAATCAATAATGCTGCCAAACTGTGCGCGTAGATGATAAATACCAACAGCAACAACAACAACAACAAAGCGAATATCATCTAAATGAGAATGAAAGAAAAAACACACAACAACAACTTACACCATAAGAAAATACAGACAAAAAATATTATAAAACTAAATTAAACCAACCTTTGCGCATTCATGTTTTCCTTTGCTGCGTGCTTCCCGTCATGTCCTTTGCCCATACAACATCCTTGGAGAGGCAAGAGCAATATAGAGAGAGAGAGAGAGCGGGACACACGTGAGACACGCAGCCGGGGAGCAAACTTCGAATTTCAGCGTTAGACGACGATCGTCAATGAAAAGAAAAAGCCTCTTCTGTTGTTCTAGCTATAATAAATATAATCAATATTTGAAATTGATATTGTAATCGAGCATAGTAGTCGAAATACCGTTTGTGGATGATTGTGAAACGATGAGAATAAAAACGATACTAAATTATACTCTTGGATTATCTATGGCATTATGTGAATAGTTCATTTATACGCTACATTTCCCAAAAGCTAATCACCTCAAACTGTGGATGCTTTTGCAGTTTACAATGACTAAAGCTCAAATGCCTAACTGGTTGAATATATATATATATATATATATGGAATATGAATTTTGTACTCAACTCGAACTAAATGGAAAATGTGAAATGGAAAAAACGGAATTTGAGAAAGGCATCTCGATTATTGGAAAAGTCAATTTAGCACTTTTTCTGTAACATTCATATGCATATTAAATGCAGTTAAATTATACAATTATTGATTTAATTTATCAGCATAATTCAGTTGCAGATTGAATCTAGTGGAATTTGAAAACTTATGGATTATCTCAATTCTTCTGCAACTGAATTGCATAAGATTCATAAGAAGGTCTCGACAATACTAGTTTTTCATTTTAAATTATACAAATTAAAAATGTAAATATTACTTTTCTTTAATCCAGCTGTATTAAATACGGACTTAAGGCAACTTAGGAATCTCGTTGTATGCTTTCCCATGGCAAACAATACTCCGAGAATAACTGCTGGTAAATAACTAATTAAAATCCTGACACAGGCGGACAGATAGGCTGGCAGGCAGAATGTCCTTACGACTAATGTCGTAATGTTTCCTCTCTCAGCTGATCCGTCGTTCTTCTCACAGCCTTCCGCAGTGACCTTGCAGACCCTCAGCGGGTAGCAGATCTCTAGCTGCTACCTGACTGACTAACAGACTAACCGACTATCAGACTGACTGAACGGCTGCCGACTGTCAGGATAACAGTAGAAATTTAATAGCGCCACAGTTCAATGCTCGGCCCGGCTTCACGCTCTGCATATTTCGTTAACAGTCACACAGAAAAAGGCGCAAGGGAGCCGAAAAGTGCCACCAAGAGACGAGCACAAATCTGTATATGTGTATGTGTGTCTATGTGTGTGTGTGTGCTGCTGCTGCTGGCAGGACACAAAGGCATTTTGTAGACAGCGAAACTGGCTTCAGGCAGGAGCAAGAAAAATGACTGAGATTTTCCAGTAGGCCTCGGCTTGTGTATGCGTTGTGTGTATCTGCATGTGTGTGTGTGTGCTCCCTGCTGGCTGGCTGCTTTCTTTTTATTGCATTTGTTTGCTCGTAAAAGTGTCGAAATTAATGAGAGCCATAAAACCGTCAAACTTAAATTTCGACCAGGCGCACAGCGGCCCCAGCAAGCAGGGCGAAAAAGTCGCCAGTTTGCCGACAGTCGAGCTCGCAGCACTCACACATAGGCAAACGCACGCATACGTCACACACACAGGCACACACTGCTACACTCAACACAGACACGTGCGCGTGCAGACAGCGACGACAACGTCGACGACGACGCCGAGCCAAACGCTGTCGAGAAAGAAACAAGAACAGAAAGCGTACACACACACACACGTACGCACACACACACACATGCTCACGCTCATGCAGCCAATGAAGTTGAACCATAAACGCATAAGGGAGGCAAAAACTGACCTGCGATCAAACACACAAGAGGCAAAAGCAAAAGCAAAGCAAACCAAGACTCAATGCCGACTTTGTTCCTTTGTCTGATTTTTAGCTGTTTGTTGCTGTTCTTAGATAAGGGGATATTTTTTTTGGTTGTTGCTTTTGCCTTTTTTTATTCTCACATTCCGGTTTTCAACTTTCTCAGACTTCAGCATCAGCTGCACACTTTTGAAATATGCCGCCCAAACAAATAAAAAAAGAATCAAGTTTATTTGCAAGATTTATTTTTATGCACAATTGTTTGTTGATATTGGTGGTAATCAAAGTATTATTACGTAAAACAATTAAATTAGCTGCAAATGAAATTGACAAGTGCCAAGGTAAAATTGCTTTTTTCTTTTAAATATATAATTATTTAGAGCACAATTTATAAAACTTATTACAATAATAATAATAATAATAATATGCATAAGCTATGGCAAATGTTTGCCTAATTTTTGTCGTGTTCTTTTTTGTATTAAATTGGGGAAAGTAGTAGTAACTTACTTAAAGAGGCAACGCCGATATGTTCAGCCAGCAAATGCGCTCGTTGCTCATTGTTTAGCTCCTCGGTGCTCTCTGTGTCCGCACAACCACATCATAATTTCATAAGATTACATACAGACATACATATATACATGGACATATATAGATGCAGTAAATAAAATGTTTCTATCTGGGCCAAAAGCAACCAACTCGCACAAAATTGTCGAGCAAGCGTTTGGGACGGGGATGATCGCCCCAAGGAAAAGGGAGACGCGTACATAGGACAATATTATACGCATACATCATAAGTGATGATTATTGTACACACATAACCAAAGAAAATAAACGAGAAAGAAAATACACAAATTTAAATAGAAAACAAATTGAACTAAACTTAAAATTGCAGCCCAGAACTGAGAACTGCGTACGCTAAAAGTCAAGTGATGGATTATCATCAACTTCTGCTCTCTCTTTAGAATGGGGAGTGGGATGCATTCTACTTCTTGCCTATAATCGAGTCCATGAGCGGACCACGCAGCTCCGTGCTCAGTGCGATCTTGTGGAACTTGTTCGACTGATACTTGTTGAAAATTGCCCTCAATTTAGCAGTGGGCGCATCGCGTGCGAGCTTCGCAATCTGCCGTGTAATCGGCCGCAAATGGGCAGCGCTGTATCTCGAGTAGTACACCAGCGTCGGTGTCCAGTGCCTGTCATTGAAGCCCGTCGGAGCACGAGCATTGCCATTGAGCAAGTGCAGCGACAGAAACAGCGAAGCAGCCGCAATCTACAAATATAAAACAGAATACAATATATTTCAAATATATAATAGAAATAACACCCACCTCGGAGGGCTTATAGCTGGCCAGATTGTAGTCGAGGCTGGCCAGTTCCAAGAAGTACTTTGACATGGCATGATGACGATCATCAGCGCTGGCTGCCTTCGAGTAGCGCCTCAGGAAATGGATGGGCAATGGTCGCGACAGATTGTTATCGATCGCTTTGAGTATGAGCAGCTCCATTTTCTGGATCTCGTGGGCCGTATACGTGTCATCCGTAATGTAGACAAAGTCACACATGGCCGGCGGAAAGAGCTCTTCGTATTTGGTGGCTATGAAAAGCGCGGAGACGCCTACCAGCTGCAGATTCTTGCGTTTGGTGTCCTTCACCACCTGCAGATAGCGATCGATAATGGCGACGGCCAAATGGAAGGTCTCCGCTGTCAAATGAAACTGCAAATGCACCTCGTTGATCCAATCGATGAGGATGGCTCGCATCTTATACGACACCTCAGACTGACCTTCCAAGTGATCCGGGTAGATGGGCTGCTGCTCCTCTACCTCGTACAGATAGTCGTAAATATCGTTCACGTATTCAGAGACCAAAATCAGATTCTCCCGATCATCTGCATCAATATCCTCCACATCGGCCAGGCGACGACTGGACAGGGCCACTGTTGTTGTAGCTTTTGCTGAAGCTGCTGTTGACTGTGGCACGTTGTTGCGCAACTTTGGCAGCCTGGCTAAGTCAACAGTTTCCTTTTTCAGCTGAACGGGAGCATTAGACTCCTTCTTGAGCTGTGCACGAGGCAGCAACACCTCTTTCTTGACTGTAGCTGCTGCTGGAGCCACATTGGGCTTGGTCAAAGCGGCGCGCAGCTTGGTCAGCGATTTGCGCGACAAGTTGCTGTCCTCGCGGCGCAGCGTGTTGCCACCGTTGCCGCACTTTTCCCCATCGCCTATGGATTTTGGTTTGGATGCTGCGGCTACTGCAACTGTACGTTGGATTGGATGGGATTTGATGACAGGAGGATTGGTGGAGGAGGTGTGTTTGAGGCTCAGGGTTTTCAACTTACGCTTGCCGTTCGCAGCATCGGCGGCAACTTTTGCATTGGCCATTGTCGTTGACGTCCCTGTTGCTAGTCGGCCAGCAGCAGTAGTTGTGCCAATCGCGCCAGTTCGCATCGAATTGGAGCGCAGCAGCGGCATACCTGCTTTTGTTACCCCATTTGTTGTACCCAGTGGCTGCTTCTTCCAGTGTGTGTCCACACGAGCCTTGGTCGTGAGCTTCACATCTTTCAGTCTGTGACGAAAGAGGCAACATTTATTTAAAAAGCATATATATTTTTTTAAATAAACCAAAGAGGGCGACTATCGTTTATAAAGCTTTTCTGTTTTACAAATCGAAAAAGGCATCATGCATTTAAAAACCGAAAAACATTAATTTATAAAAAACGACAGTAATATTTATTTAAGTTTTTTTTTTTGTTTTAAATAAATCAAATACAAAATTCATTTCGAAATCGTTTCGTTTTTTTTATAAGCCGAAAGAAAAATGCAGTTAAATAGCAAAACTTAACAAAAATAATTTTATTAAAAGTCCTTTATTTTACCGAAGAAGACATTATTTAAATAATGCCTTGAATAAGCCGAGAAAAAGTAGCATTCATTTAAAAAAAATGTTTTTGGTAAACTGAAGATGGCAACATCCACTTCTTTTTTTTGTATATTGCCTTCACATTAGTAAATACCCTACTACATATAGTTAACTATTGCACTAGTAATGCATACACATAACTGTTATTTCACATTTCTCTCTTTTTACCTTATATAACTGTAAACTTACTCTTTGTGGGCCACATCTTTGGTGGTTATTTCACGAGCTAATCCCCGATTCTGCAAGTCGCCGAGTGCGGCGCGTTTTGTGGCTCCCTCGTTTGAAGGCACTGTCAGCTTTTTCACGTGGACATGATTGAATTTCTCCTGTGCATTCTGAGAATGATAAAAAAAAAAAAAAAAAATCAAACGGGGGATCAATGCACTAGGACAGACGGCCATTTTGAATGCAAAGAGGAGTGCAATTAGCGGTAAATGCACCGCAAGATATCTCCAAAAAGGGGGAAAAGTAGAAAAAGGCGCTAAGCGCATTTACCGCTGCTGCTGCAATAGCATCCGCAGCAACAAGATCGGCATTTTTCGTTCACCCTTCTCTTTCTCTTTCGCCATAATGGCGACGGCGGCGTCGCTGCTAACGCATTTAATTTGCTGCTGCTGAGTGTGATAAAAACTATTTTAATGTGCTCTTGCGGTAATTCTTACCTCGTCCATAATCACTTTAATGTTTGTTGCCGCCATTTTGATAGTTTTGCTTTATTTTTAACACAAATAATATACAAGTTCGTTTTGGAATGTGATTTTTTTTCTTGAGCGCGTCGCTTGAACGCAAATATAAATTGAGATTTTTGATAATTTACTTGTTGTAGCTAGTTTACAAATTGCACGAATATAGTTTTAAAATATTTTTCTCAACGAATGCTGCTTTAGTCAGAATTTTTGTGAGTCTGGCGAACTCTACGCACGATGCGATCGCAAGCCGCTGCCGTTTAGATTTGAAAAGCACGCCTACTGCTTAAAATAATGTGGCCAAATTGAACAACGTAGAAAAAGCCCACAAAGTGAGACCACAAATGCCCAACTGTAAGCCATACAAGCGATTGGTTTACCAGCAACCCTGTATCGCCGTAGCAGTGCTATAGCAATGAGCTTCTGTATACAAGCAAAAGAGTGTTGCCCATAAAATAAATTGGAATTTGAAAAACGTTAAGCGCTTAAATTTTAATATTAACTCGCTTTGCAAATGATTCAAGCTAAAGTTTTTTTTATTATTATTTATAGATTTTTCTTAGCGTACAGCAATGCAAATGTGGATTGTGGGCTACTATTAGCTGGCATATCATTGTGTCTCTCAGTGATTGCATCAATTAAAATTTGATCATATCAATTGGCTGGCATTTTGCAGCTTGATGGAAAATTTAGTTTTTAACAACGCTCGTTTTGCATTTCACATTTGCATTGCTGATTTAAGATTTCCTTCACAATGCACTTAGAGTTTTTCTTCTTCTTAAACGGCAAACGGAAATGCAGCATAATTCTTACAACGTTTTTTTTTCAACTCGACTGTGATGATCAGTGTCAAGTTTTCATTCCCTCCCCCCACACACAAACACACAATCATTTCCAGGCACTTGACCACAAGCACAAGAATAACTGCTAAAGAAGAAGAACAGCAATTGGCATCTGCACTTTTTGCTAATTTTTCGGCTACTTTAACGGTTAACGGTGCCATTCCATTGTTCCTTTCCTGTCCGACGCTGACTGCCTAATTAGCATATGCTATGTGTGCTTTGTGGCTCCATCCTCAACTCTAAAGCCTCAACGACGACGACGACGGCGCTCACAAGAGGAAGAGAGAGAGAGCGCCCGAGAGCCGATCGTGTGCCTCGCGGCTTGAATAAAGTTATCCGTTGTCGTGATTTTTTCGTCATTCGCGAATGTGCCGCTGCAGTGAAACGATCTCGTTCTGGCGCTCACTCGCTCGCTCTGTTTAGCAGCTCGCGCGCGGACGATTTAAATTTCATTCTATTTATCTGGTTCTTGGATCTGCTTAATTAGTGCCAGAGCAGTTGGAAAATCGACATAACTGACCTCCAAAAAATAAATCTAACCAAAAAGGTCTGCACGCCATATGATTTATATATCGTTTTATATATTTCGGCCAAAGTGTAATAAAAATTCATTTAAATTGTGTACTCCAAAAATGTTATGCTTGAGAGCGGCCGTTGATTTGTGTGTGTCTGTGCGTTTAAATCTAAAATAAATGCGCATAAATATTTAAACAAAAGCAGGCATTATTAATGCATAGCAGAACAACGCGTTTGTTTTATTTTGCGAATTTTTTAATTGGATCTTGTTATCGTTGTTATCAGTGTTATCCGGCGCCATTTGAACTGATATTAAGCGTGTCCGTGTCGTTGAAAAGTTAATCGATGTGCAATTTTGTAATCGATACCACAAAGAACTCAAGCAACGAACTTGCGCCCTCAAATTGGGGTTTTAAATGAAACTAAAAAATAAAAAAGTGGCACGCTAGAAAAAGTAAAGCGAAGCGCTGCAACAGCAAAAGCAACACAACAACAACAGCAACTGCAATTAATTAGTGCATAAACAGTTAAAGTAGCTGCCGCAGCAAAACACGTCGACAGCAGCCTCGGCAGCGCTGCGTGCATTCACTTTTCTCTCTGCCCGGCTGCTTCTGCTTCTGCTGCAATCGAAAAATACAAAAAAATTGAAGTGAAATACATTTAAACATGTCTTTATTATTTTTGTCTGTTTGCAGAAAATGTAATATAAGTAAAAATTGTGACGCAAATTCGCAAGTAAAATTAGCTTGTGGGGCAGAATAATATTAATACTAATACCACCATATATTTTGCAATAAATGCAATTTGTTCGCATGGTAGTTGCAACAACAGCAACAACAAAGCAGTGCTTGAGCAATCAACAAATGTAAATAGTAATTTTACAAGAAACAAACACAATTCGCTTAATTGCTGTCAACTCCAAAAACGTCGTTATGTCTGCGATTGCAGCTAATCAGCATGATCAGAGTTATCGTCACCGTCATCGTTATCGTCATCGTCATCGCTTGTGCCTAATTGTTTTGGCTGCATTATGGCTGGACACACTGGTTGCTGCGACTGCTGCTGCTGCTGCTGCTGACCTCGACGCCGACGTCGACGCCAGTGCAGTGCACATTGAGCTGCGACGCAGGAGAAGTGTCAGCTGGAATGGCATTGAGGTAATTCGAGATCTTTGATTGCAATTGCAAACGATTCATTTATTAATTGCATTTGTCACATGGCCAAATGCTAAATGGGTACATCAATAATAGTCTATTGTGTCATAGCTTACGAGCAACATGAATCAGATATATATATCTATTTATGTTTTTTTTATGAAAGATACCTTCAGTCAATGCTAAATATGCATGCGCATGATTCATGATTCATAAGGGAAAATGTCAAGCAATGAAAGACCAAAGTAAGCTAAATATGAAAACGCGTGATTCGATAAGAACAGTCAGCAGACTCAGAGTGAGGCGTGGAAATGAACTAATTTTTACAACTGCAAGTGAAACGTGCACTCCGCACGAAATTGGACACCAGCCTGTCCATATAATGAGCTTAACTTCATTTGCAGCAAACAAATAAAATCGTTTGTCGAACAAGTCGGCTGCTTGTCAAATTACATGATTTTATGGGACAACTCGGCGTTCTCGGAACACTTCCACAGACCAGCGATATTTTGAACTAAGAAGGCGTCCAGCCGTCTCCAATATGTTGTACAAATGTTGCAGCGAGCGAGGGTTGCATATACACATATTTAAATGCCAAATCTAATGAGCAAACTATGATCAAAGGTCAGCTAGAGTTTGCCTAAAAAACTAAGCCATTTTCGATAAAAATTATGAATATATTTTGGGTGGTAAATCAAGTTTGATTACAATTGTTTTACAAAGTTTACGATGTTGCTCGAAAAGGCGATTGCTTAAAAAAATAATAAATTATTATTATTATTCGTATTGAGGGTTACTGTACTGCGATCTGTTCAATATATTATATGCCTTCAGAGCCACACAATCCCTATTCTCGGATTTCAATTTCTTCCGTGTTAACATCATCCTTCCCAAGAATACTATATATTTTCCGGCTATCTGCTACGATGTGCTTTGAGAATAACTTCTCATTGTGGCCAAATAAGTACGGTAGTCAAAATTGCTGTTATATACTTTCAATTCATAAAATTAAATAACTTTGAATCTATGGTACTTTTGGAGCCACCCTCGTGGGTTGTTTTAATGGCAAACTGTCGGAATGCATCGCACGATTTGTCAGGCGAAGAAAAACACGCGTCAGCGGCTGGGCCAAGAAGTGTGGCTCCACTTTTTAGCAGCTGCGAAATTTACAGCTGAGCGCTTCGCGGGCATTCGTCAAGTTATTGACCCAACTGGCAATTTGTTGGTAATACTTACACCTACACACACACATACATGCGGACTTGGTCGCAGCTGAGAACCTTTAGTTGCTTACACGGGAAGATTGTCGGTTCCGCCATTGTTATGCGAGATTCGTTTACTTTACTTACCTCTTGGACTGGCAATTGGGCTTACTTACGCTGTGCCGACCAATTGCTGTGACTTAATTTTAGCTCTGTGTCGCTGTTTTTCTTTGTTATGCCATTATTTGCTGTTGTTTTTTACTATCCACGGGTCACGCAAAATTTCATCACATAATCGCGCAGAGAGTCGGGTTACCAACGAGTGCGAATGTTGTTGCAGGCATTTTCCACTTCCATTTCCACACTTGTTGGTTTTATGTTTTGTTTGCTGTTGCTGGTAAGCTTTTCCGGCACTCGATGTTGGCTGATGGACCCGGCCTTTTTGTTCCGTTGCCGTTGCTGTTGCCCTTGCCGTCAATTAGTGTCGTTTTATCGAACATTGTCTGAATGCACTCACACACAAAGGTTATGAGTGAATTAGTGGATGAGTGACTGAACGACTGAATGAATGTATGGCGTGCTGGGTGTCCAGGTTATAAATTTGAGTTCATTTCGCAGAATGCTTGGCAGAATTAAATGAGTCAAGTGTTGATCGAATAGCTATCGAATATTGAAAGGGGTATACCAATAATTTAGAATAAGAAGTGTATACTATATATGAAATTATGGGTGACCTGCAAAAGTGTTTAATATTCTGCTTGGCAGCACCTCAGTAAAAAGTGAGACAATTGTTGATCGAATATATATCGAGTAATTATCGAATAGTTAACGAGTATATCTGTCAAATAAATATAAAGTAATGGATTACCTATAAGCAGTATTTAATATTAACATTGATCAAATAAAGCGAAAAAGTTATTGATCGAACAGTTATCGATTAGTAAACCAATCGTTATCGAACAGTTTTTCAAAGAATTTGCCAATTGAAGAACTTTAAGAACTTTCTAGCAAAAACTTGCTCAATACTTATCGAACGGTTATCGATTTGAATATCGATAACTTATGGTTTTAGATACGAAGTTGATCAAACTTCATAACCTAATACCCGTCGAACCCGCCAAAGTATTTGGCACTTGAAAAGCTTTAACAAGGGGCTAACAAAATCTTGCGACCTTAATGTTATCGATTTGACTATCGATAACTTGTGATTTGACCTACAAATATGCTGTGCTCACGAGAAAACTGTTTAATTCCACTTTTTTATATTCGTAATGATAAATATCCATAATCACCCAACATTCTCCAATTGTACAAATCAAAAAGTTCACTGCCACGCCCATTTTTGGCAGCATTGCTTTGTTTACCATACCAAAACGCCCATAGCAATTTGTGAAACACCTTCGGTCAAGGAGGATAGGCGAGAAGGGGCGGGGAGTAACCGCCCATTTGAGCCAAGTGAAGCGGTCTTCATGCATCGCTGCCCATCGACGCGCTTTTCCAAAATATAACAACAAATTAAATTAAATAATAGCACAAACGGGCACACGCACAGCCTCAATGGGAAGATTCGTAGCTGCAAACCGATAAACGATTGCGATAACCGATTTACGATATTCGTTCGATGCAGCTTGTGGTTATTTTATATGCCACTTCCCATTGGCCTGCACAATTTTTGTTGACGTAAGACGAAAGACAAAAAAAAAGAAGCAATTTAATGGGGATTTTCCTAAACTAATTTTCTATTGTTGTGTGTAGTGAAAGTGTTTTTATTTGGTATTTGGTTTCTTGGCGTTTTAAAACACCCTTTTGCTCTTTGCTCGCTTTACGCTTTGTTGAACTGCGCTCGTTATACGATTTTAACTTGAAGTTTGCATACCATTTAAACCAGCACATCTCTCGCTTCCCTTTCACTTGCAGCTGGATGAGAACGCTCTGCTGGAGCAGCTGGCTGGCCATGAGCGATCTTTAATCTTCGGCACGGCACCAGGTAAGTTCTTGGCGCGCAACGGATTGGAAAGATTAATTCGGCTGACATAAGCTAACCTACATGTGGGTGTATACAGTGAAAGCTCCCTTCAGCGAGCACACACATAGTTCTAGAGAAAAACTGCACAGAAAAGTGAAGTTAATTAATGCTTTTATTCATAATTTTTAGAGGCTTTTTCATATACATATAAGTATGTCAGTGTTGAATGATAATTAATGTTTGCAGACCATTAACTATGCTAAATTTGGCTCCCAAAGATATGACAACTCTTAACTATATACAATCTGTTGTTATCCTTAAATGTTTGCTTGCTATACAAATATAATATTGGAGATGGAATCAAATTCGAAGAGAAAGAGTTTGAGCTCATTTCTAAGTATGTCAGGGTTGAATGATAATTAAGGTTTACAAACTTTGTGCATATTAAATTATATGAATTACTTCTCTTGCTGTCCTTAAATGCTTGCTTGCTTGCTATACACATAAAATGTCTAGAAACGAATTAAATTCAAAGTAAATATAGAAAGAAAGTAAGCTCATTATTGGTTTCTTTTTTCATTTCTAAGTATGCCTGTGTTAAATGATGAGAAAAGGCCACAAACTATTTTTAGATTCCAAATATTTAAGCATTAAACGGAAAGGTAGTTGAAACTACCTCATTTTCCTCGTTGACCTTAAATGTTCGCTTGTTGCTGGTGGCACAAAGAACAATTTTCCTATAAGTTCCTATAAAGTTCGCCCAAGGCAGTTTTCCGTTTAAGGGGACTGTTGTACTAAAGTAATTCAAGTTTGGATCGCAAATCAATGCCAATGCGGACAGGCAATTGAGCGAACGAACTGCAACATGTTATTACCAAGAACGATAGGTGGTCAGAAGTCGGCTGGTAGAGTGGGAGAGGCAGTGGGCGGTGGGAGGTGGGAGGTGAGTGGTGGGCATAAAGATGTAAGCAATTTGTGGCAGCTTGGTCCGAACATAATTATTATTATCGATTCATGGCAAGCACATTTGCATTCTTTATTATTGTTTTCGCTTGTTTACCTTGCAGCGCCCGAATTTAAATTGGTGCAGCTGGAGCGACGCAGTGCAGCGCAGCAGGAGCAGCATCAACAGCAACAGCGGCGACGTCGCAGTGCGGCACAAGGTAAGTGTAAATGCATGCCACAGAGCACACACACACACACACACACACTTACACAGAGAGAACTCGTGCTGCTCCAGTTGTGTCTGCTGGCGGTCATTATGCGAATAGTGTTAATTAATTCAAATGCATTTGGCAGCCGGCACTGTGGAGGCTGAACTGAAGCTGAAGCTGCTGCAAGCGCCGCAACTGATCGACGATGCCTTCATCTTCATACGCCGCAACGCGAATAGCACGCAGTTTGTGGAGCATTCGCCGCAACTGTTGCAGCGTCTGGAGCGATGCATCTATCGGAGTCCATGGGCGGCCCTCGACTTGTGCGATGCTCAAAGCGTGGTGAGTATTAGAACATGCTCTCCCCCTATTATCTGTACTGCTGACCAATTGAAAGGCGAAAGTGGAGGAGGAGCTGAACGAGGATTTGGAGGATGAGGTGGAGGTGGTGTTGAAAGAAAAGACAGAATGCAGACAAATCTTTAAGAAGGATCTCTCTCAACACAATTAGCTACTGTTGCACTTGACACAGAACAACCATGTGCCGTTCTCACCGTTTCATATTGTGTTTGTTACGAGAAGGAGAAGGAGGAGATGTTCCTGGGTAATTAGCTACTGACAGAGCTGTTACAGTGCAACCCTGTTCTGTTGCCATCATTTCTTTTTCAACATGTAACATTTCTATGTTCCATTCCCAACACATTTCCTATTATGCGTTCCATTTTTACTGTTCCTTGCTTAATTAATGGTCTTGCGTGCAAAGTCCAAGTTCATATGTACCTTTTCGTCTGTGTCACTGTTCCAGGCAGGTACAAACATATTGAGAGCATTGCTTTTCCATTTGTTTCATTTCCACTGTTCCATTTTCCATTTCCGCTGTTCCATATACCAATTTCACTGGACTGTCTAACTGCCCAACGAAGACTAACTTTAGCCATACATATTTATTAATCGCAACTGCACAACTTGTCGGCACCTTTGCAGCGCGGCGTTTTCCAGCAGAATGCGAGCAATTTTGTTGTCCAACCGCTGCCGGCTCGCTTTGGGGCTGCCACCCATGTGCTCTACCAGGCGCGCTTAGATAAGAGCTTGAGCAGCAGCGGTAGTCAGACGACACCGTTAGACAGTCAGCTGCAGTTTGAGCCCGATGCAGACGAATTCAACGAACCGCAACAGCAGCAGCAGCAGCAACAGCAACAGCAACATCAGCAACAACAAGAATCGCAGCAACGCCAGCAGCTGCGTCACAAATTGCAATCACAGCTGCGACTGCGCTATCAGCCGCGTCATCATCATCATCATCACCATCATCATCATCATGACACTGGCATTGCCAGCGTTGACTCTGCAACGCCGCGTCTTAGGCGGCACATTGCCGGCGGTGGAGGAGGAGGAGGAGGTGGAGGAGGCGTATCACGTCGCTGGCCAGTGCCACATGAGCTTCACATTGAGACGGCGATATTTGTGGACAGTGATCTGTATCGGCACATGGAGAAGAACTATCCCACGGATACGGAGAGTCAGCTGATACGCTTCGTCCTGGCCATGATCAATGGTGTGCAGCTGCTGTATCACCATCCCACGCTCGGCAGGCGCATCAACTTTGTGCTCAAGCGCCTGGAGATATTTCGCAAGGATCCGCCAGAGTTGCGACGCTCGAGCGATATTGACAACTATTTGAGCAACTTTTGTCAGTGGCAGAAGAGCCTAAATCCCGCCTCGGATGCGGATAGCTTGCACTATGATCATGCTGTGATCTTGACGGGCTTGGATCTGTATGTGCTGGCCAAGAATGGGAAGGTGATTAGCCAAGTGGTGGGTCTGGCGCCAGTGGGCGGCATGTGCACGCCCACATCCTCCTGCACCATTAACGAGGGCAAGCACTTCGAGAGCGTCTTTGTTGTTGCCCATGAAATTGGACACAAGTCAGTTTTGAATGCCTTATTAATTATGTATTATTTTGAGATTGTTCACTTATTATCATTTTATGCCTTTCATTTAGTTTGGGAATGCGTCACGATACAAAGGACAACAGTTGCGATCCCAGTCTGCACATCATGTCGCCCACTTTGGGCAGTGGAAAGATCACCTGGTCGAAATGCTCTCGCACCTACTTGGACGAGTTCTTGGCGTCAGTAAACAAATCAACTCGTCGCTCATTGCAAATCTTGAAGTTTGTTTGTGTAATTTATTAAATTGCAGTCAGTCGCAGGCCGAGTGCCTCTTCGATCGGGGACAGTTCAAGGCGCATCTGGACCACTCGGCTGAGGGTATGCTGCCCGGCGAGCGCTTCGATGCCAATCAGCAGTGCATGCTCAAGTACGGTCGGAATGCGGTCCGTGCGCATAGCCAGAGCAAGTCAGAGATCTGCCACGATTTGCACTGTCAGCAGGAGAGACTCACATGGACCTCGCATCCAGCACTGGAGGGCACTGAGTGCGGCGACAGCATGGTAAATAGCGTATCTTCAACTCTAATACTATCGAGTCTAGCGTTTTGCTCTGCGAATTTGTTGACTTTTACAGTGGTGCCGCGGTGGCTATTGCAAGCTGCGACCCACACAGGAGACGGCCATGAGTTCGCTGAAGCAGCTGAGCGGGTACTCGAAGCCCAGCTATGAGAAGAGCAGCGCCAGCATTGCGGACTCCAGCAAAATGGGTCAACTGCTGCACGAGTACAAGACTAGTGGCAATGAGCTAGCCGCAGTTAGCAACTGGAGTGACTGGGGCGGTTGGGGCGAGGCCAGTCACTGTGACTCCGGCTGTCTCTACGGTCCCTCGAATCGTTTGCGTGAGGGCAGCACAGGACTGCGCATCTACAGTCGGAGCTGCCGGAACTATCGCCAGCGTTGCATGGGCCGGGATCGCAAGTTTGAGACGTGCATTGCCAAGCAGTGCTACAGTGTGCCCCTGCAGACAATCGCTGACTTTGCCACACAGGTGTGCAAGCAGGCGCGCAAGTCCGACAGCGAACTGACCGGCGAGGGGCAGCAGCTAAGCGCCTCCATTGGTGAGTCTCTGATTAGCACTTAAATTATTTAACAATGTTGAGCACTGTTCTTTATTCATTTTAGAGGACTCGTGCAAGGTGTTCTGCCGCACTCGAAGCAATGGCACCAAATCCCGTCGATGGACCTTTCCCGATGGCACCACCTGCCGCTCCAAGTATCAGAGTGCGGATCAAATTGCCTACTGCATTGCCGGACGCTGTGAGCAGTTCTCCTGCGACAATGCCACCACCAATTTCTTCAAAATGGACAGCACCTTCTGTGCGTACCGCTCTCCGCGGCCACAGCGCGATTCCACGGAGCTGGAGAGCAAGCAGCAGCCCAGCTATAATCACAGAAATCGCTATGAGAATGGTATGTGTGGAATTAGGGAAGGTTTTGATATCTTGTTGAAGACTCTTACTGAAGATCTGTTAAAAGTTATTCTAAATTCCATTTGTATCCATGTTCTCTCAGAATATTGATTAAATAGTATCTTAAATTGAATCGAGAACAAACCATTAACTGGTACATTAACATTAATTACATTAATATTTCCCATTTCTTTTTCAGAGGTTGCTGTTCGCATTTTGCATGGCCACGAGAATCGTATAGTTCCACAGCAGCAGTCGTACAAGCGCAAGAACCCATCCAATGAATACAAATATAATAACAACATCAACAACAACAATAATTATAACAACAATGTGGTGCAGGAGTCATTTATCAAGTCGCCGCCGCCGCCCGCCTCTGCCTCGCTGGTGGTGGAGTCGTTGTCGGAGTGGGAGGTCAAGTCGGGCTGTCACTCCAATTGCATGACAGAGTCAAAGGGCGTGCAGGTGGTCCGTTCACGGCATACGGGCGAGCCCAATATCCAGTTGTGCACGCACAAGGTGAAGCCCTGCGAGCGACTGCTGACGACGGCAGAGTATGCGGAACAGACGTGTGCCCGCTACAAGCTGAAGGTGCGTGGCCTCTCCGGCCATGGTGCGCAGATTTCGGCAAGTATTGGGGAGCCAGATCGCAGCTGTCGCGTTGGCTGTCAGGACGAGTTGATCAAGTATCGCTATTATCTGGTGAACGGCAACAACGGACACTTTCCCATTGGCACACGCTGCTCGCAGGTGGGAAGGCGTTATTGTGTCCAGGGCAAGTGCCTGGAGTTCGGTGCGGATAATATGCCGCTGCAGCAGTCACACATCAGTCTGGCCCTGTTCCGCAGTAAGCGTGGGGCGGTGCATCGCTCGAAGCGCAGCTTCCTCTACTACGATCCGGTAAACATTACCGAAACCATTACACAGGACTTTCTCAACAACATTGTGCGCAGCATTATTGACATTGAGCGGCAGCATTTGGGTGCGTCATCTGCAATCTACTTAAATCTTGCATATATATTTTCTATAGAAATATTAATTTATTTCAATTTTATATATTTATTAATATCGAACTATTTATTAATCTAACTTTATTTGCATCTAATTCTCTCTTGCAGATTTCGCCGCCGACAACATCGAATTTTCCAATCCTATACACGTTTCTGCGGATGAACTGAGCAACAACTGAATATATCGTAGCGTTTAATTTTTTATTATATATATTTGTATATGTATTTCGTATGTAGTTCTTAAAGTTTTTTGTGGCTGCCGTTCTGCTCAGATTGCCCCTACCCCCACGCTTTGGGCTCTCTCCCCCATAGTGATTTAAGTCTAGTTTTAAATCTTAAGCTGCAACTTGTACGAATCTTAGCTGAAATATACGTGTGAATGTGACTGAGAGCTGCTGGCCGATAAACTTAAAATATTCAGCCCAGCTCTGCAAGATATTATTCTGTTTTTATTTGAACAGGTCTATACTCCATAAGGTAGGCAAAAATTCCTCAACTGAACCCTCCACGAGGGTGTCGACTGGTAATAGCATCACAGTGGTCCTGCAAGGTACTGATGCTAGCTAAGACTCGTGCCCTGAACCTCAGACATGAACTGCATCCATAGTCTTGTCGCTGGGAAAGGACCGAGTCATGGTTCGAGGTAAAGGGCCGGACTAAGGTGTTATGCGACCCGTGCCGATAGTCAGCCAGGCTGGGGGCCCTTAAATAGCCCAGTCTTACACGGAGCATATCGGATACCTGGCGACCTCCGATATTAATCAGCCTTACCTGCACATCGCGGATCTCTGTGCAGGCGGACATCTCCTTTCTCCGCAGCTCGTGGGAATCCAAATGTATTCCGCAAATAAAAATCCGCAAAAAGAGCCCGGTACTCTCTCAAAACCAGTAGGGAGCAATCCCAAGCATGTAGCGGAGGCAGTGGCTCGCAAGCCTGGCCAAAGCGGCAGCATGACAAAAGTGGCGGAAAAGCCTGTTTGTCAAGCCAGCGGCGAGGGTGCAGCTGGTAAAAACCCCGACCCATCCGACTCCGTGGCAGGAAAGCAAAGCACTTGTGTAGCCAACCTGCCAGCCGGAGCGGGTGCTAAGGGCGATTTGCCAACTACCAGCGCTGCGGCTAAAAGGTTCAGCTATGCCGACCGCAGAAGTGCCGCAAACATTCTGAAGCGGCAAAACGCGAAAACACGGCCAAATCCACCAACCGAATGGCAAAACAAAGTGGTGTAGGCTAGGAAGGTGCTGCCAAACTTCTGTGAGGCTCCACCCCATAAGGAGCAGAGCCGGACAAAAAGGCAGCGCTCGCAGGTAGCACACGGACCCGTTGCAAAACGGGCCAAGGTGCAGCAGGGAAGGTCCTTTGCTGACATTGCCAAGGAGAGAATCCTTATAGGGATCCTTGACAAGGGAAACAAGGACGGAAGAATCCCAAGAAATCAGTGGAAGTGGGTGGAAGGGGCCCTCGCTATCCAATGCCTGAAGCTACTAAGCAAGGCGCCTGGGTCACCACCGGTATGCAGGGATGCTGGGTGGTACCAGGGTAACACGAAGGTTATCAGAGCTTGGTGAGGTCTACCCCGGGGCGAAGCTGGTCGCTTTCGACTGGAGCGAAGTCCCGAGTAGACCTCGTGCACGCATCTGGATCCCGGCCTCCTTAAAGGAACCGGACCAGGTGCTTAATCTTTTGCAACTATGCAACCCCTCTCTTCCCACCCATGACTGGAGGGTGGTGAAGATTGAGGCCACCGAAGGGCCAACAAATCAGGCTGTGCTGATTCTAAACAAGGAATCGCTGGCCCCAATTGAAGCCGCCAAGGGCGAGCTAAACTTCGGCTTCGGCTCCATTACCGTTAAGGTATATAAATCGGATGCGCCGGCCGGAGGAGACTCTGTTGTCTGTAACAAGACGGCCGAACAGGGTCCTCCTGCGGAGATCGGAGAAATCGATGAGGAGCTGGAGCCAGGCTATACGTCGGACACGTCGACTCTGACTCGGGGCCTTGAGGCCGACAGCAACAACACGGTGGTGAGGGCGGTATCTCCGAATGTCCTTGAGACTACGGCAGATAAACCTTCACCACAGTAAAGCAGCATCCGCTGCTCTGATGCTCCGCCTGGCTGGAGGCGGAGACGACATAGTACTAGTCCAAGAACCTTGGGTGATTGGAGGAAAGGTTTGCGGACTAGGAAACAAAAATTACAAGCTGTTAGTAGCTGGAAATGAAGGTAAAAAACGTACCTGCATCCTCGCGAAAAAACATCTAAATATTTTTCTGCTCCATAATTTTAGCAATGATGACAACACATAACACAACACTCCATAATTTAGCAATAAGCCTGGAGCTCCAGTCAGCTTCGGTAAGGCTACTGTCTGTCTATATGGCCTACGACAGCGCCGGCCCACCACCAGATGAGACTACAAGGTCCCTCGTCCAGGAGTGCGAGAAGCACAGAATTGGCCTAATCATAGGCTGTGACGCCAATGCTCACCACATCCAGTGGGGGAGTACGGACACAAATCCGAGGGGTGAGTCACTCTTATCCTTCATTCTTAATACTAACCTTTTAGTATGTAATACGGGTAATGAACCCACTTTCATTATTAAAAATAGAAGAGAGGTCATTGATCTGACCCTCATCTCACAATCTATGAGCGACCAGCTAATAGGTTGGAGAGTGTCTGATGATCACTCCTTCTCTGATCACAGATACAGCTAGGAAAGGTACTATACTACCACTCCTCGCGGATAAGGAAAGTATAAGTATGCCTCTAGCTACCTGTAAGCTCAACATCAGAAAATGGCAAAGTGCCACCTGTGCCCGCATAGCATACAATACATGGCCAATTATCAACTCCAAGGGCAGCAAAGAGCTGTGCAGTCTAAGTCGGACCAACTGTTCTGCAGTGATCCGGGCTCTAACTGGGCACTGGTTGGTAGGCATTCATGCCAACAACTCCAGGTGCCATACAATGACTTTTGCAGAAGCTCCAAAGATGAGGAGGAAGTGGAATCTCCGGAACATTTCTTCTGCCACTGCCCAGCACTTGCTAGGAAAAGGCTGGAAATCCTGGGAAACCACTCCCTAACTGATTTATCGGAGCTCCGAGACATGAGACCGGCCATGATAGCGAAATTCATAAACGCATCCGGCTGGTCAAATGTTTAAATGTTAGAAATGCTTTGGAGGCCCATAGGGCTGACAGCCGACATGACCTAACCTAACCTTACTCCATAACCAATCGTTTGCTAAGTCAAACCTACTTCTTTCTGGGTACTTTTGTGGCGGGCTGTGTGCCTTATAAGCATTTTAATAATTTCAAGTACATGACTAATTTCTATAAAAAAAAACGTGCCATAAAAAAATCAAAATAATACTCAAATCTCTGCTGCTTTAACCTTTAACAATGCACACAAATAATTCAGTTGACCTCAAAACTAATGCCACTTGTGCTTGTGACAGGGCCTTAAAATAAAAATGATTCCTCAAATAATGTGGCATACTTTTTATTCTGCCAGCTAAGCACTGCATGGTATGCACGCATTACATTGACAACTAAGACAAGACACCCACACACTCTCATGCAAGTAACTGCCACGCCCACACAAACACATACAGACAGCCAGACACAGATACAGAGAAGAAGGACGCCTCGGCACTCGTCGTGCTCATCAGTTGTGTTACCATTTTTGGCGTTTGCATGCAAACACTAACAGCCATTACCAATATTCGATACCAAAAGGATAACAACAACAATTACACACACACACACACACATATAAAGGTTGCCTGTGTGTGCGTGCGCTAGAAATTAGATAAAAACACCTACAAAATGCTGAATATGCCGCAGTCGACAACTCAAGCGCGCACCGTGCAAACCAAAACCAAAGAAAAGTAAAAGAAAACCCATCGGAAAATTGAGGGAAAACTTGCAAGTGTTTGGCTGTTGTCAGTATCTGGTGTCCAGTGATTTGTGTGTTTGCATTTGTAAACTTGACCAGCTGCTGGCTCGTTCACGTTGCAAGTTCAATGCACCTGCTGCAATCGCCTGTGGCTCATAAATGATGCAAGAAAAGTGTTTAAATCTGCCGCTTAATATCAAATACCAAAGTGCAAAACTAATGGCCTCAATTTAGCGTTTAATTAGTCATTTAATTGCTGCTCGATTGGCATTGACATTTTAATGTGTCCACCTCGTGACCCTTGAGTCCTCGGGGACTCATAAAATTGGGTCACATGCCAAGAAAATTGACTCGCCTTGAGGTATTTCTGTAATTTCCAGCTGCGTCATGAGCACGCAGCTCATGAAGATAATGCCGGAAAGTGTGTCAATTGTTTTTTTTTGTTTTTAATAAAACTGGACCCATATATCCACTCTGTTTGGCCAGTCAGCACGCAATGTCCAGTTGGCCGGGTTCCAATTAGTCATTATTAATTCCCAACTCAATTGCTCAATTTGCAATTCACAATCAATTTTTAACTTCAGTTTTGTTTGTCTTCGCACTGCAGTTGTTGTATTCAGTGCGAGTTCTCATCGGCTTTCTGGCACGTGCTATAATTGCCATGTACGCCAGGACCTTGAGGTCCTTTCATAAATTGCTGTTGTTGCTGTTCTACTTTGATAATGTTCGAAATCGAAATATCGATTTGCGTTAATTGGTTTGTTTTCGTTTTCGCCGCCACTCAACCAGCAATTCAATTCTTTGGTTATTTCATTAGGCGGCGTTGTCCGTTAAAGTATGCAATGGGTTTTCCATGTGCAGTCGTTGCCCCAAAGTGCTTGCTTTAGTTTTTTCTGTTAGCTAGCACATGCAATGCACATGTGATGGGCATTAGTTTAACGACCACAGATATATTTCAATTGCTCTGTGCTTAGTGACCAAATGTGGCATACGTGAAGTGCAAATAAATGGTGAACAAATTAGTTATTATCTGAAGTTTCTGGTGTTCAGTGCGGTTGTGAAAGTAATTCGTTAATATTCGTTAATATGCACTTATATTCGTTAATATGCACTTATATAAAATAATAATGTGGAAATATTTGAGTAAAGTTCAAATTTAAGAATTGCTTATCTTAAATCTATATAAAAATATGATTAGTGAGCTCTCAAAAAATCTGCACTGTTTATGGTACAAACCCAAAATATCCTGTTCACATTGGGCTTGCACTGTTTTTTTGTTTAAATGAGGGTGATCATGTTTACATTTAGTATTTGCATGTGCAGGTCACTCATTTTTAATGTAGAGACACGCGAACCACTCGCTGCAATTGGTTAAGGGAACCACAACAACCGCCAGTAAACTGACCATAAAATGCGTTAAAATCGTCACTGTCTGTTAGACGTCGTTCAACTGGCAAGAGCGACGGACGGACAGCAACGCAACAGTGGAAGAATAAAAATCGTTGTGAATAATAGTGATAATACAATAAAGAAAGCTAAAGCTAAAAACATGTGCAGATTAAATCGCGACTGGAGCAACTCAAAAAGTCGCGGACTTTGAAAGGATACTTTAGAAGCGCAACGTAAGAAACACGAGTTGGAGGCATGCCACCAAAGCGAAGGCGCAGATTTCATGGACTCTATTACCATTCATCGCCGCCAAAGGGTGAGTGCACAGAATGATGAATACATCCACTGAGAGCCATTCATATTCATTAGTTGCGCCTAATTAAGTCAATTACAATTAATGTGTGGCACACCAATTAAGTAAGAATCCACAGTGGAAAATGTTGGCGTGGTGGGGAGTGAAGAGCATGCGTGACAAAGCGCAGACATGGCCAAAATTTGCATATTGCGTGCGCCCCAAATGGGAGCACAGGATCAACAAGTAACCTCCTCCCCCTTTCACCCAAAGCCCCCGAGAAGCAACTGGCGACGACATTAAGTGGCAGCCGCTAATGCGCCATTTCCGAGGCAATAGTTGCCTTTTATTGCCTACAACTTTGTTGCCACACTCCAACTTAATTTACATATGTGAGCGCTATATACGTATATATAAACATACCTGTACATGAAGACCAGGATTAAAGGTTACTTTTTTTAGACTCAAATCAACCTGAGTTTAAGCAATAAAAATGTGGTGTAGCTAAATATTTACATACGAATGTGCTAATGAGTGTGTGAATGTGCTGTTTACCAAGGCGCCTACATACTCTGTAAATTTTATAAAGACCGTGTGGTAAAGACTTATAAGAGCCTTGGAAGAGACTATGGCTATGTACATGAATAAAGCATATTTGTATAGCGATAATTGAACGATAATTAGAAGAGAAAGTACATCTTTTAGTCGATAGATTATAAATTACCACAGTAAACTCCAGTAAAAAATATATAAATTATCTCCTATATTAATTAAAAAATAAAATAATTAAAAAATAAAAAATGAATAGTAATCACAAATCTATATCCCATGCAAAGTGTATACTTATAAGCCAGTTGAAATTCTATATCCATTCCCCAGGTGAGACTATCATTAAAGCTGTAGATGAACGATAAGAGAACGATAAAAAACAAAAACTATATCGATATAAAAACACTGTATACACGTAGATTGCATACACATAACTTTCTTATTTACTCAGAACACATAAAAATGTAGAGGAACAGCGCGTACAGGACGGAATTACCGACCAACACAGCGATGGAAAATGGCACAACAAACGAAACAAAATGAAAGAATGGGGAATAAATAGAAAAAAATGAGAAATAACACATTCAGCTGTCCTAAATTCAACACCTTGCTTTGGTCAGTAGCGTTAGTTGGCCAACGTGGCTCAAACTTGCCACACGCAACAAGACGAACGAACAGCTGCTTAAAGGGCTCAATTCCTTCAAGCTAACACACTAAGTAGGCGTTTTGTGTAGTAGCGTTTGTATAATTAATCAGCCCAGTACAGTCACATATGTACTACTACATACTACATCACTATCGATAAATATACATAAATATAAATATACAAATACATATACATTGAAATACTCTATACAAATCGTCTGAAACAATTGCAGTCATGCCAATGAACGGACAGGCAGCCGGCAGCCAAAATGGACGCAAGCGCCGTGAGAACGATGGTGCGTATGAGTAATCCGTTAAATATTTGCCTTTACATTTAAATTGGTAAGATCAAACGTATGGGTTGCGAAGGCGTTTCACTGCCAGCTGTCACTTTCTCAAGCGCTGCTCAATATTTCAATGGCGCTTGCATTTTAAGTGCAGCCCGGCTTGGCAGCGTCGCGACCTTCAAGGCGTTTCCAAGTTTGCCAAAAAGAAAAGAAAAAAAAAATGACTTGTGAAAACTCCATTGTGAAAAGTCATAAAAGTTGTTGAGACTTTAAGCTAAGCATTTGCTCGCGAATTTTAGCTTTTTAATTTCGATTTTACTTGCAAATTGCATGCAAACACGAACAGCCAGGTAGCCAAAAAAGAAATCGAAACCCAAGAAGGTAGGGGGCGTGCTTTTGGCTTGGAAAGGGGCGGACACTTAAAAAATTTCTGTGTTAAATTAATTTTTCTGCACTCTCAATTGCAATTGTTTGTTGGCAACGTGGCGCCTAATAGATTTCTCCGTGAAGCTATCAACTATACGCATCTGGATGCACGAAAAGGACATTGGCAAGCTGACGCGCATATTGTGGGCGGGCCAGGGACAACGCCTCTGTCAGCAGGCCAGCAATAACGGGCGTGTCAAACGCTTTCTGGCCGCAGTGCCACATGTGATGGTAAGCCTGCCAGCGAGCTAACAACTGAATAAACTGAATTCTTTTTGATTGCCAGAATGCCACCAAGGATCTGCATCAGGCGGTAATCGATAACAGTTTGGAGACGTTGCAAATGCAGTTGGAACCACCGGTGCCACCATCAATGGTCACCGCCAAGGACAGCAATGGTCTAAATATCATACACAAGGCCGCCGGCTTGGGTCACACCAAGATACTCGAGTATCTCATTGGCCTGTGGCCGGAGGGCGCCCACGAGATCGATATAACGGGCAAGACGCCGCTGCATTGGGCCGCCAGCGCCAAGAATAATATGCGCTGCTATACGCTGCTCACCCAGGCCGGCTGCGATGAGGAGGCACAGGATTATGTAAGTTTGTGTCTTGAAAACAATTAAAATTGCTTTCATGTCTACTCGGTTGCTTGCAGAAAATGAAGACACCCTCATACTATCGCCACAAGCCGCACGAAATCGAGCGGGCCTATTTAGTCTATGTGCCGGAAGCGCCTCGCATCTCCCCGGATAGCGTCACCGACTGGGAGGCACTTAGCGATGATAGCGACAGCAACGCCGGTGGCGATGCCAGCAGCAATAGCAGCAAGCCAAGCAAGGTTAGGGATCTGTTGTTTTTTTTTTATAGTGTGGCTAATTGAAAAGCCTTTCACCTGTTTTTTTTTTTTTTGTGAGCCAGAAATTGGATATAAAACCAGCAGCCGCTGTAAATGGTCGTAAATCGTTTGACGACAGCGTTGAAAACACCTCCGAATTGGACACGAATGATGGGTAAGTGTTTGCTGGCCACTTGACATTGACTTGGCCTTTAGCATGGTCAGCTTTTCTTGGCTGTGGGTGCGTTGGGCGGTGCCGGGCGGGGCGGCTCGGGGCTTGCGTTTTGTTAGCCTTTTTTTTGTGGCATGGCTTTGAGAGTTCTTTGCATTTTGAAAACCAAACAACTACACACACACACACGCAGTACCAGCGTCAATGAGGATGATGATTTGTCCAAGCCAGATCCGGATGTGGATGTGGAAGTGGATCCAGAAGCGGAAGTGCCCCAGCAACGTCGTCCGGAAACGCCGGCGGCATTTGCAACTGGCGATGTTAGCGACACAGCCGGCGATACCGAAAGCGAAGCTGAGGTAAGTCCTTAAGTCAGCTACCAGGCTGACAGCCTGAGTTTCTTCTTTTTTTTTCATTTTTTCTTTGCTGTTAGTCGCTTTGCACTGTGCGCTTTTGCTGTATAGTTACGATTGGGCCGATTAGCTGAATGATACACGCGGTAATTTGTTTCTTTTTGTTAGAGTACGCCAATGTCGGTCATGATGCGGCTTCACACACACACACACACACAATAGTTTCCTGCAAGCATTCGAAGAGAATTGGAAGGAAGTATCGCTTTATTTCTGCATAAATGTGTTTTTCAGAAAATACTTATTCTTATCTTCCAAACGAAACGTTTCACGATTCCAAAGTAGATTCACTAAAACGAATGTTTTTTTCACTTGGATGCAAAACCGAAATATAGGAATCATTTGCTGCGATGAAAAATGTTTGCAGGCTGGTATATGTATAAGAACACTCTTCATACACACACAGCTGACACACTCACATTTAACGCTTTGTCAGATCGACTGAAGATGATTGTAGATACCATTAATTTTATAAGAAATTCGAAGTTCACAAGGAAAGCAATCAGTCGACAATTGTTTACTTTTACAGAATATTGCAAGAGCTGTAAGCGACGATGAAGATGCTGATAAGGTTGAGCCAGAAGCAGCAGAGCAACCAGCGCAGGATGAAGCGGAGGCGGAGACGGAGGCGGAGGCGGATGCAGATACAAATGATGATGAGCAGCTGGCTGAGAATGGGGATTTAGATGCTGAGAGTGAGAGTGAGCAAAATGCAACTGAAAAGACTGAAGCAATTGAGAATGGGAACGAAGTCGCAGAGCTGAATGAAATATCAAACGAAACAAATGCTGAAACAAAAGAGCATGAAGAAGATCATGTGGAGATGGCAGATGCTACTGAAGAAGAGGCAACTGGAGACAATGACGAAGAGAAAGACACTACTGGTACTGCTGCTGCTGCTGCTGCTGATGATGAGGAGGAGGATGTGGAAGAGGACGACGATGAGGTACAGATTGGCTTACTTTAAATGCCAATTCACGTGCAGACGGCAATTGTTTAGTAGATTGTTTGATTGATCGATTGATTGAGATATTTGTGCCCGTTTGCTCAAAATGTGAACTGTACAAATCTAAAAAAAATAATCAGCTGTTGGCACTACAATTTTTAACTATTCCTTCAATACTGTACAACAACGTAGCCGCCACAACAAATCCGCAACAATAACAATAACAATAACAATAAAAATACCATTAACAAAAACAACAACAATAACCACACAGCTAAACGAAAACATTTCAAATGCTTAGATACTGCTAAACCAACCTAACTGATTTCGTGTATCCGTACAGACTTATCATTGTATATTTTGTACTACTTACTATAAACATATATACTCCTACTACTTATATCTATCTAATTCAATCAATATCAAATTAAAAGAAATCTAAAATCTGCAATAAAATAACCGCAACTCGTGTGTTTTGTTTACGTATCGCACTCGTATTTCCATGTTACTTTCTATTTCTATTTGTTTATGTCTTTCGCTCTTTCCCTCTCTTTCGTATGTGTGTGTGTGTGTTTCTATATATGTAGAGTCGAGCAATGCCAGTGCTTGAAATTGTTTTTGCGCATATCGATTGACCAAAATCAGCAGCTGCTCTGCTGCAGATATATGTAATTCGTATTCGTATATTATAAGCTATGAAAACAGACTTACATATAAATAAATGAATGCACATTCGAGACTCGTATGTGTCCTGGCATTTCACTTTCATTTGCCATGTTCTTCTCTGACTGCTTGCCTGCTTGCCTGCATATCTGTCTGACGTTTGCCCGACTTGCCTCAGCTGTCAGGCAGCCATCCAAATGGCAACTGAGCATGCAAACGTCAGGAACAGTTGTAAACGTTAGATATTTTATGATATATGGTGAACGGATACTATATTTATATTTTTCAAAGTTAGCTTCAATTTACTGCGGCTAAATATTCGCATTTATTGCGTTTTATTTCACATTGAGCATTGAGTGGGCGTTGGCCCAGAAAATTTAATGACTACAGCGCTGATCATATCTCAAATTTCCCCAGGTAATCGATCATGCGGTGTATGCGCATTATTACGTATACGACGTGATGCAGATGAAAAGTGGGAAAACACAGAAATCCATTATTTGACATAATCATGAATATTATATAAATTTCAAATTAGTTAAAGTGACACTCGATTTGGCATGCAATTAGAACTGGCAATTGCACCGACTAGTATACAATCACTTTGTCGTAGTATTTAGTACTGTGTTCCCGTACATTTGTTTGCACTTTTAGCTAGTTAAGCTGGGCATTCAAATAAATGCGCAATTCTCCACAGGATGTGATAGCGACAACGCCGAACAGGCCCACTCAAGAGGAGACACAAAAACAGCTGCAACCGGAACAGGATCTGGTACCGGATAATGATGGCGGCGATTCGCTTACCTCCTCGCTGGCTATCGAGGGTTTTGTGCAGGGTGCCGCCGAGGATTTTACAGTTCAGTCTCAAACTGCAGCTAATGAAGTTGATGAAGTATAAAGGCGACAATCCCTTTTTCTATCTCCACCTATATATCTCTCTTTATCAAGATCTATCTTGCTCATCTCGCTTGTTTCTATTGCTCACATCAGTTCTTTGCCTTCATCGCTCGCTCCTTCCCTCTCTATCTCATTTACTGCACCTCCTTCTCCCGCTTTCAGCTCATACGCACAAATTGTCGTTGTCGTCGCTTGTGGTCTTGGCCAAACAATGCTTATCTCATGCACTTTTTGCAGGATGCCACCCTGCAGCAGATCATCGAGTCGGGCGACATGGAGCAGCTGGCCGAGATTGTGTTAAATGGCGAGGGAGGACGACTACTGGGCCTTAAGTCCAAGGAGGCCGAGATTCAAGCGTTTCTCAATAACGTGCCCAGCTATATGGTCAGTACCAGCTCTATCTCTCTCCCTATCTCACTCTACTACCACTAATTGCTGCGCTTGCTGTGCCCTGCAGGAGAAAATCCATCGCGTGCATGACGCGGCACGTGACGGCAGTTTGTTGGCGCTGCAGCAGGCACTGGATCGCCGGAAGTTTGCCATTGCGAAGGACGACATATCGCCAAATGGCGCCACGCCGCTACATGTTGCCGTTCTCTTTGGCCACAGCGGTAAGTTGAATGTGCTTGGGAGAAGGGGCGGTCTAAACATGGGCTCTGTCACAGTTTTGTACTCGCTGCGTTTTGATGTTTCGCTTTTCTACCCGCCACGCAGATATTGTACGCTATTTGGCTTCACGCTTTCCGGAGACCATGGCAATTACGGATAATGACGGACGTACGGCACTGCACTATGCGGGCACAATTAAGGACAACGGCCACTTCTACAATGTCCTAACGCAGCTGGGCGCTGATACGAAGGCAGTGGACAAGGTAAATAATTGTATAATATCGAACGCTCACCTTTCATATTATTTATAGCACAAAAGGAAGTCTACGCCAAATACATAGCTTTTGTTGTGTTTACTGCGGCTTTGAAAGCTTTTTAAAGTTTCAAGGAAAGGTCTTTTAAAATTGTTGATTTAACTGAACTCAGTAAGCTTTTCAAGTCAGGACAATTTATGAATTTTATTTTAGCTGAACTTATTTGATTTGAAATTTCATTTCGAAGTTATCAATATTTAATTTGAGTTATTATCATTGAGTTTGCTTTGTGGGGATACTTAAACAAATTGTTGTTATTAAAATTAAAATAGTAATTTAATTCCATTCTTTACTTATTGTGCTTTAAATTAACTCTTTCCATCAGCAAGGTTTTGAATAATGTATCTAAATTGGTTTTAAAAATAGAGTTGTGCTCATATAAAATGGTAAACGCTCAGTTCTTAAGTCACCACCCTGGAATAGAATTACTGGTAATTTTTATATTTTTGTAATTACTTAAATTTCTTGATTAGAATAGTTAGTAAGTATACCAGTAGAAAACCAAATGCAACCCAGAGTAGAGTTTATAGTCTTAGAGTTGGGAATATTGGCAAATGCTTCTCAATGGAAATAATATAAGATGTGGACGGTTGTGTGTCAAGGTGGGCAGCATTGACTTTGATATATATAGATAGGATATATAGGTCGAACCTCGAACTTGTGGATAAGTTTAAATCAATACTTTATAAATATATAATAAAGTGGAAAATGTTTATTTAAAATTCACCCGCAGCTAGGCCATACACCCGAGTTCTACGTGAATATAGACACATCGAAAGATGTGCTCACCTATACCGAACTGCTGAGCGTATTCGGGGCCGAGGACCTGGAGAATAAGTTGCTCAGCGATCAAGGTTGGTTCTCATTCGTCCGGACTGAAGTCCATTTTGTTTTGCTTTTCTTTGCTGTTTGGCTTTAGCGTCGTTTTATTATTACACGCCGTTACGCTGCACAACACCACAATCACGCACACACTCACATGCACAGACACTCAGCCACTCGTCGGACCACCCGCAATGAAAATAATTAAATACTTTTTTGTTTGCTAACCCAAACATCCGGACATGATTGGTTGGCTACTTTGACTCTGCCCCACCGAACATCGATTTTCAGTTTCAAATGCTACACACACGCACACTATAGACACACATAGACACACACACACACACACCTACTAACACAGACATAGCCACACACATACGGCACGCGTCCTTCGCTGGTCGTATGCTCACTTCTTCATACCCGTATATCGTCCGTCTAGTTAGTCATTATTTGGTGGCTAATACGCGCAGTTGGTCTCGCATTTAGCGGCGGACAGTTGAAACAAAAATCGTAATAAAATGGCGGCAAATCAGGAATTCTTCACCGAGATTATCAATAATATTGATGATATATTTGGTATGTAATAAATAACAATGCAAGTGTATGGCTATTGCGAATGTAGAAGTTGAGAGAGTTTTCCCCAAGTCTTTTCTGTTATGGACCTTAAGTCATTACTAATGTATCAGATTTGAGTAAATGGTAGAAACTGAGTTTTATTTAAAAATCTAGACACTTATACTAAATACTAAATAGGATAGTGTGTAAAAGATTCAAATTCTCTTCAGTGTTGCCATTATTAGTAAAGTTCTATTAGTCAGTTAACAGCTTAAATTGGCGTATATAGATTTATGAAGAATGTATATTTTCTTATTTCTGAATATGGTGAAGTAATATGAGATAGTGCTTAGTTTTGATATGATTATTTTAGTTCTGTTTATGAACTTTTCAGCAATACAAATATTTCCCATAATAAAAAGAAAATAAAAATAAAAAACCATTAAATATTAATTAAATATATAAATTGAGGTATAATTATATCATTCGTATTTATTATTTAATACTCACCGACTACATTATCAACTTCAATTACTTTTGCACCTGGTTAAGCACACGCGCCTATTCTCAGCAAGCCACAATTACAGCAAGTCTTTTCTGTCACTCTGTGTTCGTGTGTCCATGTGGTGTATGTGTGTCCATGTGTGTTGGTGTACAAACTAGCCCGTTGTGCTGTACTGATAATCATCAACAATTACACCCAACGCTGCCCCAACAATAACGACCACTACAACGAGCAGTTCCCGATGATCTGCATAGCGCACGCCGCGAGCTGCAGGATGGTGAAATTTCAAGGACTCTGGAGCGTTGCTTCAGCGTCATTGCGGAATCGGGTAAACTGCTAAGTGGGACCACAGCCTCGGCTCTTTCGCAACGAAAGCCGCTGAGTGCCTCCGCACTGCAGTTGTCGGTGACGAGCTATCTGAGCCGCTTCCTTAAGCGTGCCGTCTACGAAAGGATCAAGCGACGACAGACGCGCCTCGATCATAGCCTCTTCGATGTGCTGTGGCCGGCAATGCGGAAGACATCAAAACTGCGTCATCTGGAGGAGGATATCAATTGTGGGATTATTGCGCCCGACTTTGATGTGTTTGTGGTGTTCCAGGAATTTCTGGTGCCGTTCCTCAAGGACATGCATTGCCTGAGCATCGATGCGGAGTTCAAGCCGCAGCCGCGACTCGCCTACTTTCCCATGGACAATGGCGAGCGTCTCAATACAGCAGCCTTCGTGTTTGACGATGAATCGCTGCTCGTCACACGCTGCATTGTGGAAGCGTCACGCAATCTGGATCAGCTGGAGCTGCCGCTTAACCTGACCATCGCACAGATCGAGCAGGCCGAGCGTGTCATGATGGGAAAAATCTTTACGGCCAGTTTCGCGGAGGCCATTGGCGAAACGGAATCCGGCAGTTATTATACGCTTACCGAGCTCTTGGACCCACACTCTGAGGTGGCCCTTATGCTGAACAATCTTGGTCTGATGATACCGCTGTTAGATACCAAAGATCTGGTGCAGGCCGCTGAGTCGACGGCTTTCAATGGCGCTCTATGGCCCTACGGGCGAGGCGTGTATGTGAATTCAGCGCATAATACGGCTCTGTGGTTGAATTGTCAAGAGCATTTGCGCATCATTTCGTCCACCGGTAGCAAGGATCCGGCTGATATGGGTGCTGCCTACACACGTGTCGGTCGTGCCGTCTCATATCTGGAGACACAGCTGCACTTCAAGGAGAGCTATCTGCTTGGGTATCTGCAATCGCGTCCAGCTTACTTGGGCACAGGGCTTAAAATGACCACCATTGTCAAGTTGCCAAATCTAATGAAGGAGATGGACAATCTACGTCATCTGTGCTCGGTGCGTGGCCTCAGCATGGTCACCAATCGCCTGTCCAAGCTGACAGTTCGTCTGATTAATATGCAGAGCATGGGCGTTGTGGAGTATGTCATGTTTCAGGACTATTGTACAGCTGTAACGAATATTCTATCGCTGGAGAAGGATATGTCGCTGACAAACTCAAAGCATATAGCTAATATGCTGGTTAAGATCTTCAGGCGCAAGAAGAACAGCATTATCGATCGCAACTGATCGATAAATCAAGAGATACAAGCCGCAAGATACTTACAAATGAAAGCACAACTCATACATTTCTAATGCAATTGTATTGTAAATACAACCAGAACAACACACCAAAACAATTATTATGTAAAATATATAAATACATATATTAAGCAATTCGATCGAATGATATACTACTTTGCATTTATTAAGCTTCAACACTTGAGCCAAAAGTCAAAAGACACCAAAAATAAATACCACATTTTCAGCTTCGGCCGTAACGTCGCACGCAAATGTTTTAATGAGATACACGTACGTACCTATTACTACCTCCTACCAAACTCCCTTCCCACCCCCGACCAGCCCCGTCCTCATTAGCAATGTGTCTTGTACTAAATTTGACTTGATTTGCAAAGTATTATTTTAGTTTGATAATAACTCATTTGGTTTCAAACTTAACTCTCGCTTTGTGTATATAATCTAAACGATGGATGTTAATTTTATACTCATTATCCTTCGATTGTCAATAATTAAGTTTCTCTGCATTGACAGGTCAATCGCAGCCTGTTAGCTTACAGGCTAATCCCATCTTTAAAACGGAACAGGGCAAATATCTGGCGGATTGTAAGTGAACGAAATTTCTTCTAGAATAGAAAACTGAAATTTTGACTGAAGACATAACAAATGATATATCAAATAGAAAGAAGATATGTTGGTCGATGATTTGTTTAGTTCAGATGAAAATGTAAATTTGATTCATTTGAAAAACAAAAGAAAAAAATAATAATTAAACCCATAAATAACAGAATATGTTGACTTAAGTTTAATTAAAACTTCCTCGAATTACCTTTAAACCAGCTGCCAAAATTAATCAGGCAATATTAGACAATGTTTTACCGAATTAAAAAAATGTACCCCGCGAACAGAAAATGATAGTTAATTGTATAAAATTGGCCCTTTATATCAGCTTCTCAATTACTTTTATTTTTTTTCTACTCAGCTTTGGCCGATCCCTTGATCAAGGCTTTGACAGAGATAGCCAATAAGCGTCCCAAGGATCCTGTTGCCTATTTGACAAACTATTTGCAGCAGTTTATGGGCCAACGCAAGCCCATCACCGAGGCCATTGTCCACTCGGGCAGCAGCAAAACCAGCACGATCTCCACGGCTCGAGCTAACTCCAACTCCAAACTAACGAGCAGTCGCTTTGGCAAAAACCGTGCGGATATCATTGAACTGGACGCTGGCTCACTGGCCGAGGAGCAGGATGATGACGATGAGGATAGTGCATTAGCTGTGCAGCACCTGGAGGAGCGTGACGAACATGGCCAGAGCATGCTGCACTTTGCCTGCGCCCGCTCCCATCGTCGTGGCGCGCTCTACACACTGATCGAGGAGTCACGCATCGATATCACCTACAGGGATGAGTTGTATCGCACGGCAAGGGATGTGGCTCTCCAGGCTAATCAGCCCACTAATGCCACCGAAATCGATCGCTATGTGTTCGCCCAGGTAGTGTTGGGTAAGTGTATATTTGTTTCACAGTATATGAATAGCTTATTTAATTAGCTCATTTCATTTTCTATCATATATCTGCCTCATTCAGGTGATGTGGAGCCGCTTGAGCAGTTGGCGCTGCAGGGATACGATCACATCTTAGATGTGGAAGATGAGAGCGGCAAGAGCGTTATAGATGTGGCCACAGAGCGTCAGCATGAGGCACTCGTTGCCTTTTTGAATAGCTTGCGTACGCTGGAGGAGACGCGAGAGGAGTTGCATCAAATGATACGCGACAAGAATATGGAACGGCTCAAAGAGCTGACCGCTGTGCCCAATGCCAAGTGGTTTATCCGGACCAAAAACTATTACGGTATAATTTTTTCACTTAGGCATCATTGTTAAGAATAATGCTTTGACTCAATGGTTGTTTAGGTCGAACAGCACTGCACATAGCCGTGCTCAAGGAATCCGAGGAAATGGTACAGCACCTGGTGGACCTTTGTCCCGAGGCGCTCAAGGTCACGGATAATGTAAGTTAAATGTTAAGCTTATCTATTAAGCATTTTGTAACAACTTTCCTAATCTATTTCTCAATTTGCTTCCCCAGCTCGAGCGCACCGTTTTGCACTATGCTTTAGGCACAAATTTCTGTGAGAGCGTCAGTCGGATACTTATCCAAAATGGTGCCAAGCGCACGGCGAAGGATCTCAAGGGTAGACAGCCGAGCTACTATTTCATCAACAAAGCAGATATATTGCGCCTGCAAGAGGAGGAGGAGGAAACTCGCTGATCAAATCTTTATGTATAGAAATCATCTAACTCTAAATTGTTCTAGTTAAATAAAGAAAACCTTTGGAAACAATGCTAACATCGAAATATTCAAATCCTAATGTCAAACTTTCACAAATAATGCGACCAATTAAAAGGTAATAAAGTGCTTTACGCACATGTGCCACGCTTATTTTGAAATATCGCTTGAAGTGGCCTTCCCATGGAGATAAGCACTTAGGCATCCATCGATGATTCTTTCGAAGTGTCTTGCAGAGTTCCTCGATAATGACATTCATTGATGTGAAGTGATCAAGTGATAAGCGCTAAGCAATTGAATTCGAGAACTGTCTTCTCCAAAGATAAGATTATAAATAAATCAAATCCAGGCCAAGCAATTCAAAAATGGTGGTTGAGCTTAATGACACTTACGTGTTTTTTGTAACGATCATTAGGATGAGTTTTGAAATACTTAAGTTACAAATTCATTTCATATATGTGTGCGGCTTATCGTGTATTGACGAGGAATGTGCACTATTAAAAACAGCTGCTAAAATAAATTAATTTTTAATTTAGAACAAGTTTTGGGTCAACACATGTTTTAAGAAATACGTTTCGTAGTTCGTAGAAAATCTAAAGCGTTTATTTATTACCACTTTACTCAGATTATTAACAGAATATTTACAAAATAAGATGAGTCATAATTTTCAGTTCATTGACAAATATATATTTAGTGGGAATACATCTTGTATTTACTGTGAATTTTTCACATTGCTTACAAGTGCATGGCTTATAATTATATAAGAGTATTCACAATTCGGTGAGGGTTTTACTTAGCATCGCTCTGATTTTGTGATTAAGCAGATTAGGTCTTGCTTCTCTCAGTCATAAGAAATATCTATCCAACTCCCGAAATCCATAAATATTCGCACACTACTCATCGTGTGTGTGTTTTATGTGTGGCTTTTGCTGGTTGTTGACTTGCTGTTAATTCCCTATCGATCGGAACTGTGTGCCTCTGGCTGATACTTACTATCAGCAACTGTTTGTGAGTGTATTAGTGAAGTGCGCTGATTTGAAGCTATCGTCAAGTATGAAACGACTAACTGGCATGTGGTTAGGTGTAAAGACATTTGACAACAAATTCTACTTTGAGTTGCTTGCCAGAGTGCAGCGTGCCCAGTTCAAATACGATTTAAACTCGAAATGGCATCGGAAACAAATACGGGTAAATCATAAGACTTCGGATTTTTGCTCCGAAAATATTGCTTGGAAGCTAAACTCGTTTGTAAATGCAAATGTGTGTTTAATGTTGTGCTTAATTGTAATGATATGTCGAGGATGATGTCATCAAGCAGACGAAATCAGTATCTACCTTCTTAAAATAATTGATCTCAAAAAGAAGTTAAAATGTGTCAAGACGCTCCAAAAGTGTGGTGAAACGATAAACATCTATAGATACTTGAAAGAGGTGCTTTTTGCTAGATTCATAATAAAATCATTTGAATGTTCTCAGGTCCCATGCTGGGTCAACGTCATGTGCAGACTTTTCTGCTTTTCCTCTCAATCGTCGTCAACTATATTGCCAAGTTTAACGCTGGTGTTGCTGTTGTCGCCATGACCAATGCCGAGAGCACAAATCCCAATTTTCCAGTCAGTATTTTATATTTTATTTGAGTTGGCTTTTTCTTTATCCCCATCATCATATTTTGCACAGGAGTACAACTGGAATGAAATGGAACGCTCTTATATTTTGTCCAGTTTCTTCTGGGGATATATAATGACTCAATTTCTGGGCGGCTGGCTTTGCCGTCGCTATGGCGCCAGACTCACAATGTTTGTCTCCACCATAGGATCGGCACTGCTGGTGCTATTAGTGCCCTTCTGTGTGTCCTGGGGTGGCTGGCAAGTTTACTGTGCGATTCGTGTTTGCATGGGCATCTTCCAGGGCTTGATGTTCCCATGTGTGCATGCTCATCTGGCCAACTGGTGTCCAGTTTCGGAACGCAACAGATTGGGCGCCTTGGCCAACACGGGCATTGACTGCGGCACATTGTTGGCCATGTTTGTCAGTGGCCAGGTGGCTGCTTCCAGTATGGGCTGGCCAGGTATCTTCTACATCTCATGCGCGGTGGGAGTTCTCTGGTGTGTGGCCTGGTGGATCTTTGGCGCTGATACGCCCAAACAATCCAGATTTATCAGCAAGGAGGAGCTATATTATATTGAGTCGTCTATCAGTGAAAATACTAAAGAGGAGGATACTAAGGAAGTGCTTAAGATACCAGTGCCCTGGAAGGCTATTCTCACCTCGTTGCCCTTTTGGGCACTATTTTTGGTACGTTGCACCCAATCCTGGGGATATTCCACGCTGCAGGCTGAGATTCCGGCTTATATGAATGGAGTGCTGCTGATGGAGATGAAGAGCAATGCTTTATTCTCGGCCCTTCCCTATTTGGCATCCTGGATCATGGCCTTTGTCTATGTAATTGTGGCCGATATTTTGCTTACGAACGGCACTTTGACCATCACCGGTATAAGAAAGACCTTCAGCTCGGTGGCCTCCTGGTTGCCGGCCCTTAGTTTGATTGGCCTCAGCTTTCTCGACAGCAATCAAAAAACATTAGCTATTATCCTGATGACAGCCAGTGTGGGTATTAATGCCGGCGCCACCATTGGCAGCGCCCTTAACACCATCGATCTGTCGCCAAATCACGCGGGCATCCTCATGGGCATCGTCAACACGGGAGCGAATGTTGTGCCCATACTGACGCCGCTGCTGGTAGGACTTATAGTTAAAAATGAGGTGGGTTCTGAAGTAAAAAATAAAAACTTTGTCCATAATTTATTTTATATTTAAATATATTTATTCTTTAATTTTCGCAGCAAGATCGCGTAGAATGGCAAGTGGTTTTCATTATATCTGCCGTCATTTTCTTTCTGGGCAATCTGTTCTACATTTGGTTTGGCAGAATGGTGAATCAGCCATGGAATGCCGCTGACTTTCTAGAGCAGCATCAGGAAGGCCACAATCAGGAAGCAGGACAAGCAGGAAAGGTAAACTCGAAAGCATTGGAGGCTCGGCAAAATGAGGGGCTAGATTAATGCGAACGAACAAATGTCAAAACGGAATATTGTTGCATTAAATCAATACAGCCATAATTCTCAGAGGTTGACAAGCGGATGCAATGGAATCGTGGAGTGATAACAAGAACTAAGCAGTGCTTATCGTACTAAGTAGTACCAATTAAGATTTACTGACGGCTGGATCGTTGTTAATAACCATAGAAAAACAATAGTTAATAAATACTGCAGCTGTATAAATATAAATGATAAGAATTATATATAAAGTGGGGAACTTGCTTTGGTTGCGTTTTTGTCAGTTTTTTGGACTTTAAAATTGGCAGAATACTCGGCGATAATCTTTTTATTATTGCTTGTTTGCACTTAATTTCAATTATATATTATTGTATCTGCAGTGACGTAGCTAAATGCTTGAGATAGTAAAAAAACATGTCAGAATGCCCTAGTTGAGATTGGCCTTTACCCTGTTTTCATATCTGCTGTGCAGGTGGCAGATGTTTTTTTTTTAAAGCTTTCTGGTATTGTGGTATTTGTAACCTGATATTTAACAGCCTTTGTGTGATAAACCGTTATCCATGTAAAATAAGAAAAATAAAACACGGGCTATTGGTATAGGTCAGCTGGCATTTAGCTATTCTATTCTTTATGAATGCATAAAATTAATCATCGGGGATTTCCAAATAAACCAATTCTTAGGGGAGGCCACTTGATCGCATTGAATGTGTTGATGATCTGGGTAGATCTTTAAGTCCCTATCTTAAGTGTGACAAGCATATGTATTCTACTGCTTATCAATTCGTTGGTGACTTAAGTTTCATCAAGCGCTGGTAAAGAGAATTTGACGATCCGTATATTAGGTAATATTTTTATATTTCACTTGTGCGTGTTCTTGAATTACAAGCTTACATTGGATTTCTTGATGTAGATCAGAAGACCATGGCAATTGTACTGATGACCCTCAGTGTGGGTTTCAACAGCGGCGCCACCATTGGCTCCTCTCTCAACTCCATTGATTTGTCACCCAATCATGCCAGCATTCTCATGGGCATTATAAATACGGCTGCGAATGCGGTGCCCATTTTCACACCTATAGTTGTGGGTCAGATTGTCAGTGATAATGTAAGACCTAATGATCAGAGTATATTTGTTTTTTGTCGCACATATCCAATTCATGAAAAATGTGAACATTTTTGGATCAAATATCTCACAATTTAACCATACGGACCTGATAATTAGTGAATTCATTTTTGTCTAAAGTGTTTCTGCGTTGTTTGTATTAGACTGCAATTTTCTCACATGTTAATGGTTAATTTTTAAATCTCTTCACAGGGCAATCGCAATCAGTGGCAAATTGTGTTTATTATCTCCTCCGTGGTGTTCTTTGTGGGCAACTGCATCTTCTTGGCCTTTGGTACTGCCGTTTCTCAACCCTGGGATGCTGAAGATTACTTGATGCGTCCTCAACCCGGGCTGGCATTGCCTTCAACATCAAGTGAAAAGTCTAAATCAAACGAGAACGATCAGTAACTAACAAAAATCGTTTTGGTAGTGAGCAATATAGATAATAGCTACTGGCTTATATTATATATGGTTGCGTTATCAGCTTTTTGACAGCTTTGTTGTCCAATAAAAACACAAGGATATATATATATATATATATATATACATATATATATAGAGGAGAGAGAGAGAGAGATAGAGAGAGAGACAGAGAGAGAGCTAGATAGCGAGAGAGAGAGAGAGAGAGCACTGCACAAAGAGAGCTAATCGGTGGCAGCTGCAGCTTAATTGCTTTACGGAGTAGTAGATTGCATATGCAACAACAAATATTTATGTTACGCCACACAGGCGACAAATTCAATATATATATATGGATAACTAATGTGATTGGAACTTTGTTGTTGCTGCTGCCAACAATTGCCTTATATGTAAGCTTTTTCACTAACATATTTAATATATAATTGATTTTATTTCATGAAACATTTTAAGCACATACTTTTAGGCTTAGTAATTGTAATACATAATTATCTTTATAAGGCATGGCATACTTCTTAGACTTATTGAAAGTGAATACTCGTTCTTATCTTCCCTGTGGGCGTCAACACTTGACAATCGGATTACAATCTTTGATACATAGAAGAAACTATTTATATTCGACTACTGATAATTGATAGCATTTGTTTGAAAAGCTTTGATTCATATATAAGATTCAGGATTGTGCTTTCAATTTCTACGAAAACAAGAAGTAAACTTTGATTGTTGGTGTAGGTCAGCAAAACAGTATTCTTAAATATACTAAAAAATTTGTTGGTGTCAAACATTTTATTTTATTGTCGCACTATTTTCAATTTTAATCAATGTTATTCCATGGGGTTCTTGCTATTTTTGATCACGTGTCCAGTCTTATCGCAGGATAATCAATGCTGATAAGCCAACGAAATCAGTCCAGATACGATCGGCCCAAATTTTTACAATTTGTATTATCATTATTTAGACTTATTCGATTTTGGTCAGTAGCGCAAGTAGAACGTGGCTAAATCCGATCGCTCTTGCGGTAAATAAACACTTTTGGCGAACAAAATTGGATCAAGGACTTTTGAGAGTAAAATGACCACTGAAGTTGATAAAGGCAAGTATTAGTTATTGGGAGAGCTTGCATCTAGAAGTTGAGAAACTTGCTCTAATTATTTTTTTTAAATTTAGTTAATTTTGCCTTCGCTGATTCTCAAAGCTTAACTTAGTCAAAAATAAATTATATATCTTTATCAAACACGTGTGTTTATCACTCCAATAAAATCGATCGATATCGATATTATACATATGCATGATATCATGCTGACTTTATAAAAACAAGAAGTATTTTTTTGAATATTCTACGTCCGTGAATTCCACATATTTCTTAATGAATTTGTGTTGAAAATCACATTCGAATTGTTTGTTTTGTGCGAATATCTATTTTATAATCAGCCCACACGCAATCCTTAATTGACAATACATATTAGATTGGCATATATGCCGATTAATTTAAGTACGCATATGTATAAACTAGATTGCAAACCAATCGACTGATAAGCATGAATTATTTACAGCATATGCTACCGGAAGTACTTGAGAGTTGTAATATGTTAATAAATCATTTTAGTGAAATATAATTTTTTATATTTTTTATTTGTGTAATTGTCAGGTCCCCTTCTGGGTATACGGCATCTGCAGGCGCTACTTATATTTATTACAATAACATCTGTTTACATTGGACGCCTCAATGCTGGTGTTTCTGTTGTGGCCATGACCAATGCGGAGTCTACGAATCCCGATTTTCCGGTAAGTGAAACCATTATTATCCAAATGGTAAGCAAGTTACTTTTTTTTTTCATATATGTGCACTCAGGCATATGTACAACAACAAATATGTGTTTGAAATATATATCACGTGATAAGGACTTAGGTCCAGTTACCTGCTAAGTCTCTAGTCTGTAGTATTATAAACTGATATTCTTATTTTTGTTTCTAAAATTTCTCAGGAATATGACTGGACAGAGGCGGAGAAATCCTATATTTTGTCTAGCTTTTACTGGGGCTACGTTATTACCCAGTTTTTGGGAGGATTTTTATGCAAGCTATTTGGGGCGAAGACTGTGATATTTTGGGCCACTTTTGGATCCGGTGTCTGCAGCTGCATCACTCCCCTATTCATAGGCTGGGGAGGCTGGGGCACCTATTGCGCCATTCGAGTCTTAATGGGATGCTTTCAGGGACTGATTTTTCCAAGCATTCACCAGCATTTGGCACGTTGGTCGCCGCCAAAGGAACGCAATCGATTGGGCGCTTTGAGTCACACAGGCATCGAGTGCGGTAATGTGTTGTCCATGTTTGTCAGTGGCATGATTGCCAAAGGTCCCATGGGCTGGCCGGGCATTTCCTACATATCCGCAGGTGTGGCATTTGCCAGCTGTGCCTTGTGGTTCGTCCTCTCAGCTAATAATGCCACTGAGTCTCGTTTTATCGGCGAAGCGGAGAGGCACTATATAGAGTCATCTCTGAAGCATGGAGTGAATTACCATCACGCTGTAATTCCCATACCATGGAAAGCAATTTGGACTTCGGTGCCGTTCTTGGCGCTGCTAGTAGCCCGCTGTGCTGAATCCTGGGGACTGAGTACACTCCAGGCTGAGATACCTGCTTATATGAATGGAGTCCTACAAATGGATATTAAGGATAATGCTACGTTTTCTGCACTACCCTTCCTCGCCATGTGGATAATGTCGTATGTGTATCTGGTCTCGGCGGATATTCTGCTCACGGGGAAATGGCTCTCGCTGACGGCCCTACGGAAGACCTTCAACTCGATGGCATTCTGGATACCCGCCGCAACCCTCATAGGCATTGGATTTCTTGATGTAGACCAGAAAACCATGGCAATTGTACTGATGACCCTCAGTGTGGGTTTCAACAGCGGCGCCACCATTGGCTCCTCTCTCAACTCCATTGATTTGTCACCCAATCATGCCAGCATTCTCATGGGCATTATAAATACGGCTGCGAATGCGGTGCCCATTTTCACACCTATAGTTGTGGGTCAGATTGTCAGTGATAATGTAAGACCTAATCATCAGAGTATATTTGTTTTTTGTCGCACATATCCAATTCATGAAAAATGTGAACATTTTTGGATCAAATATCTCACAATTGAACCATACGGACCTGATAATTAGTGAATTCAATTTTGTCTAAAGTGTTTCTGCGTTGTTTGTATTAGACTGCAATTTTCTTACTTGTTAATGGTTAATTTTTAATTCTCTTCACAGGGCAATCGCAATCAGTGGCAAATTGTGTTTATTATCTCCTCCGTGGTGTTCTTTGTGGGCAACTGCATCTTCTTGGCCTTTGGTACTGCCGTTTCTCAACCCTGGGATGCTGAAGATTACTTGATGCGTCCTCAACCCGGGCTGGCATTGCCTTCAACATCAAGTGAAAAGTCGAAATCAAAAGAGATCGATCAGTAGCTAACCAAAATCGGGTTGCTATTGAGCAATGTTTACAGATTTTAATGAAGTAAAGATCAGTGGTTTTTATGATACTTAACTGTCTTTGATTTAAATTATTATCTTATTATCTCTTATCTAACTCTTGCACAATTACTGTTATAGAGATGGGTTTGTGTAATGTTTTAATATCAGATATTTTATTTTTACATGCAGTTTGAATTTTTTGTCATTTGTCATGTGCTCAGACATATCGGAGGTTTGTAAAGAAATTCCACAGTTGACATATCATCACATATCATATTTCCTTGCCTTAGGGGCATATGTGTCCCAGCCCTAAGATGGTAAGCCTGACCCATTAACAAAAACCCAGTCAAAGCTATTTTGACACCAAATACTTCAACGACTGTTTGCCATTGAAGCACCTAGTTTTAGGCACTTTAAAATATATATATATTTGGGTTGCATACTTTTTGGATTTATTGAAAGTGAAGACTCGCCCTTATCTTGCCGTTACTTCTCACTTTTGATAACTGTGTACGGCATGTTTACAAGTATTGATAAAATCAAGCTACTTATATATGTATTTCGATAATTGTTATGCTATGTTTGATAAGCCTTCATTTATGAAAAACAGGTTGCCGTTTGACTTTTGGGATAGGTCAGAAAATTGTATTTCTCACTAGCCTAATTGTGCTTTAGGTCCAAATATATAATTCTTTTTATTGTATTGTTTTATGTGGAGTAATTTATATTAATAGGGTTACAAAATGGTAGTTAATCAGTCCAGAATTGAACTTATTTGGATTTGGTCTGTAGTGCATGAAACCAGGGCTAAAATCGATCGCTCATACACTTTCTATGAATAAAATTGAATCAATGTCTCTGAAGCGAAAGAAACTGGCAGATTTAAACCAGCAACGTTTATCTGAATGATGAGAAACTATCCGTTAAAATATATTCGTGTTCAATGTAGGATTTAGCTTGGTATATATACCAATATATAATGAATAATTTTAATTATTCTCAATCAAAAGAGACGATCAGCAACTAACCGGAACCGATAGTTCGCAATCTGCTAACAACTGGCTTTAAATACCATAAGCCTTAAATCTATAAATCATGCACAAGCTTTTAAATCGCATTTGACGAAAGCGATAAGCTAAACAGCCAAGAAATAACGGTGTATATTAATGTACTCAACAGTTTCCATGTTTATAACTGCACTTAATTTTGCAAGTGAACCCCATATACGAGTAGATAAGGATTGCAGAGAAATAAAGCAGAAGCCTAGTTACTTTTCATTTTATATGATTGTCTTTGTCTATACTCGTATCTGTCTATTGCAACAATTAATAGTTAGTCAATAGGAATCTAATTGATGTCATAATGTATTTCTGAAATGAATATGTATATTAATGATAGTTATGAGCATTGATTTCTAAATTAGTTGAAATTTATGTCTAGTTGACCTGATTTTTGTAAAATTCGGGTCGAACTTAGAGGAATATGCCTCATTTATTATGACTGGATTTTTGAGTAATTGAACTCAAAAAAGTGTATGTTCTCTATTCATTTAGCTGCAGCAATAGTTGGACTAAAAGTCTGGTTATAAATCAATTTAACACTGCCCTATTGAAGGTGAGTCAAAATTAATGTTATAAATAATATTCCTCGACTATTGCTTGTGGCTTTCACCTGAAAAATAATATTTCTTTATAAGTGTATAGTGTGTGTGTTGCACTCGAAATCGAATTTGTTTTAGCAATATTTTGAAAGCTTATCGTTTATATTTATTATTTATATAGCATTGCAGGTAGCATTATCATTTGTTGGTGGACAATTTGATTAAAATCATAAAAAATATTCAGAAATATTCATTTATTCACCGGCCTACTCTTAGTATTAACAGGTGGTTGGAGTTAATGGCAACAGCTACTCAACATGATACACAATATGATGAAAATAATAATATTTCCTCACACGGCTAATTTTGCCCATTTTTACTTTTCGGTTTTCGTGATCCCCATCAATATTTGCAGTTCATTAAGTTGAATATAGTAAATTAAACAAGAAGCACAGCTGGCCACAAGCGTCATGATAAGAGGCTGATCGTGGGATTTACGTCAAAAGTATACTTGTTTATGTTTTATTAGAGTTTATCCTACACTTTGAAATAAATAGGCCCTGGAATATAAAAAACTACACGATTTGAAAAGGAAAAGTCATAATTTTAAAATTCGACAGTACATATATAAATGAGTCTTAAAATGATTTTGAAATTAGTTTTTAAGAAATTTAAATAATATTTTTGAAATTCATTTCGAAATGATCGCACTTTTGTACAAAACTTTTACACAAAACTTCTGTGTATTTTAAGGATGGCGCAGTAACAACAGCTTCTTCATTTGAGTAACTATTTTTCTTAATATATTTTGAAAATGGTGAATGATTTGTATTGTGCACCTGACCTGACTCCGTTCGGCCCAGTTATGCAGTTGTATAAAAGCAGCCGTTACAGTTGCGACTGTTCCCAGAACCATTTCAAACAACAACCAGTGCACAAATAGAGCGCAAATAACTTAAATTCAAAGAGCCAGCAGAAGAAAAGTAGAAAGAAAGCAGCGCAAACTCAGAGGCAATGAGCAGCGCAAGCAAAACGTTAAAGGGCCCATGGATTGGGATGAGGCACCTGCAGGCGCTGCTGCTTTTTCTTGGCCTCACAGTCATGCACATTGCGCGCCTGAATGTGAGCGTTGCAATTGTTGCCATGACAAATGCGGCATCTACTAATCCCAACTTTCCGGTAAGCTCAAAGATTGCACTGGAGTTTCATCAGCGGTGACATTTTGGATTTATTCAGGAATACAATTGGACGGAGCGCCACAAGTCGTATATACTGTCCAGTTTTTACTGGGGTTATATACTCACCCTATGCCCGGGAAGCTTTCTGTGTCGTCGTTTTGGCGCAAAAATTGTACTCTTCATTGCGAGCTGTGGCACAGCCGTGCTTAGTTTGATAACACCCTGGTGCATCTCCTGGGGCGACTGGCAAATCTTTTGCGCCATTCGCATACTGCAGGGCCTCTTCCAAGGCGTCATCTTTCCCTGCGTCAACGAGCATCTGGCGATGTGGTCGCCACCAGAGGAGCGTAATCGTTTGGGCGCCTTCAGTTACACGGGCTCCGATTGCGGCACTGTGCTGGCCATGTTTATCAGCGGCATGATTGCCAATAGCACAATGGGTTGGCCAGGCATCTCGTATGTGTCTGGCGCCTTGTGTGCCGCCTGGTGTATTCTGTGGCTCATCTTTGGTGCGAACAATGCGCCCAAGTCACGCTTCATTACCGAGGCTGAGTGCAAATATATTGAATCGTCGTTGCAGCATAATGAGGACTTCCATGAGCGTAGCATACCCATACCATGGAGGGCCATTTGCTGCTCTGTGCCATTCATGGCGCTGCTCGTTGCCCGCTGCTCTGAGACGTGGGGTCTGAGCACGCTGCAGGCGGAGATACCATCCTATATGAATGGTGTGCTCCAAATGGACATTCAGAGCAATGCAGTCTTCTCCTCACTGCCCTTCCTAGCCATGTGGTTGCTCTCATACGTATATTTGATTGTAGCAGATGTACTTCTCAAGCGCAAGTGGTTGTCGCTCACTTCGGTGCGGAAGCTCTTCAATACGCTCGCTTTTTGGATACCAGCGGCAGCGTTGGTTGTTATCGGATTTCTCGGCCCGGAACAAGCGAATGTGGCCATTGTACTGATGACGGTCAGTGTGGGCGTCAACAGTGGATCAACTATTGGCAGCTCCCTAAATACCATCGATCTATCGCCAAATCATGCAGGCATCATTATTGGCTTAAGCAATACGGTGGCCAATGTGATACCCATTTTAACGCCCCTCATTGCCGGAGTCATTGTTGTGGACAAGGTAAGTTCTAGTTATAATAAAATCCAGATCGATTTTTACAATGGATTATTATTGATTCCTTCACAGCACGATCGTGGTCAGTGGCAAATTGTTTTTGGCGTAGCCGCTGTCATATTCTTCATAGGCAACTGTGTATTTATAATTTGGGGTACTGCTCAGGCGCAGCCTTGGGATGCGGATGATTACCTCAAGCCTAAAGACACAGAAGCGTGCAGTGGGGAAAAGCATGTTGCGCCGGCGGCAGTTGCGCCACCCATTGATCCGGTGCTTGAGCGACAAATTACCTGGCCGGAAAGATATACAGTTAAGGCTACAGATTAAACGCCGTACATAATAATTAATTTAATTGATCAGTATTAACAAAGATTGTATAATCAAGGGTTGTAATTTATTTTATTTATGTTTATAATTCCATAAATATTTTAATGCAGTAAATAAGATAATTGTTTCTTTCGTTGCCTTGAATCATTGGGACTGGTATCGATACTCAACACAGTCAACACTCGAGGCTCTGTTGCCTCCTTATTATCTAATCTGCCATTTTCTTTTAGTGTAATAAACATATAGCCTCAGTTTCTATAGCTTTGCTGCTCCCACCCAGCGAAAGAGTTCGAGATAAATATAGACTGTGGTAACTTTCAGAACAGTTGGCAAAACATTTGCCACATCTGTTTGGATCGTCACTTAAATTTGTATACAGAGTTATTGGTATTATATTTTATGCCGTACATGGCACAATCTGAGTTATTTCTCTACTCTGTATCAGCTTCTATTTGCACTACGTGCGCAGCTGCTAATGGGGTTATAATTTGTGTGGTAGAGTGCTCTTGATCTTGAAAAAGGGGCAGGTCTGTCTCTCTATGCACTCTCTCTCTAGTTAGGTAATCAGTCACTAACCCAAGTTCCGTTACGGAAAACGTTTAACAAACGTTTTGCCATCTGATAAAACTTAATCAGTTCGTAATTGACTCATTGATATAATAACCTATGCCCAGTTGTAGTGTTTGCTTTGTGATAAGAATTCTCATTGTCAGTTCTCGGCGATATAAATATAGCTATCAAGTCTACTATTTATATTGTTTGTTTACTCTTTTTTTTTTTTAGAATGCTATTATTATTTATTTGGTGTTTACCTACAACTATTTTTTAAGTAAGTCACATTATCTGCTTTTCTAACCAACTTAAAATATAAAGGCTAATTACTAAAAGCACCACAATCAGCTGGCTTTGATTCAAGTTCCATTTAAGAGTAGGTTTTCTTTTGACAACAAATTTCTGTGTTTTTAAATATTCATTTACATAGCACAGAAACTAATTAGCTTTCTTGCTAATTGCTTTTTATCAATATTGTTGCAGAATTTCACACGTGACATATATCTCTCGAAATATTTACACAATTATACATCAATTGGTTTGTTAGCTTACATCGACCCGAAATATATGTATATGTATATATATATATATATATATATATATTATATATCATATATATTTATATATTGTATATTGTATATTGTCTGTCCTCGTTCTTTCGCTTTTGACCTAACAATATTCTGCGCCGCCCAAAAGTAACCTACAATTTGATAAACACACGCCTAAGCGAATGCAAATGATGTTTTTTCCGTTAGTTAAGTTTACAATCTGCTTTTTATGTGTGTGTATAATTTGATTGAATGAGTATGTTACAAATTGTCTGACTTGTTTTAAATCAAAAAACAGGTTCAATGACATTTGGGTCAATAGCTTAAAAATATATATATTTTAATTTTGAGATAATTGAATTTAATAACATTTAAATGTAAGAGATGGATATTAAAGCAATAAATATTTAAAATATTGGACTTAGACGGGGGACTTGATGGGCTTGTGGAACATAAGTGAATATTACATGATGAAGCTAGATAGATATTTAGACTCACAGGGTTTAGTTTGAGAGATGTCCTTGGACGTCTTTGGAGCCACATACGGCGCCCAGACACTGTTGCGCTTAAGAAACGGGGCACAATTTGATTAAAAAAAGAAAGGTGTTAATGCTCATTGGTTAGATTTAAACTCTAAGTAATAAATCATTAATCCTTCACAAATTTTCAGCACATCTTATACGTAAAAGGCATAAGTTCGTTGCCTAAGTCTTTTGTTCTGAAATGAACAATCTGCCGAAAATTCATTGACAAGCTACAAGCTATAATTATAGACTCCTGCGTCAATTTGTTTTAGTTGCCTTATGGCCTTATTCTCATTTAATAAAGTTAGAGTTAGTAAAAGCAAAATGGATTTAATTTTAATAAATGATTTTTTAATGACACATCTTCTTTGATCTAAAAAAAATATAACAGTTACTTATCTCAAACTTCAGGTGAAATTTTAATATTAAAGTGGGTCACAAACATTGTCATGTATATCTATCGATTTGGAAGCTGCCACAAAGTATGCTACATAAAAATATCTGTGTACCTGTTATTTGAACACCTTTCTCACCTTAATAAAGTCAGTTCGCATATTTCACATTATATGGTTGTTAAGTTTTTCATTTGCATTCTTAGCAAACTGATACAGATAAAATAATAATAATAATTATACTTTATATATTTTTAATATGTCGCTAATTATAGATCGTCCAATTTTTAGAGCAGTGGTGAATCCCTGAAAATGTATTAAACTCTCCTCGTTCTTGTTTTTATATCGGCTTATCGCGACATTTTCTGTATCTGCTTGCTATTGTTAGAATCTGCTCCGGTTTTTTTTTACAGTGACGAACTGACAGGAACGAGTGTTTTATGATTAAATTAATAAATTGTTTTCTGATGGGCTTACAATCAAATATAATTTTCACAGATTACATTATGAGGCAGCATTTTTATACAAGGCAATATTAAGAAAGCTTACGTTTAAAATTCTTTATGAGTAATATATTTCGGTTCTTCTTTATCAATTTAATTTTAGACGGAAACCAACTGTTAAGATATAAATTTTGGGATTTGTCTTGCATTGAATGGGAGACAATTTCAGATAAAATTGACTCGCCAGCCAATTGACGCAATTCGCGTCTCAACAGTTGTAACATTTTTTATATCTTGTGATACATTTTCACATGTACTTGATAATACCAATTATTGTGTGTGTCATAAGGCATCATTTTTGATATGAAATGGAAGAGATAATATTCTCTATATCAAAGTATTTTGAGCTATGATTTGTTGTTTTAAGCATTTAAAAATTCCATATATTATTTTAAAGGTTTTAAAAGTAAAATACCCTTAATGCGCAATGAATATGTGACAGGCCATTATTAAACAAATTTAATAAATTCGTTGACTGCAGATTAACAATTAAAGTCATTTACATGCTATATACAGACGTGCATGTAATAAATACGAAATCCCCACTAAATGTTCGCAAATACGTTATGAGATTCGCTTGAAAAATCGCAAAATGGAATATCTGCCTGAATAGCTAACGGACAAGGGCCGTTTAAGAGGGGCAACGGGGTGGCCTAATCAATGTCATCGAGTGCCACTCGACTGTGGAGTGTTTAACGTTCAGTTTAGTTTACCAAAATCGGCGATCATATGGTAATTAAAATGCGCAACGTTATGCTCACAATACCGAATAATACCGATACCAATACTCGTCAATTCAGCTGGAGCGGCTTTTCCATTGAGCGGGTATATAAAATGGTGACTTGAACTTGAATTTACATGTGACCGACGAGCAAGTACACGTAATGAAAAATTAAGGAACTGAATTGCTGACCGACTTTGGCAATGGTCAAGTTCAGGCAACGGCACGTTTTGCATATTATAAACAAAAACAAGCAATGTAAAAGTGTTTAACTAGCAAATACCCTGTGCTTGCGTCGACAATAATCTAAATTACTGATATTTTATTGTTATGCTAATTGTTTTAAGATTATCGAAGCTGTGGTTGTGGTTTCTATGGGGTTTTTTTTCCCCCTTAATATATATAATAAAATATTCTCTCAATATCTTTGATTGGCACCGATGACAGACAACTTAAAGAGAGTTATTTTTAAATGTTTTAAAATATAAAGTGTGTACGAAAAACAATGAATAAGTGCTATGAGCTTGTTAGATTTACAACACAATGAAATGAAAACACTTAAAATAAATAAATGAAATGCAGTGCAACTGTTCACTTAGTATAAAATATGTCAAATAGTGTAATTGCCGCTACAGCTCCAATACCTGTATATTTAGATAGAACATGAACAGTGGGCAATTTGGGATGCCATTTGACAGTGCCCGGTAATTATATTCAAATCGCCCCTAAACATTGCTGACTGACAAAACAAAAAAAGACTAAATACACGGCTCGTACAATTTATATTTTCATTATTATGTACCTCAACTGGTTCAGATGCACATTAACAGAGATGCATATTACAGATACTAAAGCTTAGCGTGGCTGGCTTTTCAAGCACTGAAAACTGCCGCATCACTTGTTAACGAGCGTTCATACAATATATGAAATCTTGAATATATCAGTTATATTATTTATTACGTTGGTCTACGATTTATGGTTGTTAGCCTCTTTGGGAGTTTTACCGTATATTTAGTTTACAAAAAGCTGGTGTGACTGGCACAAGTCTGATAAATCTATTTATTCTATTTTTTCAAATGTGCTGCCGGATAACTTAGCAGTTTTTAAAGCCATATTTTGCAATTCAATAGCCTTAAGCTTGATTATTTATTATATAAATAGATTTGAATCATTTATTATCTTAGTGCAGTTAGCTGTAGACTTAATGAAAGAAATATTTTTGTATTTTGTTTGTTTAATTCCATGTACAGATATTTCTTTCTTTTGGTTTTCTTATGTTAAAAGAAGCATAGATCAATTATTTAGTACCACCTAATCGTATATTGAAAACTATTTCTTTTATTTAAATTTGAAGAAATCTCTCTAGAAATCATTATAAATTTAAAGAATTCAAAAAAGTCTCTAATTTAAATAAATCTCTTTGTAAAACCAATCTAAACTATAATAATTTGATCTGACTCATTGAAATATTTCTACCATTAGTTGAGCAAATTAAATGCAATTGAAATATATATAAATATTAAATTTGAAAATAATTTAATTGCCACATAAAATGCAATTTTTTTTTAACTAAAATATTCGCAGCTTCATGACAAAAGCATAAAAGAAAAAAGCAATATTAATAGATTCTAAATGTATATATAAGCAATTGGTAACACTCTCGGTGAAAAAGTCACATAACAATAAGAATTCCATTTGTTCAGCGAGGCATAACCAACACATGGCTAAGAATTTTCAATCATTATTAAGCCAACTGTTCAACTAATTCACTAACTGTTGAAAGTTCATTTTGAATTGAACTTAAGCTGAGCGATTCCGTTCTAGTTAGAAAAGAAAGTGAAAGCCAATCGATAGCGTCGAATGTCAAGTGCTAACTGGGCGGCATTTCAAGAATGTGCATCAAGTATTGGCCAGAACACCTATCGGTTGGGCCAACCAGTTTAAAGCGTATCAGAGTCAAAGCAGCGTGTTTCGGATTATAGATAATTGGGGATTTACCCTTGCCACGATCATGTTTACATATTTATATAGGCACTTCATTAGGTATTCCCGAATACGAACACAAAAATATCTGCAGTTGAAATTTTTCCATTACGATGTTCCGGTTACCTCGTATTGCGAGCCGCGAGTTGGTTATGAATGAGCACTTTTCGATAACACTACTTGCTGTCAATGTGTAAAATACTATCTTCAAATTATGCCAGTATGCTTATAGGTAGCATCCGCAGCTCAATAGATTGATCGGCACTTCATATCAGGGCCAAGGGAGACTGACAAGCTCCCTAGCGACTGACAAGCTCGAAATTTACCCAATCTAAAGAAGATTCTGATAAGATTCGATTCGAGTCGTGAGAGTGTGTGTCCACGGCACAGAAGTGTGCCTCTCACACTTAAAACACTCACTAACGACAGACCCGCAGCGTGTTCGATTGGCCGAACGTAGAAAGCGCCGAATGCCACTGCCATATAAATGGAGTCGTCAGCGGCGGCTCAGCGTTCAGTCTGTGTATAAGCTGCAAGCGCGACTATACTATATCATCTATCGCACAACAATCGGTCGTAAAAGGCAATAAAATTCGGTTTGCTTTTCGTTCGGAACAGTTAAAATGCAAGCATTTGCATTGTCAGCGATCGATTCACTGCCAATTGCTGGGCAATAAATGAGAAATGCAATTATTGCGGCACATGCAATAAATCAGATCCTAATATTAAATGGACGATATTTAACGAGTAACGGTAGTAAATATAACAAACATCAATAACCAGTCAACCCAACAGATATAAAATTATTTCCAACTAAGTGCGGTATTTCGTTTAAAAAAATAGATTTTTAAATATACACTGACAACAAATCAAAATAAACATGAAGCTCATATGCTGTGGCAACAAAGGAACTATGGCGGTGAATGATAACGGCAGTCCAATGGAAACCAAAAAGGATGTGGAAGCAGAGGGCGCAAGTAAGTTTGCTGGACTTAGGCGGACTAATATATGAGTGAAACGTGTTGATAAATAATAATATATAATATTACCAACTGAAGATCGTAAAACTTCCCATCTTTTTAACAGAGCAGATAATCTGTCAGAAGAAACTGAAACTGATCCAAAGTGGTTGCTGAACAAAGCTTACATAAATGATAAAAAGTTTCTAAATTCGATATTCCATAGCTACATCGAGAGTGTCGCTATCATATTAAAAAAAAAATCATTAACAGTGCTGATTCTCATTTGTTAAAGCCCTGTGACCTAAGAATTTTTTTTTTTTAAAGAAACAAACTATTTTACTTATTAGGTGTGACTTCTTTTCCAAAATGTATTCAAAGCAAGTGCAAATAATTTTTTATTGCTTTTATATTGGCTTTTTTATGGTTTGTTTGTTGTACGTCAAATGAAGAGAAATTTTTAATGGCATAAGCCGATTTGTCATTAAAATGTGAAGTGAAAATGTTTATAAGTTGACTACTTCACTTACGCAATTGCCCAAGCTTAAAGAAGTATTTAGCAACATGCGCAGATTGTTTTGCTTTCTATATTCGTGAGATGGTTTTATTATAGTGTCTTAATTATTTGATATGATAATATGATTAGCCACTGCTAAAATACCAAAAAAATTAGCATTGTCATTAGATAAACAAATCGCAAGGGAACTGGGGCTGACTGGGGTTGTCTGTTGACCTGGAAAGGCGCCTCCAAAACACGACCAGAGACAGGAAGGTGACAGCAGTAACAACATTTGCTTTGCTTCAGGCCGTAAATCGTCAAAGTTTGTATGCAAATTTGTACAGAGCAAACAATTTTTTGTTTGTGTAGCTGTCTGTCTAGCTGGTCTCATATTCGTATGCATACAAATAAGTGCGAGAGCATGAACAATGAAAAGCACGCTGAACTGAGGCGCTCAGACAGACAGACAGGCAGTTTGTCGAGAAACTCTCGAGAGACTCTCTAGCGGGATTCCAGTTTAGAACGGATTGCTTAATGAGCAACCGCACTTGACAGCACTGGATCAGCATCAAGATCCGAGCTACGAGATATGAACTGCCAACTAGAGATACTTTCTTGGAACAATTAGATACATATATGGCTAAAACATAAATCTAGCATATTTGCTAAACTCAATTTATGTTCCTGCTTTGACTAAACTATACCGCGTGCAGCTGCTGCCGCGAGTTACAATAGGAAGGGATCAAGTTGCTAATTACAGGAAGGTGTTCCGAGACACAGGTCTCCTACTCGCCACATGCACGTGCTTCCAGACCAGCCATATGCAAATATGTTAATTTGCATGCTTTATGTTTATTTTTTAATGTATATTATTAGCAGTTGACAAAAAATTCGAAGTTCCTTCCGTAACGAAATAAATTACATATTTAAAACGATATCGACTTTTGATAATGCAATTTAATAAAAAATATATAAATTACAAATTATTCAGAGCTGGCAAGGTAGCGCCTGGCGCCTCAACAGGCACCGATGCAAGGCGTTAGGTTCATGTTTATATTGACATCAGGCACAACACGCGGCAAGTTCAATGCTGTCTAGCGCCACATTGAGGTACAGATATAACTCGAGTAACAGGTACATAAAACACGCTCAGCGGGTTTCGTGTTTGCCAAAATAAAAAATGTATCAAAACAGAACTGAACAGACGCATTAACAAACCGCATGCCATAAATTTTGGGAACTAGTACTATCAAATGACATTCTTGCAGCTTATTGACAACTGACATCGAGTGTTCTCCAGCCATTATCTGTGTTGCGCCCAAAGTCAGTTTCAAAGTCGAACGACTTAACAGAAAACAAAATGAAAACAATGTGCCTTAATATATAAGTACCTTGCTTATCGTGACCACTTAGCGTATATGCAATATTTACGCAAGCAAGCTATCAGCAAAGACCTCAATTGTTCAAATGCAGAGCCCTTGATACAAGTGTACATACTATTAACAGGTGGTTAGTATTAGATCCCAAGTCGACACCCAATTATCATTTATGCGAATCGTTGCTCGTGTCACGCTTCCAGATGTGTGGGAAAAACTTAATAATTGGTATTACAATTACAACTATAATCGCATTTAATTTATCCCAGATCAGTCAACTTTATGGAATGCGACCGCAAAAGAGCTTTTTTGAAGTACATCAGAAAAGAGTAAAGCTTACTCATTGTACTCATTGTTGTTCGACAAGTGGCGTTTTCACTGTTATAAACAATAACAAACGAGCTATTGGCTGTTATCAAAGCTTTGTGCTGTTTAAAACTTAGCTTGAAAGCTTTTTATTAGAGCTTTCAGCGTTGCCAGCTGTAAATATTTACAAAAGTAAGCTAACGGCTAATTTGAATTATTTTCAAATTCAGTTCAGCTTCAATAGTTGTTAACTGTGTTGGTATTCTTTTGAGAAAACATGGAAATAATTTGTAAATATGATGCGATTCAAAATTATGGTTTGAGATCCGTGATTGAATGCAACATACAAGTTATGTCTTGAGTGCATTTAAAGAGGGGAACAATCAGATAAGCATGAACTACATTAAGCTACGGACACTTATACTCAATAATATTTTTACGAACACTCAATTACAACGACACATAATAAGTAATGCGCATCTCGTCAATCAAGTGTCGCAATTATTAGAACTTTTTCGACTCTCAACGTTGCTCCATAATTAATTAGTTATTGGACAGACTCCGTGCCGTGCGGTAGTTTAACACAGAGCAGTTTTCAAAAGTATTTATCAAGCAATTCCGTTCAAACATGGTGAAGAATCGTCGCTTTGAGAATGAAGGTTTGTTACGATTGCCAGCTTATTGATGTTATCTAACTACTGTTTCAATAAGTCAACAGTTCTTAACTCAAATGAATTCGTTTTGTAAATATTGATTTAATAATAATATAGTAGATTTACACAGTTTTTACACTTGTGTTACTGCCATGGTATTTATTTGTTCCGCTTCAGTAGAGCTTATCAGCTAACGAGTTTTTGTCATCTCTCTTTCGATCTTTACCAAGATTGCGTTGTTATTACAGTTCGACTCGTTTTAACACACTTGATTAGAAGCTAGGAGAGCCCTCGATTTTCTATATAAGAGCTCGTACCTTAATCTCTGATAGTACTCGTACATAATTTGATCCAGCCAGATGTCTGTGTCAGATAACAGATGATATTGAGGCATTATGCAATTTAGCTTAAGGAATAACATCAGCATTATGACCTACAGGTGACCTTCTAGCTGATAGCAGGCATCAACAGCATCTCGTCAATCACTCATTTATTGATTCTATATATATATACGTTAAGAAATATATAAACGCATTTATATTGAGACAAGTTGAAGTTCAATATTATAATCAATATAAATATGTATTGCAAATTCCAAATATATGTCTAATCACAATCTCTTTTCAGAATATGGACTGGGTGTACGACACCTGCAAACTTTCCTTCTTTTCCTTGCCCTAACTGTGGCATATGCACAGCGAGTAAATTTATCCGTGGCTGTTGTGGCCATGACAGATGGAGAGATTAATTCCAACTTCCCTGTAAGTAGATTTTCAAGTAGATTTGGAATGAAACACAAAAGAGTACGAATTCGCGAAAAGAAAGTGAAACTGAAACACTTTTCTTTGATATGGCGACTTTAACATTTACTTTACATATATTTATTGATAGATATGAATTTCCTAAATTATGTGGCCCTATTAATCATAGATTTACCTCTGCAGGAATACCATTGGCCGGAGAAGACTAAATCCTTGTTGCTGAGCAGCTTCTTTTGGGGTTATGTTCTGACCCAGGTGCCATCGGGTCAACTGGCTCGCAAATTTGGTGGCAAGATAACGCTGTTCACTGGCCTGGCCATCTGCTCCGTGCTAAACTTACTGACGCCTCTGTGCGCATTATGGGGCGGTTGGGAAGTGGTATCTGCCCTTCGTGTCATGGAGGGCTTATGCCAAGGAGTTGTCTTCCCATCAGTTCACACGTTAATCTCCGCTTGGGTTCCGCCCAATGAGCGACCGGTGCTAGGCACCTGTGCTTATACGGGCAACCAGTTCGGAACCATTGTCATGCTGGCCACAAGTGGACTACTCGCGGCCTCACCGGCTGGTTGGCCCAGCATCTTTTACATTTCTGGAGGCGTTGGTTGCCTTTGGTCCATCGTCTATTTCATATGGGGAGCCAGTTCGCCGGCTACTTACAAGAGAATCTCAGTTGAGGAGCGCAAAATGATAGAGATGGCGCAGGCGACTGAGGCGGTCTCCGAACAGCCCAAGGAAAAGATGCACACACCTTGGCTTAGTTTCTTCACCTCGCCACCTTTTTTGGCACTCATTGCCGCGCACAGTGCAAACAATTGGGGATTCTGGACGCTGCTCACCGAGATACCCAGCTATATGAAGAATGTCCTGAACAAGGACATCAAATCAAATGCGCTGCTCTCGGCCCTGCCCTACTTTGCCATGTTCTGCATGTCCTTTGTATTCTCCGCCATCGCCATGCAGCTGAACAAGCGCAACTGCATCTCCACTGTGACCAGTCGCAAGCTCTTCAACACCATCGGCTTGTGGGTACCTATGTTGGCCTTGATTGGCCTGGCCTATGTGGGCAGTGATCAGAGCAATCTGGCTGTCATTTTGCTGACGATTACTGTAGGATTCAACGGTTCCTGCTATCTGGGCTTCCAAATCAATCACATCGATCTGTCGCCCAACTTTGCTGGCATCCTGATGGGCATCACCAATTGCGTGGGTAATATTATGAGCATCATTGCACCACTCCTGGTCGGATTTATTGTAACCAATGAAGTAAGTTATTCAACACGTTTTCATTGGCTAGACTATTGAAACTCCCTTTCTCTCTTTGAAGCATGATGTGGAACAGTGGCGTATTGTTTTCTTTATTGCCGCCATCATTTATCTGGTAGGCAATGGTCTCTTCATCATCTTCGGTCGAGCCAATGTGCAGAAGTGGAACGATCCACCAGCCAAGCCCCGTCGGAACTCCACACCACAGGTGGAGTCTCAGCATTAGTAGTATATTCTAGAGATTTAGAGAGATAAACAATCGCTAGTCATCTAGTTCACATTACCGAGAATTGGATCATTTATTGGTCCAAGGTGAAACTTTAAATCTAACTGTAATTCGAGGCAATGTATTATCACATTGACCGGTCGAAATATCGTTTGTTTTGTATTTGTAGAGTGTTCTATATGATATATTTTATATGAATTTGTTGTTTTAAGTTTAGTGAGTAGTGTTTAGATAGGTCTTGTTGACAAAAAGATACAAAACACATTGTTTAACTAGTAATAAATTGTACATTCAAAATATCAACAAAGTGTTTTATCTGTAACTGAGAATTTATTGAGGGCATTTTGATAGATTAAACGGTCGATCGTATTTATAAACTAATTTGATACCAAATCTATGAGTTCACATTTTTATGGATTCACAGAGTATTGATAGTTAAGCAATTATCGTCTTTTATTGATATAATTGTATTTAATTATATTCTCAAGTATTTGACCTAACTGAGACAGATGTCTGAAATTCCATGTTGCTTGTGATACGTTCATCTGGAAGCCGTCTACGAACCCACAGGAAGCTGGCGCGGAAACAAATTTTGTTTTAAAGCTCATTAACATTAAAAACCTTTTTGCTATATGATGAACATAAAATACAGAAGTTCGTTGTCTATGTCACTTGTTTTTAAATACATAATCTGTTGAAATTTCACTAGTAATCCACAGCATTTAAACATATTTAAGTTCCATTGCCCGCTTGTTGTAGTTGTTGACTTAATGTCTCATTCTGATTCAATAAAGTTGGAGTTACTAAAAACAAATGAAAGACATTTAATTTGACTTAAGTTGTACTTTATTATGGCAAATTTTTGCTGGTCAAATATGTAAAATATAAACTTATAATTGATAATCTAATTAAATCTCATAATCATATATATGTATACCCGTAGGTTTTAGGCAAAGCCATAAAGTATGCTACGTAAAACGCTTTGTGTGCCTGTTATTTGATCCAATGTTGTTCGCCATGCGAAATATAATAATTATTATTGTAGTTTACTCAATTCTAGTTTTGTGTGTGTGGCATCCCGAAACGGCACAGCTGAGCACTCCACTGGACTGAACAGTCCGTTCACGCTGACGTCATTTGGCGCTGGCATCTCGACGTCGACGCTTACAATATTCACTAACGGCAGACTGGAAGCGTGTTCTAGTCGCCGAGCTTCGAACGCGACGCAGCGATCAGTCTATCTGTAAATTGGAAGCGGGACGCATCTACCTCATACGTCAGTCCATCGCAAAAGGCGATAACAATCGGATTGCCTTGCTTTCGTGACGTTTGTTTTGCCACCAATCAATTGACTGTCAACTGATGTACATTAAATGAGAAACTCAATTATTACAGAATATTAAATAAATGGATCCTAAATAATTATTGATTGATTTTAACGAGCAACGGCAAATTAAAGAAAAGTTAACTTACTGTGCTATTTCGCATAAATAAATAAAATATAAATTTATGTTTCAAATAAGCAACGATCATTTTAAAGTTATTAAAATTCATTTTGTGGGAATATATATAATATATATGCTCAAAATGCATATTTTCTACTACACACTTCTGGTCTAGAGTCAAACATGTTTTGGAATTATGCGAACTTTTTCTGCCTCTTTCATATTTTTACAATTTGTATGTTTTACAAAGCATTAATCAGTTATTGAACAAGTTTCGTACCGAAGAAGTTGAAAAGTGAAAGGCAGATCACTTTTCTAAGACACTAAAGTGTCTCAGTTCAAGTGTCTCGGTTTATATTGAGAAAAAGGTTAGTTATTGTGTCAATAAGTCAATAGATTTTGACCCAAATGAATTTGTTTGTGCAAATATTCATTACGGATGATCTCTGCAGTTCTAAGTTAATTGTGCCAATCAGGAACTAGATTTTTTTTTTTAATTTTTTGGGAATCTGCCATGTCTTAGAGCGCAGTCATTAATCTCTGGTAGAGCTCTTAGATAATTTTATCTGGCCTGAGAGGTTTTATTACAATAAACTACTACAAGTGCAGTGAGGAATTAAATGCTATCTAATCATAAGATTTATTTATCTGGCTGGTGTCGCTAGTTAAATGTGACAAGAAGGTAGTCAATATTAACAGACAAGTTGGTGTAGCTGGTAAAATAGTTCCGAAGTGTGCAGTAAGACCGACAGAAGAAATAAGAACGTAGAAATCATCGTGTTGAGACCTTAAGGTGAACGTCATTATAATGGTAAAGAGTCTTCGGTGTGATCAATCAGGTATGTTGTAATTCACCATATTATTATTAATTCAATTTCAGGGACAGATGTTAAACATTTACAATAGCATAACGAACAAATTGTGAAAAATATTAATCTTGTGTGAGAATCAGATAGTTGAATGTGTTTCGAGGCTTACTGAATTTAGCCAGCCCCTAACTTTCAATTACTCATGTTTTTCAATATGGATAATTTTCATGGTTTGACATTAATCTTGAAGATCACTTTCTTAATGTTATCAAGTTAGATTAGATAAGCTTAGATTAGATTAGTAAGCAGATACGAAACGAGCTAACGTTGTCAACCCGACTAAAGTTTCTTGGACTTTTCTCAAGATCGTCAATAATATAAAATATTTAATTTCAAAATGACATTGAAAGATCATAATAAGAAATTCAACAATTGAAAATTTAGAAAATAATTTAAAATATTGGATAATAAATGAATGGGTAACTGGAATTTAATTTTGGCATGGAACATCTTTAAACACTGATAACGCTTTTCAAAAGTATCAACAAAGTGGTTTGGCTTTTAGTTAAATATTATATCAATAAGTCAATAGTTTTTGACTCAAATGATGTCGATTCTGTAAATATTGATTAATTAATAGTATCGCATGTTAAAACGGGGTCTTGTGGGTCTGCCTAGGTATTTATTGATGAGTTATTAGTGATGACCGCATAAGTTCTAACCCAATTGATAAGCAACTTTTATTAGAGACGAGCCCCTCGACGTTATAACTGCGACAGCCTCAAGTGATGCAATTGTATAAAATTTGCACAAAGCGGCTAATCTTAATCAGATTTATTAATTCAAAATCTAGCAGTCCCTTATCTCTCAACTTAAAGCGTCTACAAATTACACGCCTTAACCAATGGAAAGAAAAAGTCCAGTTAGACAACCGTTTTATGGCCCAGAGTCAGCTAAACAATTAGTGTGAACTACATTTTTTTAATTTTGGTGAATTTAACAGACACTCGTCATTAATCACTGGATGAACGCGTACATTATTTTATTTTATCTGGCCAGACGCCTGCGCGAGATATGGGATGATAAATAAAACAATAAGATGGTAAACCGCTGCCATTTATGATTATATGATTGAGGGGTATGTGATTCGGGATAGGTTTGTGGTAATTCCATTAAAGCACTACGTCAAAGAATTCAGTTCAAAAACTGGCATCAGGGTAATAATTAGTTAGTCAAATTGATGGTAGGTTTTGATTATACGAATGTCCGTCTAATCACAATCTATTTTCAGAATCTAGATTGGGTGTTCGACACTGGCAAACTTTCCTCTTCTTTCTCGCCCTAAGTGTGGCTTATGCACAGAGAGTCAACTTATCCGTGGCTATTGTGGCCATGACAGATGCAGATGCTGTTAATCCCGATTTTCCTGTAAGTACAAATTTACAATAGGAGATATGGACTTTATGGGCTTTTATATATATGGGATATAATGCATGCAAAGCGATTGAAACTGAATTATTTGACTTATTTATGGCGATTTTAAATATATTGATTGATAGATATGAATTTACTAAATTATGTGGCCCTACTAATCGTAGCTTTATCTCTTCAGGAATACAATTGGCCGGAGAAGACTAAATCCTTGTTGCTGAGCAGCTTCTTTTGGGGCAATGTTTTGACCCAGGTGCCATCGGGTCAACTGGCTCGCAAATTTGGTGGCAAGATAACACTGCTAACAGGCATGTTTATCTGCTCCGTGCTAAACTTACTGACGCCTCTGTGCGCATTATGGGGCGGTTGGGAAGTGGTATCTGCCCTTCGTGTCATGGAGGGTTTGTTCCAGGGAGTTGTCTTCCCAGCGGTTCACACGTTAATCTCCGCATGGATTCCGCCCAATGAGCGACCGGTGCTGGGCACTTGTGCCTATGCGGGCAGTCAGTTCGGAACCATTGTCATGCTGGCCACAAGTGGACTACTCGCGGCCTCACCGGCTGGTTGGCCCAGCATCTTTTACATTTCTGGAGGCGTTGGTTGCCTTTGGTCCGTCGTCTATTTTATATGGGGCGCCAGCACGCCGGCTGATTATAAAAGTATCTCAGTGGAGGAGCGCAAATTGATAAAGATGGCGCAGGCAACTGAGGCGGTCTCCGAACAGCCCAATGAAAAGATGCACACACCTTGGCTTAGTTTCTTCACCTCGCCACCTTTTTTGGCACTCATTGCCGCGCACAGTGCTAACAATTGGGGATTTTGGACGCTGCTCACCGAGATACCCAGCTATATGAAGAATGTCCTGAACAAGGACATCAAATCAAATGCGCTGCTCTCGGCCCTGCCCTACTTTGCCATGTTCTGCATGTGCTTTATATTATCCGCCATCGCCATGCAGCTGAACAAGCGCAACTGCATCTCCACTTTGACTAGCCGTAAGCTCTTCAACACCATCGGCTTGTGGGTACCTATGTTGGCCTTGATTGGTCTGGGCTATGTGGGCAGTGATCAGAGCAATCTGGCTGTCATTTTGCTGACGGTTACAGTTGGTTTCAATGCTTCCTGCTATCTGGGCCAACAGATTAATCACATCGATCTGTCGCCCAACTTTGCTGGCATCCTGATGGGCATCACCAATTGTGCCAGTTGCATCATGAGCATTTTTGGACCGCTCCTAGTGGGATTCATTGTTACCGATGAGGTGAGTAATTATCTGAATGCTCCTTGGCTACTCTATTGAAACCCTTTTCTCTCCTTGAAGCATGATGTGGAACAGTGGCGTATTGTTTTCTTTATTGCCGCCATCATTTATCTGGTAGGTAATGGTCTCTTCATCATCTTCGGTCGAGCCAATGTGCAGAAGTGGAACGATCCACCAGCCAAGCCCCGTCGGAACTCCACACCACAGGTGGAGTCTCAGCATTAGTAGTATATTCTAGAGAATTACATAGATATACAATCGCTAGTCTACTAATTTGATCGACTAAAGTGCTTCTCATTTTTATCTGACTATAGTAAACAAATAAACCATAGCTTAAATGCAAAATTCATCAAATTGTATCCAAACAGCATCGAAATAATGACTATAAGTTCACATTAAAGTAAATATAATTATTTAAATACTGCTGGATACATAATTATTACAGCTTTTGTATATTTTTATAAATCAAAGTCGTGTGCTTATTTTAGACTTTGTCGCACCTTTTAGCTGATCATACGATATATTTACATATGTCAAACTGGTGTTGCCAGTCGAGCGACGAGGTGACTATTAAAATTTGAACTCGAAAGTCTAGCAAGATGCTGTGTTCCATATATATCGTCTAGTTGGTAAAAAGGTTCCGAAGCGTACGGTATTGCACTACAGAGAAGTAACTTTAAGTAGCACATCTTCAAGTGTCAGCATTAAAATGGTAAAAAATCGTCGCTTTCAAGATGAAGGTAAGTTTCCTTATATTTAGAAAATTTTTTGCAGTTGAATATTCCAGGTTAGGCAATAATGCCGTATGTATATTGTGAAAAACATCACCCAATTATTCTAATTCAAAGACCAAATGTGTTTCTGTAGAATCAGTTAGTTAAATGTGCTTCAGGGTTAACTTAAAGTCAGTAGCCTTTAACTTAAAATAGTTGAGGTTCATAAATATGTCAACATGGATTATTTTAATTTTTACATAAATCTTTGACTTAATTTTCCAAATGCTCTCGAGTTAGATAACAAATAGAAAACGAGTTATCATCGTCATCCGGACCAAAGCTCCTTTTACATCTGCTTCTTTGCAGTATACCTGCGTCACATTGTATGATTTTACAAGCATATGTATACCCTAGAAACTGTTACAGATAAGCGATCATCATAAACTAGGTGTGTAAAACTTATCTCGAGATAGATAATCCGCTTTATGCGAATTACTTCCTATTGACTTGGGGGCTCGTCACACTTAAGTGTTTCCTTCTATATTATTGCTGTATATTCACATATTCTATTCTACACAACTGCTGACTTTCCCTTGGTGCCCTTTTTTAATACTCAAATATCTATATTTTCTTTTTCATACTTTCGGTTCTGGATATGGCGAGCGACACGTACAAATATTTCTGCTCTTTTGCGGTCTAATGGTTGGCTTTTCCATGCGTGTTAATCTGTCAGTGGCGATTGTGGCAATGACTGAGCTGCCTGTAAGTAAAAAGAAGTTTAACTCTATGTCTGACATACTAAAATCGCCATATCCCTTTAGGAATACAACTGGTCAGAGCAAACAAAGTCCTTTGTGTTGAGCAGCTTTTTTTGGGGTTATGTGATTACCCAGTTGCCGGCTGGTATCATGGCACGCAAATTTGGAGCTAAGATAATGATCCTAACGGGTTTGTCAATCAGCTCCGTGCTGACCGTTTTGACACCCCTCTGTGCGAGGTTGGGAGGTTGGCAACTACTCTGCGCTTGCGTTTGATGGAGGGACTATGCCAGGGTGTACTTTATCCATCCTATCATACGCTAATCTCCTCCTGGGTGCAGCCAAGAGAGCGATCATCGCTGGGCACCTATGTCTATATGGGTGCCCAGTGTGGAACTATTGTCATGTTGTCCACGAGTGGCATACTCGCCGCCTTCGCTGGCTGGCCAAGCATCTTCTACATCTCTGGCGGCTTAGGCATGGTTTGGGTGGTGGGCTACTGTCTTCGAGGAGCCAATTCTCCAGCAGTCTCAAAAAATATGTCAATTGAAGAGAAGGAGCTGATTGAGATGGCGCAGACTAGCGAAGTCGCAACAAAATTGGAGCCACCCAAGGAGAGCATCCCGACACCCTGGAAGCGTTTCTTTACATCGCCGGCATTCCTGGCGCTGATTGCAACGCATTGTGCTGCCAACTGGGGCTACTGGACGCTACTCACCCAGATTCCCAGCTACATGAAGAATGTTCTGGGAAAGGATATCACGGCTAATGCACTCCTCTCCTCGCTCCCATATATAATGATGGTTGTGTTCGGCTTTTTCTTTGTCAGGTTGTCCAAGTTGCTGCAGAAGCAGACATCTATTTCGCGGAGTTTAAGCCGCAAATTGTTCAACACAATTGGCCAGTTTATTCCCATGTTGCTGCTGGTTGCATTGGGCTATGTGCCACAGGGCAGGGATACCCTCGCTGTTGTGCTACTCTCTCTCACTGTGGGAACTAACGCAGCCATTGATCTGGGCTTCATTATCAATCACATCGATCTCTCCCCAAATTTTGCTGGCGTTCTGATGGGAATTAGCAACGGATTCGCCACTCTGATGAGCATCTGTGGTCCACTTTTAGTGGGCATTATAGTTAAAAATCAGGTGGGTTAATGGGGTCTTTAAAACCATGATTTTACGTATTCATATTTTTGTATTTTCACTGCAGCGTGATGTAATTCAGTGGCGTATTGTTTTCTTCATTGCCGCTGGTTTCTATCTGGTGGGCAATGGTCTCTTCCTTATCTTTGGTCGGGGTGATATCCAGGAGTGGAACGATCCTACGGCTAAAACGTGTCACAGTTCTTTGCCGCAGCCTGAGTCAGAGAGGAAAATGGCCGAAGATTTCTAGTAAAGTGCCTTAAGGCTTGGCTTTTACTTATTGATTAGTCAATAAAAAAAGTTTAGATATAAAAAAAGTAAAGTATCGATACCTGATTGGCATCGATTCAGATCGGTTGAAGCCAGAGGTGGAAGAAAGACACATGAAGTGTAATTGAGCATAAGTACACCATCATTATCAATAAGCACAAACATACCAATATATATCGCTAAGCCATCCATTATAATATAATATTCAACATTATACCTACATTTTTAATATAACGCGCAGAAACTGTGTCAATTAGCTGGACAAAGTTCCTAGATAGGAGGAAGACCATTCCTCGTCGCGATAGAATCAATCAATTTGGAACATTCTTAGGCCTTTATAACCATAAATTAGTGACAGCACATAATCACATATTTATCAAGAAAACAAAGTAATTATAAAGAGGTCACTCATTCGTCTTTTTGTAAAATAATTCTATTGCTGAACAATTAAATAACTAACTCATTGTTAAAATGCTACTGCCAGTCTTACGCACACTCGCTTGCTATCTTATCAAATTGTAAAATAGTAATCTTCATAAGTCGAGTGCAGAGACTACTCGCACACTCTAATACACAGCTGGCGATCAGAACTTGAGTTGAAGCTCATATAAGGGATGCAGCTAAACGTTAATCATTCAGTTGACGAAGTGGTCTCGAGGTAACGCAGATAAATCATCTTCAATGTCTATGTCAGGCAGCACCAGCATGGTGAAGAATCGTCGTTTTGAAGATGAAGGTAAACATTTTGATAAGGACTTTATCCCTTATTAGTAACCTAACGATTTTAAAAATTGTAAATTAACTAAATTTGGTTAATTAATCCTTTCATATAACAGATCCAACAATAATCTAAAGTCTTAAATTACATTGAGCAGTGTTTATTTTACTTAATAAAGTGTTTGGAAATTATAGGGATAATTTACTTTTAATTTATCACACTTAACTGCTCACAAGCAGATAAGAATATGTATATCTGATTCCTTCAGTAGTCTCAGCTCAATTTTAGACGAGATATCTCGATAAAATTTCCACTGACACTATCATGAGTCTTTTGAATAAATGAAAAGAATTTCATCACAAAATCTTATTTTCAAAATTATATAAGTCATTTAAAAACCATGTATGATCAGGGTTTGGTCGAAAAGGATGATTTTATTATCTGAATTACTGTTGGGCCACTGTTAATTATCTTTTGGATCTTCCAGGCAATGGACTTGGACTTGGAGTACGTCACTTACAGATGTTTCTACTATTCATCGGCCTATCAGTTGGCTTTGCCATGCGAGTTAATCTATCCGTGGCTGTTGTGGCAATGACAGATACCTCAATAAATCCGGACTTTCCTGTGAGTAAATTCTCGATAAAAAGACAACTTAAATTAACAATTCTCTATTCGATCAGGAATATCCATTGTCTGAGAAAACTAAGTCATGGGTGCTAAGCAGTTTCTTTTGGGGCTATGTGGTCACCCAAGTGCCCGGTGGTTCCTTGGCCCGCAGATTTGGTGGCAAGGTAACGCTCCTGACTGGCGCCACCATCTGCTCCTTGCTGAATTTCCTAACACCTCTATGCGTCGGCTTGGGTGGCTGGTCGCTGCTCTGCGTACTGCGATTTTTTGAAGGCTTATGTCAGGGCGTGTTTTTCCCATCGTGCCATACGATCATCTCAGCTTGGATACCGCCCAAGGAGGTGGCAACTTTGGCCACTTGTGCATATAGTGGCGTTCAGTTTGGTACAATCATTATGCTGTCCGTGAGTGGTTTGCTTGCCTCCTCGGCTGGTGGCTGGCCAAGCATCTTTTATGCATCTGGAGCCTGTGGCATCCTGTGGGCGGTGCTCTACTACATATGGGGTGCCAGTTCGCCAAACGACTCCAAAAGAATCTCGGCAGAGGAATTCAAGTTGATTGAGTTGTCGAAGGCAAGCGAGAAAATTAACAAATCACAACTGCCACAAAATCGACAACCTACGCCTTGGCTGAGCTTCCTTACCTCGCCACCCTATCTGGCACTCACCGCCGTGCATTGTGCCACCGCCTGGGGATTCTATACACTTCTAACGCAAATTCCCAGCTACATGAACAACATCCTTGGAAAGGATATCAAATCAAATGCCTTGCTCTCCTCACTGCCTTACATCGCTAATCTGGGGCTCGGCTTTGTCTTCATCTGGATGTCCAAATTGATGGACAAGTACACGTCGCTTTCTCTCGGTTTCAGTCGCAAGTTCTTCAATTCGATTGGGCATTATATTCCCATGTGCCTGCTGGTCGCCCTGGGCTATGTGCCAAAGGAACACGACACTCTGGCCGTTGTGCTACTCACCTTAACAGTGGGCCTCAATTCTGCCATCCACCTCGGCTTTCAAGTGAACCACATCGATCTGTCGCCCAACTACGCGGGCACGCTGATGGGCATCAGCAACGCCTTGGCCAGCATTATGAGCCTCAGTGCACCACTCCTAGTGGGCGTCATTGTAACCGATAAGGTGTGTTCTTTTAACGGAGGTACTTTTAAATGTAAGTTTTATTAATTTATTTCTGACCGCAGCACAATGTGGAACAGTGGCGCATTGTCTTCTTTGTCGCCGCCGCCATTTATCTGGTGGGCAATGGTCTTTTCATACTCTTCGGGCGTGCGGATGTCCAGGAGTGGAACGATCCACCAGTTAAGGAGCGTCACACAGCCGTACCTCAGATGGAATCACAAAGATCTGAGTGCTGTGATAAATGAAGGTGCTTGATGAAACGATAGACTCCAATCACTTGGCTGTCAAGTGGGGAAAGTGGTGGCTTCCGACTGTCATCTCTTATTGGATTATAAGTGACACAATTGCTCTTAAACGTGTGAAACATCTTAAGCCCACAATTTATGGAGTATAATCAGTCGCTGCCCGAGCAATTGTTGTACATATATATACATAAAGATTGATTGCCGCTTAATAAATAAACTATATGTAGCATTAGGAAAAACTGAATGTTTTGAAAAGAAAAATAATTATTAATTGACCGAATTAAACCAAGAATAAGTGTACTCACCAGCACATTACACTGATTCCGTGAAAATAGTATTTTAATTGAGATTTTGCTTGGAATTTGAATACAAATTCTTCTCTTGATTGCTATTCAGCTCTATCTAAATTGTATTTCCAATTTATTATTTGACTTGCTAACTTTCCGTCCTTGATAAGTGTAACTTTCCTCTAAGACAATGTACGTCTAGTCACCACTTTGTAATAATTTAAGTAAATAGTTCAGTGAGGATTTTCAAAGGTTGGGCAACATAATCTAATCAAAATATAAATATAGATATTAATATAAATAAGCATATTTACTTTTGTCGTGCTGTTGAGTAGGCACGCGATTTATATGATTACAAATACAGAGGCTGTCAGCGTTTGCTCTACCCAATAACTCGAATCTGAAAACCAACAATTAGTTTGTGAAGAGGTCTTGTGGTGTGCGGTAAGTCAAAGCACAGAAGTCATCACGTTAACGAACGCATCGAAATGTTGAAAAATCGACGATTTGAAGATGAAGGTATGTAACTGATAACAGGACCTTAAGAGATTAGCATATTAAGGTTAATAGCGAATTCAGAGGAGATACATATAAACAAATTAAATAAATAAATAACTATCAGAAGAGTACAATATGAAATATCTTTAAATATGCTTTACATTTCAATAGACTCCGGATTCGGCATACGGCACTTGCAAGTATTTTTTCTCTTCTCCGCTCTGTCCATGGGCTTTGCCATGCGAGTTAATCTCTCCGTTGCTGTTGTGGCAATGGCAGAATTTCCTGTAAGAATAATTTATTTTAAACTAACGCAGATGCACTCACATATTGCATCAACTCTTCAGGAATACAAATGGTCGGAGAAGATTAAATCCCTGGTGCTGAGCAGCTTCTTTTGGGGTTATGTGATTACCCAGATACCTGCAGGTCCTTTGGCACGTCGCTTTGGCGGTAAGGTAACGATCCTAACGGGATCGTCCATCTGTTCCGTGCTGACAATTTTGACACCACTCTGTGCCAAGCTGGGTGGTTGGCAACTGCTCTGCACAGTGCGTTTGCTGGAAGGCTTGTGCCAAGGATTTCTGTTTCCCTCGTGCCACACGGTGCTCTCGGCTTGGGTGCCACCTAAAGAGCGAGCAACCCTAGGCAACTTCACGTACGCGGGCAATCAGTTTGGCATAATCGTTATGCTGGCCACAAGTGGACTGCTCATCTCTATGGGCGGCTGGCCCAGCGTCTTCTATGCCTCTGGTGCAGTTGGCTGCATTTGGTCCATCATATATTACATTTGGGGCGCCAGTTCGCCAGCGGACTCGAAGAGCATTTCAGCGGAGGAACGAACGCTGATTGAGCTGGGGCAAGCTGGCGAACGGAATGACAGCTCGGAGCAGCCCAGTCATCACCAAATCACTCCCTGGATGAGGTTTTTCAGATCGCCTGCTGTCCTGGCGCTGATTGTTGTGCAATCGGCTTATGCGTATGGTTTCTGGACCTTGCTCACACAGATTCCCAGCTACATGAAGTATATCCTGGGCAAGGATATAAAGGCAAATGCACTGCTATCCGCGTTGCCTTCCGCCGCAATGCTGACACTCTGCTTCATCTTTGCCTGGCTATCGAAATTAATGCAGAAGAAGGATTCTATTTCACTCTCATTCAATCGCAAGTTCTTCAACTCAATAGGAACTTTTGGTCCCATGTGTCTTCTGATTGCGTTGGGCTATGTGCCACAGGATAAGGATACACTGTCCGTGGTGCTGATCACTCTTACCGTGGGCTTAATCTCCGCCAGCCACGTGGGCTTTTTAATAAACCACATCGACTTAACGCCAAATTATGCCGGCATCATAATGGGCATCTGCAATTGTGTCGCAAACTGCATGAGTCTCGCCGCTCCCCTCCTAGTGGGCGTCATTGTCACCGATCAGGTGGGTCACTTCCAATCTAATCCCAATGGAAATATTAATGGTCACTATTTACTCCCTTCTTGCAGCACAATCCACATCAGTGGCGTATGGTATTTTTCGTGGCTGCTGGAATCTATTTAGTGGGCAATGGTGTTTTCCTTATATTCGGACGCACCAATGTCCAGCCGTGGAACGATCCATCAGCCGAACAGCAAAAGCCTGGAGCTGATACCACGGAACAGTTGGAGTCACAGACTCAAAATAAGTGAATGAATCAGTTAGATCGATCAAATATACGTATATATATATATATATATATTAATTATTATAATTTAATGCATTTAGGATCATCGTTTAATGATGAGTTTATTCTATATGGCAATATACGGATGTGTATCTAGATGAGACTCTGCTGTATATGTATTTAAAATAAACAATTTGATTTGGATTTCTACTATCAATTTATTTCAAAAACCTCCTTGAGGACTCGAATTTTGTTATAGATACCTTTTAATAATTCCACTGGAGGGAACCAATCTTACCTGTGAATATATTAAGCCTCAGCCCTCTACACTCTCTTATATCTGTGCATATCAAATAAATCAGGGGCAACGAACGATATAGTTCATGCATACAAAATGTAATAGCATCAAAGTGCGGTTTTGCACTGCACGCACCTGGCGGAATTAAACTGAACTAAAATTTGTGCATAAAGTGTTGCATACTTTAAGGGCTACTTTGAAAACAGTAATTAATTTGTGCAAATGAGCAAGCAGAAATAGCGAAAAACCGAGGAATAATGAACAAATATATTTGGATGGGGTACAGTTAAGTATTTGTATGAATAACAATTTTAGAAGCACATACAATAATACTAAAATAATAATTTTTATATTTATATGATAACAATTATAAGCTTGAATTGAAGAACATTTTTTAAAAATGTTTTAGAAATACTCTTAGATTCATTTGGGTATTATTTATCTAATAAACCAATCGATAATTTGGAATTTTGTAGTTAAATATAGACAATTTAATTATATGTTACCAGGTTAACAAAATTGTTATTTTATCAATATAATCATGGTTCAATAATAAACATTAATCTTCGACGGTATTTGGTGCTTTAGGCAGTAAATCGCCTCTCCATTCGGCTTTCATATGTACGAAAATAAAATGTTTTTTGCACATTTTATGGCAACTATTTGCCCGCATTTGGGGCATACAGCTGAAGTGGAAGTTGTGGTCGTGTGAGGCGAACCTGTTGATAAGCTGAATTTGAATATACTCAGAATATATGGAACGTATGTTTGCCTAAACATATACATACACATACATATATATATATAAACGATACGACAAAATATTTGCGATTACAAGCATAAAAATGTATAAGACCGAACATTTCAAAATGAAACTTAAAATAGCAATGAACTCAGCTAAAGAACGATGGTCTGGGACATAAATAAAGAAGGCTTAGAGTGTTGCAAAGGATTCGCAAGAATTTCACAACTGGTTTGCAGTTGGGCTCTTTCCATTCCGCTTGTAGTGAGTGGCACGTGTACAAAAGTTAAAATGACAAACGGCAAAGTCTTCCCGCCTGCCCCTGGACCGGGGGCAGATAGCGTGAGGCTCGCCTTTGTTGGAGCAGCCAGAAACAAAAATACCGAAATTAAAAGATAATGAAATCCATTAAATACGAATTTTAAAGCAGTTATTTATACGATTTCCTGCGAGGCGTCGGGCGCGGTGCGTGGCGACGTACAGCGCGATGTTATCAACTCCACAGTGCAAATAATAACACACTTGTCATATCAGCTGACGCCCCGGGCGCCACCACCATCAGCACCACCACCATCACCTCCAGAACCAGAAACAGCACATAATTCGACTAGCTGCCATAGAATATATAAATGCATATATAAATATTTTCAGTCGCTAGCTGCTGCAAAGAGGTTGGCGAGGGAGCGAGGGGTCTTCACAATGGGCCTAAATGGAACGTTATCTGAATCTGAAGTACATACTTTATTGTCTGCCAACTCGGCATGAATCAAGGTTTATGAGCACCAACGTCAGTGGTGAAATCGTAAATGGACAGGGGCACCCCTCTTTACACATCTCTCTCTTATTCTCAGTCTCTCACTCTCTCGCCTTTGTCTCTTCGGATCTCTCAGTTTGAGTTGCAGTCTCTATGTTTACGTCATTCCAAAGGCGTTGTACTCCATACCAAAATCGAATTTTGCAAATCATTTTGCCATGCGAGCAAATACAGCAAAAAGCAACTACAACACACACACACACACAAACACACACACACAGAGCTCTCGTGCGCTCTGGGCCGCAACGTGTTTGGTGCGGGGAGTGCGGGTGATGGGGAGAAATTATCGTTTTCAGCGATGAGCGTCAACTGAGAGCCGATTGGTTTTTGTACACTTGCGTATCACGTGAACGTGCAAGTCGTCGGCTGCGTGCCGAGCCGAACGTGTGAGAAACGTGATCAAAGATCAGGCAGAGAGCGAGTGCTAGAGAGCGCAGAAGAACACTCACAGAGAGAGAGAGAGAGACAGTAATTAAAGAGAGCGAGAGAGTGGGTGCGCCACAGCTGTGGGTGTGTATTGAATGTCGATGCATAAGTGAGTGAGTGAGTGTGCTTGTGTATGTGTTGCAAATATATGTGCATTAAAATGGCAAACAAATTAACACATCGCGGCGCCAAAGCTGCCGGCAAAGCGTTGGCGCTTTTGACTTTGACTATCGATCGCTTTTACTCTTTTCCTCTCTCCTGCATGTTATTCCTGCAATGCGCTCTCTCTCTCTCTTTCTCTCTCTGTTCCTCGCTTTGTCGCTAAGGTTATCGCAAAAAAGTTTGCAAATATTCAATGCTATTTTTCTCAATTCGTTGTTTTTAACAACATCAGAAAACTTAATTAATATTTAGTATATTATTATCATTTTTTTAATAATACCTAGGCATTTCACAACAAATCAGAAATACTAACAGGCCCATGTAACTATACTCGCAGGGCTCTGATTTTCTTCTTTTTTTTTTGTGTATCACAATGTGCCTTGTCATGATGTGTGCTTATAATTTTAATGAATTAAGTTCTGTTGTGACGAAACTTAGTTAGAAAACTTGTTGTGCATAGACAGTGGTAGAAGTTCTGAGCACGAGTGCAAATTGAACAAATAAACAATGCAAATAAGTTTTTACAACTGTATAATTAGCGCTTTCAGTTTGGTGCCGTGTCGCATGATGTCACAGTGATAAATCAGAGTCGTGGCTGTCGCAGTGCCCCCGAAAGAAAAAATAACCTACCTCCATTGGTATTTGCAGATCAAAGCGCAGTCGCAATGATAAGATGTACGTTCGCCGAACTGCTGATTATAATCATGGAAAGAGGGATTGTAGATAAGGGCCTGAGATAAGACTGCAGAAGCGAAAGCTAATCACAGCATTTGTCGAGTGACTAAGTTTCCGCCGTTTAATGCCAGTGCACAAAGTTGTGCTCGGTTCGCATAAGGGTGGCGGAACTAACATTAACGCTTAGCCAAGATCACGAGTAATTATCTTACTTTTGAATGTGTGTTTGAGTTTCTTTTTTAGCACTCTTCTCTGCCCAACTCGTATGTTCTATGCTTAGCCGATAGCGCTGGGAACACATCTTGGCACATTTTTAGAGGAAAAACAAAATTGGACCAGACAATCCGAAATGGCTGCAATTAGTCGAAGCATATATACTCTCCACTAACTTTGATTTGTAGCTAATTCTGGAATTATAGAATGTCACCATGGCTATAGTGATGAAAATGGCTTTTAGGACCTTCAACTTAAATTAAATATTCTTAAAAGTTCGGAATTTTCAAAAGTTTGTTGTTAAGGCACACGCGTACTTTGTACTTTTTAAATTATTTGAGATTAATTCGTAATCTACTCCCCTAAAATCCGCCTCAAAATGTAGATCAGTCATTTCATGGAAGAGCACATATTTATAAAGCATAGATTACCTCATAATCGTATTATGCTTTGTTCATTATCAGATTTGATTTCTAATTTTATGGTGTCTTGTATATTAAATAATGCTATATTAGGAGTATTATTTCAAATTCTGATCTGTTCTTGAAGATGACTGCTTATTAATTATAATGAGCCATTAAGAAGAAAGCCATTTCACTTGTGTATTGCATGAAATATTTAGATGCCCACCGTAAGTGTATTTGAAATGTGAAAAATCATGTGTCTGCACGAGTAGTGAAAATGAAAAGATCTATTTTAAGCAACTACGTGCCGCGTGAGTTGTACCACAACAGTGAAACGCCTACGCTGCCACAGCCACTGCCTAAAATGTTGCTCAGAGGAGGCCAACGACAAGGGGAACCTGAGCAATGGCAAATGTAGGAGAATGGCGAGGGTGTCGAGTGTGGTGGGGGGTAAGGGGTGAAGCGTGTGCATTTGTAATTAAAATGATTTTCTATTTATTCAATTGCATTGCGGCAAGTCAAAATAAATGTGCGTCTTTGACAAGCTGCCAGCTGTGGAGGGCAACAATTGATGCCCCGAGACAGAAGTCAAACAACGCCGAGTGTTCATCAATGGACTGGCTCACTAATTGGCCGTGTCGCAACTTTTGTGGTCAGATTAACACCTGATGGCCATAAATATTAGATGTATTGTACAAAAAGTTTTCATGATCGTTGCTAATTCGTCTCAATTGAGCTTTATCAATCGATTGCATACAATTCAATTGAGCCTGATAGATGACACACATCTATTGGATTGGCAAATATATGCAATAGGAATTTAAGTAAAACGATACATAAATATTTGTGGCTCTAATCAGCAAAAGCTGTGGAAATAAGCCCTTAAGGCATTGTCCAAACAATTATCTCAAGACATTTGACTGGCACAAGGTGACACAGTTCCCTTCAAGTTTTGAAACAACCCATTTTGAGACTCTTGTGGCCCTTTTTAGCACCTGCGGAATTTCGGGGGTATGGAAAAACACAATGGGTATGGAAATATTCAATGTCGTTGAGTCAGTTGACAATTCTTATGACAATTCCAAGATAAAATGGGTATTATAAAACGTAAGTAAGAGACAGAACTAAGTATCTTGACATGTGCGACACATGCCCGAATTTAAGAGAATAAAAGAGCAATAATTCATATTTGAGTGCTACGAAGGAGCTGTAATCACTTAAGCATACATATTTCTTAGAAACTTTGAGCTTACTACGCTAGACTAGTATGCTGATCTAAGAAACTTAAAGAGCAATAATTCAAATTTCAATGCCATACTAAACATTTAAGCATCGATTATTCTTAGTGTCACTCGTTGCAGGGTAGTTTCTAGACAAGCCTGCTAGATTAGTGAAGAAGGTTTTTTTTTTATTTTGAACCTTGTTTAGCTAGACAATTTGTTACACACGGCGTATGCGCTATTTGCCCTAAGTAAGTGAATTGGTGTGTGTTTTGTAAATGTTGTATTTCATTATCACATTTCAATTGGCATCGCTGTAAAATTCCACTGCTATTTGACTGTCTATCTGTGTGTCTATATAGATATCTGCACCTGGAGGATTGCATCTATTCTTTAGTATAAAGAGCTAAATTACCATATTTGCTTGACATTGGCGAACAAGCTGCATTTTAATTGCCCATTGCCCCGCGACTTGAATCCCATAGCGAATCTGTGCAACCCGTTCCAGCCGTGTTGGCTGCCCACATTCACTCTTGACGTCAACCGATTCGTCGATTTCTATATGTGGTTTACCATCTGTCAAATGTCGAACTGAGCGCTTTTTGATAAGAGCCATTGATAGTGCAGTGCACAGATTCATCAATTTGGGGGGCGCTGGTGGTCGCTGTGGGCGATAAGATCGCATGATTAGATTGATTATTATTATGCAGTCACAAGCTACAAATGACAGATTGAAGTACCTTACTAAATTCAGCTCACTTCGAAATGAAGCATGTGATATATTTACGACTATTTTTAGCTGTCTTGCTTTCAAAATAATACGAAGCGTGTCCCATTTCAACCGACAGTTTATTCCTTACAGAATACTTCCAGCGATAAGCGTGTTTTTTTTTATGGATTACGGGTAACTGGTTTTGCCCGTTGCTGTAATTATAACCCAATTAAGTGCCACTAAAATCTTTCGAAAATCCACTCGTATTTAAAGGCATATTAACTGATAAAGCTGCCTCCAATCATAGCGAACGTGCCGAAAAAACGTGTCACCTTTTTTGGCCAACGCTTATCAGCTAAAAATCCCTGTCTGCATCCCTCCAACACCCCATTAAAAAATGTTTAATGCTTAGCTAACTAAATAATAAAACGTAAGCTCTTCAGTGCTGTCTTTGGTGGCATCAGAATTTTGAATTTTGCCAGATAAGAGCTGTTTGTTTTCGCTCGAAAATGAAAGTCTCAGTTGATAAGCATACATAATTTGTTGAAACAATTGCTTATAATTGATAACTGAAGACCTGAATTTTTGCTTCTTATTGAGCTAATTTGTTGAAGAGATCTGTCAATATCAATAGGGTTCTTTTAATTGATGTCACTAGGACGATGAGAGGGCATTCATCAGAGCCAAATTTGTGTGTCATGATTGTGTAATCCAAAAATTATCGCGATCAAATGCTACGATTATATTACATTGCATGCTGTCAAAGCGTCAGAATGTTGTCAAAGTCTGTGCTATGTCATAAACAATAAGTTGTGTTTTATTTTTTTTTTTTAATGGAGGGAGAGAAATGCGAGGGGTACTTAAAATAGATTCTATATTATAGTTAGTGTGTGTAGTTAATCAGCAGCGCTTGAATCTTGACCTCGATGGCGGCTTAAGGCTTATCAGCAGAGAGTGAATACTTAGGGCCGATCATATGCAAATGAGGCAAGTGGAAAGTTGTACTACATACATTATTTCGTATCTGACGGATACCAGCTGGATATGTTGGCTGCAACAAAAGCAACTGGAAATGGAATGTGACTAATTTTCGATTCTTACAAATTTATACGAATAACAAAAACCCATTACGCAGAAAAACCTAAAAGACAGATGGAGAGAGAGAGAGAGAGAGAGAGAGAGAGAGAGAGAGACAAGGAGTGGGAGAGCGAATGAGAGGGCAAGGGTGGGGTAGAGGAAGAGTGCAGGACTGATAACTCGTTGTTGTCGGTGTGTTGCTGTTGTTTACATATTGGCCGGCAAATACGAGAGCCGACAGAGAAAGAGTCAGAGAGAAAGAGAGAGAGAGAGAGAGAGAGAGAGAGAGCAGTCAACACACACACACACAGACACACACATGCAAGCGTATGCCCACATATACGATTAAGTGCCTGGCAGCATGTTCGGGTTTTACTGATAGCAAACAGCAACAACTAAATGGAAATGGAATTCACGCGATACACATGTGTGTGCGACAACAGCAACAACAACAGCAATAGCAACAGCAACAGCAACAGAGTGACAGATACTTTGACTGCGACTGCGACTGTGACTGCGACGGCGGCTCAGCAGCAGCAGCAGCGAACTCTCTCGACGTCGCGACGTCCACAACACGAGCGGGCCGAGCGAGCGATCATATTTATAAAAGAATCGCCGCGCCAAGTATTTCAAGCAGTCGCAGTCGCTCGCTAGAACAAACCAAAACCCAAAAATACGCGTAATACGCTCTAGTGGCCAAAGTATCTGTATCTGTAGCGGTAGCCGAGTCTGAGCATTCTGCAGTAACTCACTGTATCACTTGTAGCTAAAAACAAAACGCGTGCTCGCAAATAACAGAAACAAAAAATATATAAAAATCTCACATCCGTATCCGATAAAGCGAAATTTAAATACGTCAATACAACTTGAGTAGATCTGCAGCTGAAGCCCAACATAGTTTTTTTTCGTCTCCGTGTCGCGTTGTGAACATGTGCTCCAGCTAAATGTCGCAACACGTTGTATAAAAATCGAATCGAAGAAAACTAAAATTTCCACTGCTAGTAACTCCGCGAGAGTAAGAGAGAGAGAGAGAGAGAGAGAGAGAGAGAGAGAGAGAGAGAGAGAGAAAGAGACAGAGACAGAGAGATCTCTAATTGTGGATCAAAGAAAACCCGCGACGCACACATGACCACCACTTTGAATATGGTGAAAACTGGGAAATGGTATGGTAAGTAGCAAGAAAAAAAAAATTAAATTAAAGGTTAATTTTAATTTTAAATAAAATTCTTTATAGAGCGCTTATCGCTCTGCTCTACTATTTGCCCAAACGTGAACGTGTCTTGCTGTGTTTATATAAGTCTCGCGCCGAGTGCAATTTTCAATTGCCAGTAACAAAAAAACAAATAAATAAATAAATAAAACAGAATTTTGCTTGTTGCCGGAAACAGCTGCAACCCCAACAGCCATCAACCCCCCCGCTGCAACAACCAAGTGGAGCCTTCAAAGCTGCGGCTTTTTGCATATATGTACATGTGTCTAATGTACATTAATTCAACTTTTGTATCTACAGTTCGATTAATGCATCTACAAATGCCATATAAAGCAAATGAAGCGAACGTTAATTGCATTTGAAGTTTGCAATAGTTTGAAATATGGCTGAAAGCTTCAAGAATTTTGTGATTTACGAACGTTAGCAGCAAATCATTCATATATACATACATACATACAATATGTATATATATATATATATATTATTTTGTATGTGCTTGCATTTAAAACGACGACCTCCACTGCAGCTCATCCAAAAATATTTCTCAACTGCAATTGCAACTCTTCGCCGCAACCCGAACTCTTCAAGTTAACACACAAAAAAAAAAAGAACAAGAAACGAAATAAATTCAATTTTATACGATTTTGGCTGACAAATAAATTTTTAGCACGCTCAACGAAAATGATAAAAATAAACAAAATAAAAAAGTGTTTGGCTGACGCAAGGGGCGGTTTAGTGGGGGCCGTCAGGCAACGGAACCAGACGCAGTATTCAGCTTTTTCTCTGCTGCTTTTTTTTCTTACACTATACACAAGCGAGTGCCAATGAAACTGAAAATTCAAATTAGCAACTAAAGATATTGTGTAAAGAAAAACCAAATGATTAAACTCTGTTGAAATGGCGCGGCTGTAACGAAGCTTATCTTATGAGAGAGGGAGATAGCATGCGAAAGAGCGTGATCAAATCTGACCTTAAGACTTCTAGACAGAATCTATGAACAGTAAAAACAAATATGCCAATAAAATGTACAGCTCTTGTTTAGTTAATATTTTAAAATATTGCGACTTGGTAAATACTGTTATAAGCGGGTCTCATGGGGTTTTACACGCAGGTCCAGCACGTATATGTTTAGAAGGCCCTGCTGCATCGGTGAGTCGTCGTAGTAATTATCTAATCTGATAGACTGACATACTATATAACAAAAAAATAAAATAAAATAAAAGCAAAAACAAAAGCAAAAACTTAGTATGTAGGTTGACTATGTGAACGAACATATATACAAAAAGATTTCGTGTTGTTATTGTTCCAATTTATCGTGCTCGTTATGACCGACCGTACAGTTATTATTGGTGCCGTTATCGGTTATCAGCACTCGGAGGTTTGTTGATTTGTTAGTGTGTTATACGCCAAGTCCTTCGATCGCCACCCAATTATCGCATGACCATGAGCTGCAGCAGAATTAATACTCCACATATATACCTCATATGTATACTAAGTATACTTCTTTCCATGGGAGCACTGTAGAACCTCAGATTGACAATCAATCAAATATCAACTTCCATAGCAGCACATAAATGTTTTATTGATTGGAAATTTGTTGCACTTTCATTTATAAAGCAGCACAGATAATTAATTTGCTCATTTTGCTTTGCTGTACAACACCTTCCACCTCTCCCTCCCTCCCTCACTCTCTTCCTCTCTATCTCTCTCTCTCTTAAGAGTGTGTAAATTAACTTTTAAATAGACACAAGATAGGTGACTAAAAAATCACGAGCAAGTCAACAGTATGTGGATCATAAATTGTTTCGGCTACACCTCGCATACAAAGCGGGTCCAAGAAGCAAGGCAAGTCGGGGAGGGAAGGAAATACAATCATTGCGCAAATAAATCAAAAAACGTGTCACATGTGAAAGACAAAAAATATGTATAAAGAGTTTCAAAATTCCATTTAGTGATTCAGCTCAATAAACCGAGAAAGACCCAGTCTGAAGCAGATACAAAGAGTGAGCGAGGGGGGAAAGAGTGAGCAAATTGGTAAAGTCTCAAAGTTCAAGCATCGTCGAGTCGTCGAGTCGCGTCATTGTATTTTTGGCTCAATAATTGTTAATTATTGAGTCGAATTAATAATTATTAATAAACACTTCGACTGCTGGCAATGGCTGTTGGGCTTTTGAGAAAACGCCATGGGGCAGTTCAATAGACGCAATTACCTTGTAAGGCCGCGTTGCAAGGTTGCAAAATGGTGTTGTTGTTGTGCAACATTTACTGAAAACAGCTGCAACAAGAACTAAGTCTAAGCCCATTTATGGCAAGTGCGAGTCTAAAAATAAAATCGAAATTGAGCTCGAGCCACATAACTAAAATTAAAACGAGTTCGCACATTGACGACTACCTCATACACTGTTTTATCGTTTATTGATTTTTAGTGGCTCTTAAAATGTTATTGATAAAGTATTTTCAGATTTTTTCGGCATCAGGAACACAACTTTCAAAGTGGCTTTCTTAGCTATAAAACTGAAAGTGAATTTCATCGATTTAAGCATTGAGATATTTTCAGGTTTCATATAAGTAAATATTTCAAGTTTGAAGACTGATCATTGGCAAAAGCAATATACTCTCTTCGCTTTGGTATCAGAGTAAGCGAAAAAAATTCCCCGTTTCATTAAGCCAACAGCTGTGTTCGGTGGCCAATAAACTGACATCTGCACATGGCTATCGGCTGGCTGCCTCCAAGAGAGATCGTCACGTGCGGCTGCTTTGGGTCGAACGAGCGGCGAGCAATGCGCTTTCAGGTAGGGCGAGCGGAAGGAGGGCGGCCGATGCTATGCGATGCGATGCGATGCGAGGAGGCGGTCGCGTGTGGCTTTTAGCTGGTAGCTGAGCTGGTAGCTGGTAGCTGATAGCTGGTTTTCGCTATGGGTACAGCACCGTCGGCTGATGTGTTGCACTTCATTGAGGCGCGCAGGTCTCACGAGTAATTTACATTCACGAGTGGGCGTTGCATATGTATGTGTGTAGTGCGAGCGTGTGTGCGTGTGTGTGTGTGTGTGTGTGCGTGTGCGAGTGTGTGTGTGAGCAGCCACAACAAGATTTTGACACAGTGTTTTATAAATAAACGCGCCCCACATACAAGCAAGCCAAAGAGACTTACAAAGGTGGAGCAAGAACGAGAGAGAGAGAGAGAGAGAGAGAGATTGAAAGATATTGAGAGCGAGAGAGTGAGACAGAGAGAGTGAGAGAAGGAATGCATGTGTCTTGGCATTGATAAAAGCGCCACAAATTTCTCAAGTTGCGCCCCGGAGAGCAGCAGAGCAGCCAACAAATTTCCAACTGCTTACTTGCAATTCTCAACAACCAATTTTGAATTGCGAATATCGAAAGAGAATGCAAAGAAACAAGAGGGTGGAAGAATTTGAATATTTTGAACATTTTTACGATTGGATTTCGACAGTCATGCTAATTTGCCAATTTGTTCAGTTCATATTTTTGCAAGCAAGAATAATAAAATTGATTGATTGGTGATTGATTATAAAAAAAAACACATACAGCAATCATAGTGCACAAAAAACTATATATTTCATCAATTGGCTAAAAGTTAAAAATAATTTTAAAAAAAAATAATGATGACTCCTCTTATTTCTGGCAGTTCTTGTTTAAATGTTTTTTTTTTGTCCAAATATTAAATATTATTAGCCCTACCCATTTGCCTTAGTATTTATTGTATTTATGCTTGTGTTGCAGACAAAATCATTGGCGTGCGGCATGTGCAATGCATCCTGTGCTTCTTCTGCCTATCCCTGGCGTATGCGTGGCGCGTCAATCTCACCGTCGCCCTGGTGGCCATGTCAGAGCGGTCAAACCAAACTGGACTGGATGAGGATGTCATCGAGGGGGTAGGTGTTCTCAGCAATGGCAGAGACTGAGGCGAAGTTGTGCTTAAGACGTGTCTTTTTTTCTTCCTTCCTTCCTTCCTCGCAGAATTATAACTTTACGGAGTCTGAGAAATCCTATATGCAGAGCAGCTTCTTCTTTGGCTATATTGTGACCCAGATCCCTGGCGGCTATATTGCTCAGCGCTATGGTGCCAAGACGTTGCTGATGATGGGACTCACCGCCTGCGCAATTCTAACACTTCTCTCTCCGCTTTCCTTGAAGGTGGGCGGCTGGCAGGGGCTTGGGGCGGTGCGCTTCCTGGCGGGCTTAACACAGGGCGCAGTGCATCCGGCCACGCATTCGCTGTTGTCCAAGTGGGCTCCGGCCAATGAGAGGGGCATGATGAGCACCATTTGCTATTCGGGCTCTCAGTTTGGTACGATCGTAACGCTGGCCACAAGTGGTTATATTGCGCACTCGTTTACTAGCTGGCCCGGCATCTTTTATTGTGGCGGCGCCTGTGGCTTCCTCTGGGTGCTCTTCTGGTGGCGCTTTGCCTCGAGCACGCCGGAAACGCATCGCAGCATTACGCGGGAGGAGCTCAAGTACATTGAGGAGACACGCTCGGTGGGCAAAATGCAGGATGCACGCAAAATGGCTCCAACTCCGTGGGGCAGCATCTTTACTTCGATGCCGTTTCTGTCGCTGCTTATCGTTCACTGCACGCACATGTGGGGCTTCTGGACGCTGCTCACACAAATTCCCAGCTATATGAGAAACATCTATGAATTTAATATCGAGTCCAGTGCGCTGCTCTCCTCACTGCCCTACGCTGTCATGATGATACTCAGCTTCTTCTTCGTCTGGCTGTCCAAGGTGTTGCAGAATCAGAAATCTCTGTCGCTCTCCTTCAATCGAAAGTTCTTCAACTCCGTCGGCCACTGGATTCCCATGCTCTCCCTGATTGCCTTGGGCTATGTGCCCCGAGAGAATGAGCACTTGGCTGTGGCGCTGCTTACGCTGACTGTGGGCATTAGTGCAGCCACCTATCTGGGCTTTCAGGTCAACCACATCGATCTGTCGCCCAACTATGCGGGCACAATGATGGGCCTTACGAATGCTGCGGCGAATGTCATGAGTGCCCTAGCACCACTCGCTGTGGGTCATATCGTCAAAGATCCGGTAAGTGGACCATCTATCAGAATTCTGCGTATATGCAGCACAGGAATCATACTTAAAGAACTGTAGGGCTTTTGATATAGTTAAACCTGCTCACTTTTTATATCTGCATATATCCTCTTGCTAATTAGTTATTTGAAAATAATTTTAACTAATTTATTTATTCGATTTGATTTTGCAGAAAAATGTCAACGAATGGCGTACGGTATTTTTCTTGGCGGCCTTCTTCTATTTCATTGGAAATCTGCTGTTTGTGGTGTTTGGACGCACCGACGTTCAGTGGTGGGACTCGCCAGAGCCTGTCGATGAGGAGAGCGTGGAGGCGGGTGTGCCCTTGGCTCCAGACCAGCAGAATGGCCAAAAGATAATTGCCAAATCTTAAGCAGAACAGCGGTCAACTTAAGACATCCTCATGCTAAGTTGACTAAATATGGATAACAATAGTTTTACATGAGGTTGTCCTTGCTGTTGTTTTCTTTAATTAAGTACTACATTTGTAAGACAATAGCTGTAAATTAGTTGGTATAAGGGACAAGAGCGGAAATTGCCATAATGACGATCGCGTGCTTCCATTAGCGATATTAATAACAACATATGATAATTGTTTAGTTTATAGGCAGCATAAATTATTATTTGCAGTATTTTCCTACAATGTACATAAAACAATATACATACAAATGGTAATGTAAACAAAGGAAAACTAAAAAAAAAGCATAAAACAAAACGAAAAAAAAGCATAAGTATAAAAATTTAGTTGACAATGTAAATAGCATAAGTAAATAATTACGCCGCTCTATTAATTGTTATGTTTTAAATTGAAACTATACCTTAACTATCATAGTTATTATTCATTAGTTAATTAGTTAAATTAGTAATAAACAAACAACCAACTTGTGATGTACGAAAGAGAAAAGAAATGAACTAAAAAAGGCAGAAAAGAAGACATACATATACGTATAAATATATAAAGTCGGCAATTGAACCAGGCTGCAGATTTGTGTACAAATCAAATCAACAAAATCGTTAGTCTTTTTGCTTCGAGTACTTTTTGAATTTGATAACGTGCCAATCGATAGACGCGACTATCGGTAAGCAAACACAGTCACACTATTTGTCCCGCTGTGTTTGCTTCCCGATAGTTTGTAGCGATAGCTGCGTCTATCTCATTCATACGGCAGGGCCAAACCAGCTGTTTACTAACCAGAACAATGTAATAACAAAAACCCACAAAAGCAAAACGCAACGTAAGCAGCGTCGCAGCCACGCATTTAAATTCTTGTTTGTTAACAGCATCGCATTATCAGTTGCGCGAAATGCATAGAATCGCAAGCGACGCCATTGCATACACAACAAAGCAACGGCAATAATTCAAAGGAGACGCCCACAACAATGGTTCTTCGCTGTTTTGAGTGCTGCAGTCGCACAGGCTATGACAGCATTGGCAACACAGGTGAGCGATAACCTTTGCTGCAGTCATGCATTTTGTTATCATATTCGTGTAATGCTTGGAAGTATTTTAGGGCTGTTGACTAGAGAATTGAGACGTGTAAAATATACTCGTGTTTACCTTTGAGGTAGTTTTACGATGTTTAAGTCATGATAATTCCCGGATACAATGTCTATCTGGGCTAACCTTTCTAGGGTTTGTTCTAACGGACACAATTTTAAAATTACTGCATAGGGCTCTACCAAATTTTATTTAAGCTCGAGTTTTTGCATTCTAACTAAGTATCTTTAAATATCAATATAAGTCTTTATTTCCTCACAGTTTTAGAGTAACAGTCTACAAATTATTGCTTTAAACTCACAGTTGAAGTTATACTAAATATTGGTAGAATAGAGAATAGAGAAGTGTTCATCACTTCAAAAGTCAAGCTAAAAGGCCTCCAAATTAGTACTATTTTTTAAAAGTTTCCTCAACACATTATTTAACTAATACAGATCATAACGGAAACAATCAAATAAATATAATTATAATTCGTGTTCATTTTTGCAGGACCACGTTTCGGAGTGCGTCATCTGCAATGTATTTTAGTATTCTTTGGCCTTGCTGTGGCTTATGGAATGCGCGTCAATTTGTCGGTGGCCATTGTGGCCATGACGGACAAGAATGCGACAAATCCGGATTTTCCCGAATTCGATTGGGATGAGAGCATCAAGTCGTATCTGCTGAGCAGCTTCTTTTGGGGCTATGTGGTGACACAGGTGCCAGGTGGCTATCTATCGTCCATATTCGGAGCGAAATATATGCTCTTCTTTGGAGTGTCCTTTTGCTCCTTATTGGCACTGCTGACGCCCTACTTTGCGCTCAATGGTGGCTGGAAAATGGTTATACTGCTGCGCGCCATTCAGGGTCTCTGCCAGGGCGTCATCTTTCCCTCTACACATACATTCCTCTCGAAATGGGCGCCGGCCGATGAGCGCGGACGCCTTGTCGGCTATTGCTATTCGGGCTCACAGTTTGGCACCGTGGTCATGCTCTCCGTGAGTGGATATATTGCGTCCTCATCGCTGGGCTGGCCGAGCATATTTTACATATCCGGCGGTGCGGGCATCCTGTGGGCCCTGATCTGGTTATATTTCTGCGCCAGCACGCCAGCACAGCATGCTACAATTACGCCCAATGAACGACGATACATTGAGACCTCGGGCCAGCTGCGACGCGCTTCGGATGCGGGTCGTGAGGAGTTTGAACCACGTCAGAACCTACGCACTCCTTGGTTGAGCATTTTAACTTCGCTACCATTCCTATCCTTGCTTGTGGCCCACTGTGCCAACAACTGGGGATTCTGGACGCTGCTCACTCAGATTCCGACGTTTATGAAGAACGTGCTGGGCATGGACATCAAGAACAATGGACCGCTCTCGGCGTTGCCGTACTTTGTCATGATCATACTCACCTGCGGCTTCATCTGGTTGTCGGATGTGCTGAAGCGACGCGGCAGTACAATGTCCCTAGGTTTTTCGCGCAAGCTCTTCAACTCGCTAGGCATGTGGCTGCCCATGTTGGCACTGCTTGGGCTGGGTTTCATCACAAAAGGAGCGGGCAACGTGAGGCTGGCAATTGTACTGCTCTGCTTGGCGGTGGCAACCAATTCCGCTTGCTATTTGGGCTTCCATGTGAATCACATCGACCTGTCACCCAATTTCGCTGGCACTTTGATGGGCATCACAAACTGTGCAGCGAATGTGATGAGTATTTTAGCGCCGTTGATCGTTGGACTGATAGTCAGGGATGAGGTAAGTTGGCCACATCAATTGGTAGTTGACGCAACTAATCCTTTTGTTGCCTTGCAGACAAATCCTTCGCAGTGGCGCATTGTTTTCTACATCACCTCGTTTGCCTACTTTTTCGGCAACTTGGTATTCATCGTCTTTGGACGCTTCAATGTACAGTCCTGGAATAGCCCGGGTGCACAGCAAGAGCGCACGCCTAGGGATGCGACTGGGCATGTGGATGTGGATGGGGATGAGGAAGCTGAACGGGCGCCTCTAATTGATTCCTAAATAATCGAATTTACCATATTTGGAGTGAGCGCATGAAACTGATGTACCTTATTGTTGGGTATTATATGGAATTGATCGTCGCTATTTTATGTTATACTACAATATAGAAACTATTACAATTACTAATTATACACGACAAATTATTATACACTTATTGAATAAATATGAAACGCTTTTTATGTGCTTATCGAGAAACGGAGAACGACTTGTCTATTTTTGGAATTATTTTATGTCAGCTACTTTTCGCAATCCGTGCCCATTTAATATATTTTTTTAAACTTTTAATAGAAACATTATATGACTCTTACTCGATTACAGAATCAGTTCCTTATGTAGTTAGAGTTTTATTCTCTATTGACCATTTTCAATTAATATTCTGACTTAGTTGTATATAACTTTTTCTAAACAATATGTGACTACAGTTCGTAACATTTTTGTTTTTCTTTTTAGAGGGCGAACGAAAGCGAAAAACGAAAAATTCTTGTTAGGTCAGAAAATAATATTGGCTTAGATACGCATAAATATGGCTGAGATATGAACTCATTTTGATATACCTTCGACCTTCTGCATGTATATTTAAAATTGTAAAATAATGATTGTTATAGGCCAAAGGAAATCCGAATAGGCTAAGGATTTTTCCAAACATATCACCAGTAAACAATTTGACTGAAATCCAGCGTGGCAAATCCTTAGAGTTTAGCCTCTAGCAAGGAAAATTACAAATGTAAGCCATCTCGGGATACAGCAGAGATATAGCCACCACTTCCCCTTGTATGCTCTTCTGGATTCCCTTAAAATGCAACTTGATTTATTATGTAACGATTTCGATTGTTTATTTGTTAGTTCTCATTATTATATTGTACAAATCTTATACTGCCTATGTGATATTATGCATTAAGTAAGAGTATTCTAAGCTACTAATTTATTTGAACTACTACATTTACTACAAAATTTCGAATACATATAGAATATGATAAATAAGTACATAAGTATATATGTAAGTATTTATAAATCTATATTCGCTTAAGCCTTAAAACATATTCGTATAGTTAAAGCTAAGTAATTACTAGCGAAATTGTGGCGGAGAAGTGGAAACTTTGGAGCGTTTTGCGCTGTGCTGTGCTGTGCTATGCTGACTACGCGATCCGGTCAAAATGCAGGCGTAGCCTCACGTCTCGATATCCTGCCCACGTATCGTTGTCCGTATTTACATGTGGAGCATTTGGGCTCCCTCTACGCTCAGTGAAGTTTGTGGTTGGAGGGCAGATCCTCGGAGCGTATGCAGCGGCCGCGATAGCAAATCTCTGTCTCGGAGGTAACTTTGGTTGAGGTGGACGTCGCATAGACAACATGCTCCATTAGATCCTTGTGGAAGTTGTCCCTGGTGGCAGCAGTGCTGCTAGCCGGCATCTCCGTGGCCGCCAGCGTACTGCTCTCTGTGGGCGTCACTGGCTTCGTACGCTTGATGCTCGTGTACTCCTGACGACGTTTGCCGACAGCCGCCAGAGCACCAGCGGCCGCCTCATCATCGCTCTCCTCGATGGCGAACAGATCGTGCAGCTGTTGTCGCACCTCCGAGAAGATGCTCGGTTGCGTTTCCAAGTCATCGACATCGGCTGCTGTGTCCATGCGACGGGTGGCGCTCTCCCCGCTCATCGCGGGCGTTGTCGCCAGGGTTGTCAGATCCGGTGTCCTGGAGGTGGTTACCTCATACTCTTCGGGTGTGCTGGGCGCGGCTGCTGTGGTGGTCATCATCTCAACCTCAGCGACAGTTGTTGGCGCTTCGGTAGTTGGCAACAATGGGGTTGTTGTCTTTTGTTTCTCCTCCATTTCAGCGGTGGTAGAGTACAGCGAATTGTAGAGTTGTGGACCCAAATTCTGTGATTCGGCTGTCTCGAAATTCTCGCCATTATCTGTGCCGCCTGAGACGCGAGTTTTCTTCCACTTGCCACGCCTATTGACGCGTCCAATTGTGCTGCTGGTAGGCAACTCCGTGGCCAGTTCCTCGGGCGCTTTTCCCATGACCTCCTCCAGTAGCTCCGCAAACGATTTTTCGGGTCTGCAATGAAGAGATAGGGAATCAGATTTGTCCGTTTATTAATTACAGCTGTGGACAAGCTCACTTCAAGTTGGGCGCCATGAGAGAGGGCGTAGTTCGCTTTCCAGCGGATCCACCAAGATTGGCAGCTACGTTGAACTCGTAGGTTTCTGGTTGATCCGTGGGTCCAGCCGTCACAATCTCTGGCTCATTCTCGAAATTGTGTGATTCACTCTTGCCGGAGCCATATTTGGGATTGAGAGGCTTGAAACTGTTTGTGTTGCTCGCAGTGTTGCTGTTGACCGTCTCGGACGCTGGTGACCATTGAGACTCCTGTCCCTCCAGCTGGAAGGGTTGCTTATAGCGACGACGTGGCGTCAGTGGTGCTTGCTGTGAGTGAACTATTAGTAGTTGACTCTTTAAGAGCAGCTGCTGGCTTACCTCCTTCACCTTCTCGGGCTGTTCCTGATGGTAGCGACTCAGTTTGCGCAGATGCTGTCTCGGAGTAACGGGCTCCTCTGCCTCATCGGGCGCGGTTGTGGACGAGGCCGGATGCGCGGGACGACGCTGACGTTGACGCACCTTGACCACCCGACGTGGCGGCAGGCGTGAGCGAATCTGTAATAAGGAGCAGTCCTTCAGTTTTTAAAGAACTAAAAACAGGTTAGGATGCTTACGGATGGGCGCTCCTCTGAAGGCGTTGTGGTGGTCACAGATGGCTCCGTTGTTGTGGTAGTGCGCACTCTGGGATAATTGCGACGGATGAAGGGTGAACGACGCGTCGTTGTTGTCACAGGCGCCTCAGTGGTTGTCCTTACGGTGGTGCTGGTAGTCGTGGTTGTAGGTGCTGCGGTTGTTGCCAGTGTGGTGAAAATGGGGCTCACTTCGTTACGGACAATCGCCTCTGTGGGATTGAGGTCCTCCTGGTTGGGAAAGTAGCCCGGTCCATAGTTGTCCTTTGAGAACTCATTGTAGTGTTGTGCTATCTGCATGGGCTCTAGCTCTAGGCTGGGTGGATATACGGATCCTTGCTCGCCCTGATCGATGCTATTGCTGGGCGTGACAGTGTAAACCTGTTGCGACTCCGACGCGGGTCCTTCGGTGCTGCCCACATCATAGGCACCGGGTATTGCCGTGGGACTGGTGGGACGACGAGATGGTGCCTTAAAAACTGGATAATTCTGATTCAGCACGTCGCGTTGGTAATCCAAATCCTGATCCACAGTGGGCTTGTCATTCTTCGAACCCTTGTGGTGCTTCTTCCTGGTCTTGAGCGTATGACGCTCCTCATTGGTAGGCTGATAGCGAATGCGATTAGGATTGCGTAGCAGAGGATTACGCGAGGTAGCCGGACGCCTTGTGGTGCTCGGAGATTCCTCGACATTATCGACGTTGCCTCTGTTGCCATATGGACGACGAATGCGATGCGTTGGCTGCTTGGAGCTGCTTTCGGACTCCGAGTACGACACCGATGATGTCGTCACTACCTTGGTGACTGCTGGCTTGCGCGTGCGCAACACTGGACGGCGAGTGGGACGCGTTTCCGGCTCGGGTTCGCTCAGTGGCGTCGTTGGGGCAGCAAGTTTGTCCTTCTCCTGCAGATTGTTGACCAGACCGGGAATATCAGGTGTCAACGCAGGGAGTTCGGAGGGTATATGATACGGATTCGGATCGAACTCCACATTGCTGTTGTCTAAGACCTCGTTCTGATTGTAAATGGGTCGATGGTTGAGTGGCGCCTGCTGCTCCACATTGTAGCCAACATCGGAGGTGGTCACTGGCGTATAGAGGCTCAACCGGTGTTTGGTCTTTTGTGTCGTTGTGGGCAATGGGACATCGTAGTCTGGCGAAGTGGGTGTGTACTGCAGTTGTTCGAAAGGTGGATTTGTGGTTAGTGGACGCTGGCGGAAGGCATCCTGTTGGCGGAAATACTGCTTCATACGGTGTTCCTCCTGCTGCACAGTACTTGAAGTGGGTGGTCGTGTCGTGAGGCGTGGCAGTGGCTCCGGTGCAAGCTGTGGTGCTGTCTCGAACTGTGGATAGAGCTGGCCATTTGAGCTGGGGAACTCCACCTGTGGTCGCGAGCCGTAGGTGAAGAGCGTCTGTGGTGTAGCTGTTGTTGATGTTGAGGTGGTCGAAGTGGTTGTGGTGGTGCTGCTGCTGGTTGAGCTGCTTGTAGAGGGGCTGGCCTTTGTGCTGAGCGAGCTGAAGAAGTCATCGCCACCGATTTGATTGAGGGTGTCGAAGGGATTGGGCGTCTTGGCGGGTGCTCGATAAACGGGCGGCTCTACGGCGACATGCTGAGGTCGCTTCTTCTTATGGCGTTCCTGCTTGACGGAATGCTTGGGCGGCGCAGCAGCTCCCTCCTGATTACCATCCTGCACATAATAGTAGCTGAATTTGTTTCCACGGGTGGGCGCTGGTCCCGATTGTGTAGTGCTCTCGAAGGGATTGCGTGTGCTAGCCGCTGGCGTGGCATAAGGACGCTGTGTGCGCAGAGGTTGCTCCTGAATGGAGGCACTGTCCTTGGCCCGATTGATAACAATGGAGCCGACATGCGGCTCAGGCAGTAGAATCTTATTGAATCCATTGGGCGTGCGATAGCTAAGCGGTGCCACAAAGAATGATACGTCGCCGAGATCACGCGAATGCGTCAGTTGCGAGAGATAGGGCAGATCGAACTTCACATAGCCATCCGGTATTGACATTCCAGCGGGTCCTACAAAAATGTCAGGTGTCTGTTTCGTAGGCGCATCAATGACCGAAATGGAGCGGGCATTGCGCAGGGCAGCAACCACATCGGATTGCGTGGGTCGCGCATTGGGACGCAGAAGAAACATTGCTAGCGGTGGCTGATGAGCCTTCGGCTTAGGCTTGACCGTGGTGAACTGGGATTGAGCCTGAGCTTGTGGCTGCTGATGTTGTCCGAAACTCTGGAAGATGTGCTGTGGCTGTGTGGTAGTGCTGGTGCTGGTACTGGGTCGTGTGGTGGTACCGGAGCCGAAGTAATCACTGCCTACACTCGGATCCTGTGTGTAGAACTGATTGATCTGATAAGGATTGACAGGGGGTAGGCCAGCATTGACATTGAACTTGTTTATCTCAAAGTTGCTGTTCGAGCCGAGACCCGAGGATCCTTGAGACTGTTGACGCTGCTGATTGTATAGGGTATCGTAGGGTACGTAAAGCAGTTGCACCTCCTGCTGATTGTTAACAGACGATGCTGCCGACGGCGATGACTGTTTATTTAAGCCAAACAAGTTTTCCGGTTCGGGATCCACGGGAAACACTTGGGGTGTAACGCTTTGCAGGGAAGCCTGAGTGGGTAAGGGTTTACCATGAGTCTTCAGAGGGTGTACATCCTGTATATAGTTCTGCTGGTGCAGAGGCTTGCTCAGCGGTTTCTGGGGTAGCGTTTGAAAGTCGGAGAAACGTTGCTGTCCCTGCTGCCCGAAGAGTGAAGGTGGACTGAAGAGCGAGGATGGTGCAGGTAGGCCAGCACCACCAAAGGAATGCTGGATCTGATATCCTGTTTGCAGTGTTGGTGGCGCGTTAGCCTGATTGCCCTCATTGTGGAAGGGCATCTCGAACTTGAAGAACGACTGCGACGTGGGCTCCTGCCCAATCGAGCTGCTCTTCAGTGGCGGTGGTCCCTGGTGGCGCAACTGCAACGCCTGTGGTGCTCCATTTGAATAACGTTGGAAATTAAATGGAAAGTCAAATTGCCCGGCAGTTGGCTTGTTCAAATCACCAAAACGAGCGCTTGGCGGAAAGGATTGTGAATAGGTCAGAACGCGTCCATTCCCCGAGCGATCTTTGCTACTGTCATCCAGCGGCTGCGCTAGCGGCACCCAGTCCAAGGAATCCGTGTCGGGGCCACCAATAGATTCCAGCTGTCGCGACCATTTCGTGGAGGATTCCTGCTGCGTCTGTCCATAGGTGACCGTGGCCAATAGGCCAAGCCAAACGGCTAAGAGTTGCATGCGTCGCTTCATAGTCAAAGTGCCTGGAATGAAGCAGAAGAAGCGGGGGAAGGGTGTAATGAGTATGATGTGGCCAAAGCAAGAAATAAAAAAAAGTTGAATACTTTGTAAATACACTGGTTTTAGACTAGTATATAGACTCAGCTACTGGTGATGATCAATTATGGGATTGAAGATGTCTTCTCCACCAAATTGTTATACTCCCAGGAAGGTTATTATAAGCACAAGAATTATGTAACAAGTGGGTTAAATTTGCGAGACGAACCGACAAGGGCTTAAATTTAGTTATTACCAGCTAACAATTTCATCATAGAGTTGGATTTGTGGTGAGGGCTTGCTTTGGACTTTAAAAGCAGTTCAACTAATTCCGGTTCACAAGGGGCATACGAGATCGGTCTCTGGTCGCCACTTTCAATCAAAATGGATATTGTTATGATAGATTCTAGTCACGACACTTGCATAACGTTGGAAGCAAGGTCAGTGGGCAACAATTCTACTGATTTGCATTTGCTGGAATGTGAAACCTGTTGTTCAGACGGGGCAGGTGAAAGGTTGCTCAACCAGCAACAGCAACAATAACAAATCAATAATTGCCGGCGAGCAGCAGTAGCCGGTCTTGGACTTGGCCAAATGCAGTTGGCAATTGAGCAAGTCTGCAACTGCAACTGGTCGGCCTAGCTAACGGTCCATAACTGCCATCAAATTGCCATAATCGTGCACTTGTTTCCATTTGGTCATTGCGAGAAATTGCACTAAGTCTAAACAGTATCTATAATTACAATTGCAACGATGATGATCACTGAACAGTGATCAATGTTGAATGTTCGGTGAACCGCTCAACTATCAAATGATTTCCTTATTGTCGCTGACTGAATTTGCATAAATTAATGTTATGTTAATTTGACTTGGCTGGGCAGATTTAATTGCATCATCATTATCATATAGACAAGAGTCCAAAACGAAAGTCAACTGACCACAAATAGATGGATGGGTTCATCATGTGAGCAAGTGTGCAAGTCAGCAAGTGGTCAACTGATCAACTAACTGGATAACTGCAGCTGTGATCACTTTCGTTTTCACTTTTCCACTGCATTAAATGTGCACAAGTCTTCTTATATACATATACATATATATATATATATATATATATGCGTATGTATGTGTGCTGTTATTGTTACCGTTGCTAAGATGAGAAATGCACATGCTCATAACGGATGCCACAAGATGGTCAGACCAGACAACAGACAACAGAAAACAGACCCGGCCTGGCCTGGCCTGGCCTGGCTCTCGATTAAATGGGTTAAACGAAAGCAAAAGCTGCATAAAGAAGCAAAACAAGTAGAATGATCTACTTGAGGGTATACGACTGGGGAATACTCTGTATACAGTCCAAATATACAATCTTATCTGTTCGATCGTCGATTAAATATTTCTATACAACAACAAATCTAATTTCGTCGCGGTGATGCATTTAAAAAAGTAAAGTAATCTGCTCTTGCTTGTGCTTAATTATACCATACTTGATAACACCAAAGATTATAGATATATGTATATATATACAATAATCATTTAACCTCTGAAACCTTCGAGCTGTGATGTGTACATATATCGAATATTGGCTGGCAAACAGATGTGTAAGATTTGTTACTTCTGCCCGGTACAACTGGAAGATACGCTTTCCATATTCTTTTTTAATATCTACAGGGTATAGGAGTAAAAAGATAAAATGAAGTATCGTAATAGCAGCAGAAACGGAACGTAAGACTCCGACTAGTCGACTAGGAGCAAGAGCGAGCGGGATTCATGCGGGTCTACAAGCCTACAGGTGGCACAGTGAAAGAAGAAAGAAGAAAGTTCAAAGAGAGAGACAGAGAGAGAGAGAGAAAGAGAGAGAGAGAGAGAGATAGAGGCGGAGAGAGTGAAAGACGGAAAGAGAGCTAGCAGCCAAATGATAGAAATTAGACACACTTGCGGTCACTTTTGTTTTGTCAGCAGGAAGGAGGAGTCGACGGTGGTGCATGGGGGCGGGGGGAAGTCTGTTAGCCAAACCCGTTGTCACACCCGAGTAACTCCAAATAGACATTGGCCTGCACTTGCATTGATGTATGTATATGCATTTATATTGTATAGCAGTGTATTGTGTATTTATTTGTATGTGTGCACCTGTGTATCTTTCAATGAAAGTGAAATGTGACAATGCCCTCAGTTAAAAGACAGTCGTAACTTTTAGTGGATTTCCCTTTCATTTGCTAGCACACATCTGGTCGTCTTAAAGAAAGTTAACCATATCGCTTCTGGGCGTTTCGATCTTGTGGTTTTTATTTTTTATTTTTTGGTTTGGTTTAGCCTTGAATTAATTGCAGCTGTTGCTGGTCAGCTTAATGGCGCTGCGGTTGGCCAGCCAGAGAGTCAGCCGGATGTGCTCTACCTTTTGGCCCAAGCTTACCAAGTTTGCAGGCGTGCTCGACGAAAACAATAAGCGGCTTACAAATCCGTTCCAGCCTTAAAACCCTGTTCAATTACGTCGCAATAGCCGATTTCAATTTGTGCGTAATTGGATCAAATCTTCTGGCATTGACATTGCTTCATTGACTGTCTTGATTGCCTGGGTGTGTGTGGCTCCATTCAATTCAATGCGACACGCCCACACCGGCAACAGGGTCGCGCCCATACATAAAAAACAAAAATAACTCACCATAAACAGCGGCAACTACAATGCAATTTCAAGTGTCCAAATGAGTTTCGTTTTGTTTCTTAATGTTTTTGTTTTTTAGCTGCTTGGGGAAACTGCAAAGAGAAATATGCAAATAATGTCGAATTAGTGTTGAAAACATTACAAAATAATGAGCAAAATAAAACTTAGTTTATAATGACAGCTTGAAATACTCTTAAACATTTTATGTGCATTTTTATTTAAGTGCTCCTATGTAATATATATTTGGTTCAAGCAGACATAGCGTGAAGACATATATATATATAATACAATAAACATCAGATGCTCAACGCTTTATTTCTTAATAGTGTCAAAAACAGTGTTTATATATTTCTAATAAATTTATTCAACTTGTATACGCAAATCAAATATTTTTTCAATCCTCACATTATTGTTCCAAGTGCTTGTTAAATCTTAAGTCATATAATTCTCCATTAGAGTATTTGTTTGTGCATAATGATGGTATTGAACGGTTAATGCACAACAAGTAGTTAACTGAAGCCCTCTCAGTGTGATTTTGTAATTCAGCAAACAATGTATATTCAGATACGAATGCAAATATCAACACAGATATAAATATAAAACTCGAATGCGAGCTAAGTTTTTAATTGCATATGGACAACAAAATCAACGCCTTCGTTTTAATTTTTTGTTGACTCGTTGGTTGCCACGCTTTGTTGGCCTCTACAGCAGCTGTGTGTCGGCATGGGTGTGGGACTTGCTGAAATACTTGAAGCAACGCCTGCAGATAAAGATACTTATGTGTCCAAATGATTCAAGCCCGCAAAAGTGCAGTTGAAACAGTGCTGAATTTATCAGAGCAAGTCGAACGCAATGCGACTCGGAGGCTGCACGTTTGGCAATGGGCCCAACCAAAAAATGCGTCTGTCTTTGGGGGCAGGCAGTAACTAAGCCGAGTGCTCAAATTATGAGTCAACTGTTTTTCCCATTTTTCCAATTGGCAATTGACAATTGCCAAAATGACGGCCAACTAATTGAAATGCAATGCCCTCGATTGCAACACACATGAAATAATTGTTGTAATGGAAAAAATTGACCTGATTGAATAAAACGAATTTCATAATAAAAATACTCTTGCTTGTGTTTAATTTAAAGGTGATTCATACATAAAAGATACTGAATGCTGTTAAATCTGAATGCTAATTAAATAATATAGGTAGCTTTATAATACTCCAGTTCAATTTTGGTCAAATGTGCCAAATGATTGACATCATCATCAGCCAAAGGCAGATATAAATATAAATCTGGTTATTAAACAACATAATTTTTCGCTTGTTTCTTTGATGGTCCTGTTGTGTTGCGCACATTTTATAATTAGAGACTTCCATTAATAACATGTATACTTTTTGTATATTTTACAACAAAATTACATTACCCGATGCAGGTATATCCCAAATAACGAGCTTGTATTTTTAAAAAATTGTTTGCACAATCGGCGCCACATTAACAATTAACTGAGAGTTGAGTTACACGTGTGACTGACTAGCTATCTGACTGTCTGATTATCTGCTTCATTATGAGCATACATATCTTGGCTGTAACTGGCATACATAGCATGGCAACAAATAATGTCGTTACACATTTGGGTTCACGCAGATCAAAGAGATTTTTATTTGGCTCACCAGTTTCCAAAAAACCAAAACTGCAATTCATCAGTCGAAAATCGCAATCTGTGTCTGGTTGTCTTGGGTTAGCCAATTACTCAGCCGGAGCTGTTTTGAAGTTAGGAGCAGGCAAATTTATGGCAATATTATTGGGCCTGTCAGCCCCGTTCCCCCTTTGCCGCGTCGAGGCCAAAAGGGGCAACGACAATGTAAAATTTATGCGCAGCGTGGTCGGGACATTGAACTCCATTGAAAACGAAAGCGACAATGAAATGCATTTTATGGCTTTGACTGCCGTTCAAAATACGAAACAAAATTGTTTGGCCAGTGCCCCAAGCAGCTCAGGCAGGCGGTTGCTTGTTTGACTGCCGGAAAATGCAATGCATTTGAAATTTTCTTGTCGGCACTGTTGTTGGTGTTGTTGTTGTTGTTATTATGTGGGGGGCGTGCTGAACCCATAGGTGAAGGCTGCCCCAATTTAAGCGCCAAAAACTGATTTACTGTCTTGTTGAATTTCTTGTTTAGATTAATTCCTCAAATTTTATGCCGCGACGCACATGAGAAACGTGAAATGCTCGAAATTATTAAACGAAATGTAAATTTCACGCCGCTTACGGGCAAAACTTTCATTTTCGTTTGCTTTCCAACTGAGCTGGGCACCTGCTCAGAAACCAAATATGCCGCCTCGTTAGGCAGTCGCCGCTTGCGCAATCCCAAGAATTTATGGCCCACGAGGGTTACGCATTAAACATTAGGCGGTAAGCGTATTAGAAAGTTCACAAATTATATTTTTGAATGCGTGATTGAGCTTGGAGCATATTATGTTTTTGAATAATTTATTATTTGTTATTATTATTAATTATATAGGAGTGAGACCAGTATGAAGTATTTACTAATGAAACCATTAAAAATAGAAATAAATTAAATATGTTTAGAATATATTTAATATTTTGATTTTTTTAATTTTTTATTTTTAGCGAAAGCATTTACATCAAAATAGTTATTCTAGAATTGTTAAACATCTTTTTAAAGTATTTATTTAGATTGTTCATATATTTACCGCAGAAATTGATTATATTATAACAATTTAAAATCCGTTATATTTCAATTGTTATCTTTTAGTGTAGACTATAATTAACTCAGCCAAAAACTACATACAATTATTTTATAACAATTTAAAATTCGATACATTCAGATTGTTATTTTTACTGTAGACTATGAGCACGTTGACCAAATGCAGCATGAAGAGCTGAAATCAATCTCATAAATCGTTTATAGATAATTCACAATTTAAAACAGTTTAAAATTCAATTTCTCAAATCAATTTATATCCGTTAAAAATTGGTCGTTTCACATTGAATCCACTTAAATATTTAAATGCTGACTCACTTCAGTGCTTTGCATTTGAAAGCGAAAGTGTTTGGGCGTAAACGGAAAGTGCGTGTAAGCATTTCAACGTTAGCACAAGCATTCCTTGCCCCTTTCCTCTGCCTCATGCTCGTTTTGGCCACAAACAGGAAACAGGCAAGGGTAAAAGCTTACGTTTATAAAAATCGTTTATACAAATGGTTTACACAGGCACAGGTATTGACAAAGCGGATGTGCGACGATGTTAATGACTAAAAATTTACTGTTGACTCGGTAAATTATTAAATTGTTTAATTATTAATTGTATCATTTTTGTTTTTTTTGTAGGTTGGCTGGACTGATTGATTTCGCAGCAATTGCGTAAAGATGCGCAACGCTAATTACAAGGCTGGCGGCTTTGGGTTGCCAAACTCGGCTCAAGACAATGTGACAATTGCAAAAGTGAGCAACCATCAAAACGGCATCGTACTAACGAGTATATGAAAAAAAAACCATAAAGTTGAGCTGACAAAACAAAACAAAAGCGCCAACCAGCCAAGTTAACCCAATTGCGAGCCAAGTCAAGTGAAGCAGCCAGCCAAAGAAAGCAAAAGTTGAGCTCTACATGTGGATGTGGATGTATATTTGTGTGTGTGTGTGTATGTGTGTGTGAGCCATTCTGGCATATATCTTATGCAATGGCTACTCGAGCCGCACACAAATCTACATAAACGTCTGCATTTAGATACAGATGCAGCTATAAATGCGCATTAGCAATCAATCCACATCCACATGAACGAACAAGATCGCGACCCGCTGGTGTGACTGTGAGAAAATATTGCATGGCCAGAGACAAGAAGAAAAAAACACTACATCAACTGGCTAACAAATAGTTATTTCTATAGCTAGGCCAAGTAGGCAAGCCTCAACTTGTTTCATTTGGCCCAGACTCTAGGCTCCGGTCTAGAAACTAAATTGGCCGCCTTGTGACACGGCATTTGCTGACTAATCAACTGTCGAAGCGTCGATCTGTTGCACCGACTGTTGTACTCCACTGTCTACATATAAATGCACCCAGGGGGCAATCGTAACTGCAACTGCCACAGCAGCAGCAGCAGCACCAGATCACGATTTATGCGCTGGTACTACAACAACAATTACAACAGCCGTCGGCGTTTGGTTGTTGGCTTTGCTTGTTTGCCTTTGGCCAATTGAATTCATTTTTCGTTTGATCTGAGCGGTATTTATATAGTATTTTCCAGTATATATACATTAACAAATAGATTTGCGATGCGTCAATATTTAAGTGTATTTGCTCAGCTCTGAAATGAATGCATATTGCTGGAAAGTTTGTGTCTTATGTCTTTTGTTTTCAAAGTTGCGTATCAAACGTGTAAATTATTAATGCTGCATATTTGCCTAAGCTGAAAGTGTAAAGTCAAGATTAGCCTTAGCTGATAATATGATGGAGAGAGTGAATAAAAATGACATCAAAATTATAAAAGCAGCTAATCAGAGAAAACTGCTTGGAAATGTTGAAAACATTAAATAGACTCAAGCTAATTTCAGACAATTATAGATTGGGTATCTAAATGATGGGGAGATTAAAGCTGCCGAGCAATGAGGTTTCGGTTTGGATGTTGTAATACTTAAGGCAAGGGCCATTGAAGCTATAGATACTAAAAAGGTTACGCTAATAGAATAATAATTATAATAACCGAAATGTGCATAAATTATGATGGGTGGGAGACAATATCTTTGTGATTGCCACATAGTAACTTTTTAATTAGCATTTATTAGTAGTGTGGATTGGATTATGAAATACGAAGAGAAAACGCGCCGTTTTCATTTTATCAACTGTGACTAGAAAAAACCAATTTAAATTTGTATCTATAATTTCCTTACTCAAAGATTTATTTAGAAAACTCTGCGTAAAACAGACTACTTCAAATAAAATTATGTAATAAATTTAATATTTTATTTCCTTATCGATTATTTATATACACGATACAATTATAAAAAATCGTTTGTATTTTTTTCTTTCAAATGAAGGTTATTCTATTTAACGTAACCGAGATTGTTTT